GTACTGTACTGTACCGTACTGTACTGGGCCTTGACCCTCTCCGCCTTTTATTTACTTTCAAACATCGTCGTCTTCTTCTTTCTCCGTCTAATCACACTTATTCAACTCTCTCATTCTCATGTTCTCTCATTCTCTCATTTCTCATTCTCTTGCCCACACTCATTGGTTTTTATATCTGTTTTTCTCTGTCTCTCCGTCTATCCTTAATTCATTGCTTTAACATTTTTTCATTGTCACTCATTTACTGCTTTAATCTAGTCCCACTGCATGCCACGCCCATCGTAGCCCTACGTCTCACATCCAACCTCTTGTCACTCCTTTGTATCAGCAATATATTTCCTGTCCACCGCACCACTACAGACCTCCATCACGGCATATTCTCTCTATCACCCACCTCCTCATCAACATTCCCCGCTCCTCCGATGAGATAGGCCTCCTTCCACGGCTGCCTGCAGTGCAGCAATCCGATCCTCTGTCATCTTTAGCTGCGGTCACATCGAATCTCTGTTTCTATATTCACCCATTGAGCATCATGAGCTACCTCCCCCACCCTTTTCCTTTTGGAGGGCCTCCTGCAATTCCCGTCGAACAAACCGTTGGCTTAGAAGTCCTAATCGGGCACCCTCATTTGGGCCATTATGTGAATTCTTTTATACTTCCTCATGACCCATTTGACATAGTGGATTATTGTCCCTCCAAGCCTGCCAGTATTGAAGAATATGAGTACACAGAAAACCTATCACGTCCTCGACTGACAAAGGAACAAGTTGATACGCTCGAGGCCCAGTTTCAGACCCATCCGAAACCGAATAGCAACGTCAAGCGTCAATTAGCCACTCAAACAAATCTCTCTCTGCCTAGAGTTGCTGTATGGGACTATATATAACCCCATTTCTTTCCATTTCCTTGGTTGTGGCGAACTGTAAGGTTGACTAACTTTGTATGGTTGTAGAATTGGTTTCAAAACCGACGTGCGAAGGCAAAGCAACAGAAGAGGCAAGAAGAATTTGAGAGAACACAAGCAAGTGAGAACGGTGAACAGTGGGAAAGTAACGAGACCTCTCGGCAAGAAGGGGGCCTAGAAGCACAACCAGAACGTCCTGAATTGATTTCAACCCCTACCCAGGACCAACTTCCCATCTCGTCATCTGCAAGTCCCCCTAGCCAACCACACACTTCTACGACTCAGTCTGAATGCTCCGTGTCAGTCGAGAAAGCAGTGAACGAAAATATGTCTGCAAATGCCCAATTCTACAAATCCGAGCATAACGCCGGTGCAAACAAAGCCTTAGAATCCAATATGATGCATCATTCTTCTCAGCCTCGTTTGAAGAATGAAGCTGTTGGCACAGCCACCTCTGGCATCCCTGAATGGAATGGACACGAAGACGATTGCAATTCTGTTTTTTTGGCTTCACCGCAAAGTGGGGGAAACAGCTTTGATTTTACTCATGTGATTAGGCAGCAATTAACCCCAAATGACAACCCCTTCGAGATCCGCATTCACGAAAGTCCCCAATTCCCCGCCTTCCATTTCAATCACGAGCCCGATGGATGGGGATGTCATGGCGTGCCGAACTTGATGGGAAGGCAGCATGATGCTCAAGATCTGGGCGATGATTTTCAACCTTTGCCGTTTCATGGGCTTCAATCTCCGCTATTTCCTGGTGAACAACGACGAGGGTCTTATTCTTCAGAGCATTCCGACCTCACGGATATTCCGTTCCACCCTGAAATAAATAACGATCTTGAAGCATCTCCCGAAAACATTTCTCAGCTGAGCCTGGCCCAGTTGCACCACCACCAAGTTGAACCTTGCGCCAATTGGCGGTATCCGGAGAAAGAAGTTGATCTTGCTGCTCGACGAAAACGACCTCGACTGGCCGCTATCGGTACCTCCGCCATATCCCGTTTATATGTACCCTCATCAATGTCTCCCACCGCTATGATTCAGGGTATGGGGGCTGGGCATATACTTCGACATGCAAAATCCACCCAGAACCTTAGCCCCAGTCGCAATTCTCGCTATCCAGGGATTCGAAACACTGCCGCTGCCCGCCGCTCCCCTCTTGGTATAACAAGTTTTGCGGAAGCTAACCGTTTCAACCCGACGAATGCGACGGATATGATGTCAGCAGTACCCGGCCTGGTAACAACCGCTTTGGCTCCGCCTACTCCGTTAACGCCAGAAGATTTCCAAACCCTTCTTCCGCCAACCCCTAGTGACAATCAATACTGCGTTTCGCCAACGGACGAGATGGGTTGCACAAGGTTCTTTCCCATATCTCAACCCATGCAGGTACATCTCGAATCCCCTCCTGCCACACCACTAAATTTAAGTGTCCTCTCGCAGGTACAATATCAGCAGATGGGTATTTCAATGCCTGCTGCGGCTTCTCAGCGTACAACTTTCCAGGAGTACACACTCTCTGTTCCAACCAATCCGATGAGCACTAGCCTTTGGCATGGCCCTTCTTCGATGTCGTCCCCGGAGACCTTCCAAATGCAGCAGCCAACAATCCATATGCCCCAGCCAACCCACATTTCTCCCATTGCCTATGGAAATTCTTTGGATTCGGGAAACCCTTCCTTTGTCGATGGTATGGCAAGCCAAAGTGCATCGCCGCAATGCACTATTAAAAGTTGCAGTACCCCACCATCATGTCCCGAGGGATCTACCTCTGGTCCCCATAAAGTAACCGAATTTCTCATTCAGGAGTTCCCACAACAGCAGGAAGCACATAGGCGCGCAGCCCAGCAGCTTCCCCCACAGCGACCCATGAACTATACATTCTCCAACCACACACCAAATGACTTTTACGCTTGATTCCTCCTCTCTAGAAGTTAGCTTCGCTATCACAAGATCAAGGAATGGACAGCTCTCTCTATTCCCCCACTCCCCCTTCCCACATGCCAAACGTTGGTTTGGTCAGCGCTTTACGATTTCTACGCATCCCATATATAATTCTAATAGCTTTTGTCTCAGCTCTCCTTAGCCTGATATTGCTTTAATTCTAAATCTATTGTTAGCTCATTTTTTCTTTTTAATATATCTTAACTATACCCAACTTCAGCTGATTTGAAACGGTTTTCTCTCTTTTCTTGCGAACTTCTATTAAGAGAGGGAGAATTTTTGCCTCAATATACTTTTCTTCTTTCATCTTATCACCTTGCCATGCCTTTCCTTCTTCCATTTTATCATGCACATATATTTTTATATACGCCTTTTAACTTTCTTCCCCCACCGTTTGTCGCAGTGGAGCCTGTCGATCTTTTCTCCCCCCCGGAAGAACTAAACTTGGCCATGGTGCCATCATGGCCACCGCCGCTTATTCCCCGAAAGCGTTTCATCTTATTCTTCATCTTCCTGAAGCCTTGTCTTAGGTTCTAGGTTTTATCCCCTTTTAATTCTCTGCATTTTTTCCCTTTTTCCCCCGCACCCTTTTCTAATTGTTCTATTCTGTTGTTTCCTATTTCCTCCTTAAAAACCATTTACGTATTTTTAATTTTTTTGCATGTTTTCAGCTTTTCTCCAATATTTTCCTCTCCTGCTATGTTATAATTACACTCCCAAGTTTAAATAAGCCTAATATAATATTAACTAACTATTCTTAATTTATTGATAAGGTTTCACCTTGACGTTATGGTTTGCTTTACAGTTACATATACTGATAAGTGTTAGAACTAAATATGTTTATGTATGCGATCTTGAAGTGGATTTCTTCTTTCAGTTGTCTTGTGGCTTCCTCATATCAGCGAGCGCTGAATCATATCGAGGTCTTCGGACTGGAGAAAGCTTCTGCCGGATGAGAACAAGGACGTTTACGGACTGGATATATTATCTCATTGGAAAAAGTTAAGTATGCATGCTCTATGGTCAACCTCTTTTCAAAATGCACTTGTCAATACCTGTTCACTTTTGCTGGAAAAATTTTTTTTTTTTTCAGTAAATATTGCAAACAGATGCAAATATAGATGAAGAATGTGTGAAATGTTAAACAACTTTTCACTAAGTTCAAGACAGTCCAATTATTTCATATTGTTTGAGTAAAGCAGTAGAGCAGGTATCCAGTAATGATAATGTTATAAGTTATAAGAAGAAACAAGAAGAAAAGGGGGAAAATGTATATATCCAAAAAGAAAAGGAAAACAGAACAGATCATATACCAGCACAAAAAAAAAAGAAAAAAGAAAATTAAAGTAATACACTAATACCAGTAGATATTCATCAAGGAAGCAAAGAGGGGAGAAAAAAGAGAAATGGTAGCAATTTCAATCGTAACTTAGCAATGTAGGCCACAAAGATATAGCATTCACATGTAGAGTTAGAAGGAAACAACTTATACATTTTTTCATGTAGAAAGAAAAGCCAACTTCATGAGCCAAAAGGGGAGGAGTTTTAAGGGCACGTAAAGGGCCCCAAGGAGGGGTTTCCAATCAACAGAAGGTGATGAGAGATAAAAGGGAAGAAGACATGTTTTGAAAAAGGAATAAGAAGAGGGGATGATGAGTAAAATAACAGTATTAAAGTGGAAGTAGTACACGTTTTGTAGAAAAGATAATAAAAGGCGGGCATGGTAAATTTGTTTAACAAACAGTACATAAACAAGGAATAGGAACAGGGAACAAAAAAAAGTTAAGGTTACATGATGACATCTATACTCAGTAGCATTTTTATCACGTAAGAGGTATCATTTTCAAACCCCAAGTAGGATTTTGGGAAATAAACGTTCTGAGGTGAGAAACGGGTATTATAAAAAAGTGTAAATAAAATAAGCCGCGGACTAGGTAAGAATGGCAAAATGCAACATAGAAGAAGAGGGGGGGAGGGGGGGGGGGGAAATAAATAAATAGACAAATAAGAGGAATACAGAAGAAACCAGCCGCAATATATAAAAATGGAAGAACGAGCAAGTAATCACACGAGCAACTGAGGATTCCAAATTCATTTCAAAACCAAACATCAACTCCGCCTTACGAACCCCTTCACAATCCCCTTCTTAATACGTCGACGGCCATCCACTAGGCGGTTGCCCCGGCTGCTGCTGGCCACCAGGCTGCAACGGCCCTCCCGCCGTCGTACTAGGCCATCCCGGCAACGGTGCGCTGGTCCCCATGCCCATCCCCAGCACTGACGGTTGCTGGTGGGGGCCGGACATAAACTGCTGCGAGCCAGCAGGGCCTTGAGACGATGGGTACATGGCGCGCGCGGCTGCCATATTAGAATATGCTTGTGCCGTCGAGACGCCCGGGTAGCCCATGGCTGCAAGATTTTGTTGTTGCTGCTGTTGCTGCTGCTGCTGCTGCTGTTGTTGTTGTTGTTGCTGCTGCTGCTGCTGTTGGGATGATGGTTGAGGCTGTGAGTGGAGCTGCGAAGGTGTAGGGCGATGCTGGTGGCGCGGAGACTGGGAATGGTGGTGGGGTTGGGTGTTCTGTAGGTGGGGTGAGGGAGATTGTTGCTGTTGCTGTTGCGGATGAATTTGTGGGGTGTACTGTGACATGCTGAGTGTATGGGAGGTGGAGAGGGGAGATGGTTGTAGCTGTGGCGGTGGTTGACCCCACAGCTGTTGACCCTGGGAGTACGAGTATGGCGAACCCTGACTTGAGCCGGCAGAGGTGAGGGAGATGGTGGACGAGCGATGCTGGAGCTGATCAGGGCGCATTCCTTGAGGCATTCCGCGCAGCGGGGATTGAGATATGGGAGTTTGCTGATAAGCGGGCTGGGAATAGGATTGTTGGGGAGTCATCATTTGCGGATGAGCCAGGACGTTCGAGTGCTGATTGGGAGCAAGCATACTGGATGTTAATTGCGGTGATTGTAGCGGTTGAGGAACACCTGGGGTTGGGTCTACCTGAGTGGCTGGTGATTGGCTGGAGACAGGGGTGTCTCGTTTTTTATTCCAGTGTTCATCCAAGCCTTTCGCACGATAACCTCGTTGTTGATTTAAAATTTTGCTGAAATCAGCTGTATGCGAAGCATGGTTCATTAATTCCCGCACTGCTGCTAGGTTGAGTACGGTCGTGGAATGGCTGCCCAGTAGGTTCTTGTCTGGGTCGAGGTATGCTATTAAACTCTCTCATCCGTGGGTCATCTGCTGGCGCCAAGTGTATCATGGGAAGCGGTGTCAAATTCGCCGGATGCGGAGGCATGTCGGGTGGCATGCCGTCGATATGAGGGCCGTTGCTGTATATGATATCGCTCTTACCCAAGTTTGGTATCAGTCCAGCATTTGCAGCTTCCGCCGCCGCCGCAGCAGCATCTCTAGCCTTGGCCGCTCCAGGTCGTTTCTCACCCGCCATATCTTCCTCAGTGAAGCCCTGCTTTCGCGCCTTGCTTTCCCAGTAGTCATCCCGAACACGTCGTCCATCAACAATCACTCTGCTCCCAAACTGACGGAACATGGACCTCGCCGTTACAATCGCGATCTGTCGAGAGCGATAGGAGTACGGCAAAATGTCCTGCTGGATCAAGGAATCCTTCTCCGCTTGGCTCGCAATAATTTTGTAGAGTGATCTGTTTTTGTTGAATAGAAGATAAGAATCTCGATATCCTAGCACTCTAGCGCATTCTGTGGCCAGCATGAATAGTTTCTTTCCGCGGTTTGGTACACAAAATGTCCTGCACTTGTATTTGCGCTTGTCCTGTGGGTATCCCAACGCGTCGACCTTTTTCTCACCACTCTCATCAAACTCCTTCGGTATGTATTCATCACACTCCTCCCCTAGCTGGTCAGTGGTGTGATCTCTGACGGTGGGAAGCGCCTTGATGAGTGACTTTGTGGGTGTTGTTTTGGGGGTTGGGGAAGTCTGTGGGGCGGCCGTAGTATGTTGTAGAATAGGTTGAGGAGGGAGAATGGAACTATGTGACTGGGAAGGGGATTGTTTGGGTCTTTGTGACGGTGGAAGAGCCGCGAGATTTGTGGATGACACGACTTTTGGCGTCTTGGGTGGGCGCCCTCGCTTGCGACGACCATGATCATCTGGCACTGCACAAATTAGGTATGAAAAAAAAAAAAAAAAAAATCAAGTGTGAGGCACGACAGCATGCGAGAAAAGAAGATAGCATACCATCCTCCATTTCACCTTCCGCAGGCTGATTGCTATACTGATCTGTCGATCTGCTTCGTTTTGTCCCTCTTGGACTTGTGCTGGGGTTGATATTGGCACTGGTTGTGGTGGAGGGGATGGAAGGCGCAGCAGGAGAAGTCTGTGGAAGAGTGACTGCCAGTGAAGGTTAGTATCATATTGAAAATAGGCATGCGACCGAAGTGATCATGATATCAGATAAAGAGTCAAATGAAAAGGAAACGACATCCCCAACGCCACAGGATATCCGCGACGAGGCGAAGAACAGAGGCAGGGAGCGAAAGGAGTGAAAATTGCGACAACGGTGGAAAGGGGGGGTTATTACCAGGAGTATTTAAGGCAGCAGGGTTGATGGTACCGGAGCCATCGATAAGATCGGAACCCATGCCGTTCATCGGAGTGGAAACGGGATGTTGGGTGGAATACATGGTGCGCGACAGGGAGGGGGGTTGATTGGTTTGAAGCAATGTAAGGCAGGGTGTTGCAGAGGAATGGGCCAAGGATCGACGGGGAACGAAAGAAAGTCAAGAAGTGTTTGGGTGGATAACCGAAAAAGCGCAACAGCGATAGCGGTGGGGTCAGACAGCCGCGACGGCGGGGAGGTGGTCTGAGAGTACCTAGGTAGGTGGGGAATGGGGAGGAAAGAGGGGATTTTGAAAACAACGAATGAAGTGAAGGACGGGACGGGACGGGACGGGGTATTGGGAGGGTGGGAAGGGGAAGGGGATATATGGTGGCTGCGAGAACGAGGGTACAGAGTCAATAAAGCTGGTGGGAGGATTAGCTAGGGGTGGGTGAGTGTATTTTGTTGTTGGTGGCGGGTGATGTGTTGGCGCAGTACAGGATGCAACCGCAGGCGAAGATCCCTACGCTCAACGGTGCGTGCGCGGTTGCAGAGGAGCTGCACGGGCGGGCTCAGCTGCGTGCTCGAAGGCAGCAGCAGCAGCAGCGGCAGCGGCAGCGGCAGCGGGAGGTGACGGGAAAATACCGTCAGGAGCGTATAAGCGACAACAGAGACGGTGGAGACGGATAGAGAGACGACATGTGGGGGAAGGGGAGTCGTGGATGGAGTTGGCTGAAGGGTTGTTGAGCGGCGTAGGTTGGATCGGCCGTTGAAGTTGACGGCTTGAAGGTTGACCAAAGGTTGAAGCAAAACGATGACGATGTATTGGGAGGGTATTGGCGGGTACGGGCTGGTATAGGCTGGGTAAGCTGGTTGACAAGACAAGGACTTGGCACAGCGTTGGCACCGGCAGTGCACAGGAAAGCGGACGTATGCGCGGGTATGAGCCGCGTACGGTAAGCGTAAGGTACGGTTACGGTACGGCTGGGCAGATTTAGCAGGTCAGCTGAGCTTGCGGCTCTTCTGGGTCCGCGCGGAAGCTGAGTCAGCAGCAGGTTGCTACGTAACTGCCCCTAAACAGCGCCGAGTTGGGAATTGGTGAGGGCAACGGGCAAGAATGACAAAGAGGGACGTGTGTAAATAGACAATAGAGATGGAGAAGAGGGATAAGCGTGTTATGTTGAGATAGATGGATGGATGGATGGATTGAGGCTGTGGAGTGTGAATGTAATCGGAGCATGTATGGTATGGAAGTAGAGCGTGATCTGTATATGTGGCTCTCATATGTATGGATGGCCCGATCAGCCCGGGACTTATTCTGGAGTCAAGTCTCCCCTTGTCTTTCCTTTCGTCTCTGGTTGGTCGTCTTCTTCTTCCTTTTATTAGAGCTTTAATGTTCTATGCACCAGTTCTCCATCTGGTCCTTTTCTTCCCTCTTTCTCCCTTCGTTCCTTAATAGTTGGATTCTAGCTTCCACCCTTTATCTCTTGATAATGACTTTGGTGTCTTTCTTCATCAACTGAAGCAATGACTGTAAGCGTCCCTCTTCTGCAAACACCAACAAATTGCAAAGGTGATGAATAGGGCTGCGTCTCGGAACCGGCAGAACAATCCTAATTGAGCAGGACAGCGGACAAGGATCCTCGGAAGAAAAGTCTCCAGCGTGGTGGTTTATAGGCTAGGAAGCGGTGAGAGGATATGAGGAAGCGTGAGAGAGGAACGGAGTCTGTCGGAAGACAGTTTAAAAATAAAATAAAATAAAATAAAATAAAATAAAATAAAATAAAATAAAATAAAATAAAATAAAATAAAAATAAAAATAAAAATAAAAATAAAAATATATAAATAAATAAAAATAAAAATATATAAATAAATAAACAAACAAACAAAAAAAATAAATAAAAATTAAAGTAAGTCAAAAAAAAAAAAAAAAAAAAAAAAAAAAAAGGCTGCGAGACCGCAAGCAGACGCGGCTATTGGTGGGCCGCTGAGCCTGAGCCTTGAGGTAGGTCACTGGAACAAAGCGGACGGAACCGACTTGTGTGTGTTGCGAGATCACTGGGTCAACGGGGTCAACTGCGGGGCGGCAGGTGGAGGGGCCAAACGTCTGGTTTGTTGATTCCAGGGAAAAGCGGACGTAGGCTCGCGGTGGGAGGAGGGAAAACAGGGAGGGGGAGGGAAGGGAAAAAGTCAAACGGGAACCCAAAAAAGGAGGGGTCAAAAGGCTTAAGAGGACGCGGGTGTCTTGGAAGAGACGAAGGTTGGAAGTAATAATGCTCCAGTTTTATTGCAGGCAGGGAGGGGGACTCGGCCTTTTAACTGGCTGATTTGCCTGGTGCGTTTTCAGTTTTCTGGACTTTTTGCTTTTTTCTGTTTCCTGGAGAACAACCAGAGTTCGCAGCAGTTTTCTCAAGCCCAAGAAGCGCTTGGGGTATGGCGATCGTTCGTCTCTCAGTCTATTTACCCTGAAAATATGTGGCAACAGACAGTCTCTCTCTCATAATACTACATCTTAACATACGAACGGGAATCAGAGCCTGAGGCTGGAAGCTTCGGTTTTCCTGACGGTCCTGGTAACAAAACGGTGGCCGATATCCACGATGATTGGAGGAACCGACTGAGCTAAATTTTGGCTTCAGTTCAAGTTTCCAGCGGGAGCAACGGGAAAAGAGAGGTTGATTTCGACGATTGTCAGATGATTCGATAGCATTTGCTTTCTGGCTGGCATCGAGGAGGAGTTGCTCCTCTTGCTGCAATAGCTGATATACATTGACAAGTAGGGGGTTCCGCAGTTCCCAGCTTCTGAAGGCCAGGCTCGCGCCGCTCACTCGGGATTCCCACAACTCCCTCGAACTGGACAGAAAAAAACTCTGTACATCATCAGTAAATTCGCATGCAAGCGTCCAAGAGCTTGAACCCTGTTTTTTTCGGAACTTGTGACAATTGGAAACCCTTTTCTTTCTTTCTTTTTTTTTTTTTTTTTTTTCTTTTAAACTTTGCCTTTCTTTTTAACCTGTCCTAGCTTTTTCTCGAATACGTTACTTAAACACATAGTTACAACCTCCCGAAGCTCCCATTCTTGTTTAGCCTTCTTCCAACCATTGTCCTATCACCGATCGTCGTGCTTGGATTTCCCATCATGCATGATGTTTTCCCGATACAGTATGTCGTGAAAGTGGCCGATGAATGACGCTCCCGCTGCTGCTAGTCTATGAAACCTGTGATTACATGGCGCATATCTATTGTACCGCCCTGCCTGGGCTGGGAGACCGGAGGCTTGGGGGGACGGGTCAGGCGAAGAGTCGTCGTGTTGGCGAGGACTGCACATCGCCCTAAGCCCATCAGTGCTTGTTATTTATTTATTTATTTATTTATTCTTTTATTTATTCTTTTATTTATTTATTTATCTATTTATCTATTCTATTTTCCTGCCCTTTCCCCCCCCCTCCCTTGTGCCACACGTAGATGAACACACCCTTGCAGCCTTACATACATACGTGCATTGGTCATGGCTGACCCGGTGATCGTGACGGATCGCTTTGTTAGGGGTAAGGGTTTGGGAGGACGACTGTGCCGGCGCCCCCGGGGGGGGGAAAGGGGGGGCAAGGGGGGCAGTGTTCGCCAGAGGACGAGCGCAAATATGAAGGGGTATCCCTGACGCTGAAGGTTCTTCCACAAAAAAGCCAAAAAAAAAAAAAAGAAAGAAAGAAAGAAAGAAAAGAAAAGAAAAGAAAACAAAGCACCCTGCCGCGCCGCCCTAGCCTTTCATCCTGCAAGATTTATACCGTACAAGGGCCCGATTAGAACACATCATTGTACTCCTGTTACTGTACCTCCCCGTCCCATATCGTCAGGTCTGTGTGCGCATGGACCGAGTACGCGCGGGGCGACAAGAGTGAGAGGTTTTCCCCATAGTTTTATCTTTGCGATTTCCTTCGAAACACAGGAGTAGTCAGTCTTTCGCTTCTCTCCGCATAATCAATCGTGTTTTGGAAGCGCCCAGATTGAGCTGCATGCATGCTAACTACTTCCCCTAATGAGGGTAATTCAGGCTTTTCCGTGGCCTGGCCAATCATAGCACGATCGCATTTCGGTCGCGAAGATGCTCGCGCCATTCCTAACCTCTAAAGCCGTGATAAAATAGCGACAGCACACATTTCCGCTACTTACTCTCTCCTCCACCAAGCAAAACTTCCCAGGTGTCCCAGCACCCGCCGCCCAAGGAATTCAAGCCAAAGTTAACCCGCAAAAGCCAAAATGCAGATGGGCCCCGTCTAAGCCTGACAAGGCGTTGGGCGCCCAAAACGCCGCCCCCCCCCCCCCCCCTGAACGGTGAATCATGGCCTGTGGGATTGTGCCGTCCCCCCAATCATGGACTCTTGGGGGCATGTTTCCTCTGTATCATATCTGAATTCCGACTAAATTTCAGTATTTTTATTGGTTTTACCCTTCGTTATTTCTTCTTCTCTTCTTCTTCTTCTTCTTTTTTTTTCTTCTTTTTTTTCTTCTTTTTTTTTCTTGACTGAAGTGAAAAGCTCAAAACTAGGTGTGGTGATCCGAATGAAAAGAGGTATAAAACAATCTTCTAGGTGCAAAGGGAATATCCGTCAAACGCGGGGATTTTTCATTTTCCTTTTGTCTCCAGGAACTTTTTAAATCGGGCTGTCCGTGTAGAGATGGCCAAGAGTTTTCAATCTAGCCACTTGCGGTTTTTCCGCGGACGAGCGAATAGAAAACTTAGAGAGGGAATTTATGAACTGCATGGACTTGCTCTATATGAGGTAAGAAAACGCATCCGGAAAAGAAAGAAAAAAACTGGACCGGGGTTAGCAGCGGAGCTAAAAAAGCATTAGACAGGAAGAGATCTCTGATATCATCTTGTTCTTCACCATTCCAGTTCCTAGTTGATATCGGTGAATATGAAAAAAACTGAATATTGGAACCGAAACAGTTCTGACATGATGTGGTGGAATATCCGTCTGATAACGGAGTACGGAGCAAAATTAATTGTTGATTAGTCGAAAGAGTTCCTTGCTCTTTATTCTAAACTATGGAGCTGTGAACTTAGTCATATTTGAGTTTGTGCTGTGCCACGATGAGATGATAGAAGGAAAAAAAAAAATCGGAGATCGGACGATTCGCTCTTGGTGATACATCGTATACCACCACGGAGCACATTTTACGGAATATGCTCTCCGGAGGGTAATAATATACGAACGAAGGCAGCACAAGCAAAAAGGGCCCCTTGTGCCATTGCAAGCTGATTTCCTTTCGATTTTTTTCCTTGATAAATCTCGATCCGTACGAATAACCATCACGGCGTGGAGTTCAGTGGTTGCTGCCGTAACTCGTTGAGATGAGAGGTTCAGGGGGAGGTTGTTTGTCTGCCTTGTGCTGTGTTTCAACTTGACTCGACTCGACTCTATTTGAAACTCCGGCCTGGGAGGGCTTAGTTATGCACCGCGAGTGGCTCTGAGTATTAGGAGATCTACTCCCGCTCCCGAGTAGTTCATGTGTGTCCTCCCTAAGATGCTTGGGTGCTGGGTTTGGAACATGTGTGCGGCGGTCTCTAAAGCACGGAGATTATGCGTGACAGAGCCATTGACGAAGTTCATCCACCTCTCCCGGTAGGTCGGACGATAATAATCTCGAAAGGGATACAGCAATAGTGTGTCACCTGTCACTGCATTCGATTTATGTAGGTACGGAGTGACATGAGGACGAGGAGCGCGAGGAGACAGGCTTTCAATGCCACTAGGGGAGCCGGGTCCATGTACCATTTTTTGAGGGTTTTGGTTCCTGAACACGCAGATAAGAAAGGATTGATTGCACAGGGGAAATGAGTGGTGAAATCGATATTGGTACGCTGTCGAATGAGATATTTTACAGTTGAAGATGTTCTGTTTCTTTTGTATTTATCTCCTCTCACAGTGGGAAAAATGTTTGAAAGAGAAATTATACAAGCGGGCATCTTCGCCATCATGTTTGACCCCATGTCCCTCATCCCTCCAGGAATGAGAGTTAAGCATAAACCAGTCTTCCCCGGCCCCCGGCCCCCCGTTCCCATGGTCGGTTTGCTGACCAGGTGCCTTCTTTTAACCTGGAAGCCCTTCTCCAAAGCTTCCAGTTCTCGAGACAATAGGTGCATCAGGCAAACAGAAGAAACTATAACCCTATGTTTTAATCAGGCATTTATACCCTCATCTGACCATTGTCTGGACGGTTCTATTTCTCCTTTCGGCGTATTGATAGCACAGAACCTCGGAGTCGTTTCAGTTCGGTCCCTTTCACAATTTGCCATGGAACAGCTGGGTGGGTTTGTCAATCTGATCTTATGTGACTATTTTAAGGATCATTTGCTGTGCGACCTGTGTTTTCGTTCAAGAATTTTATATCAATTACTCTCAGCGACGACGACAATTCTCCGCATAGGACTGAGGAGTTTGGGCTCTGCCATTAAACGTTGTCACTATTTCAACATACATATGCTCACTCTGCATTCTGCAATTTATTCGCCTTATATGCAAGATTAATAGGGCCCTCCTGACAAAAACTCTGTTCCTCCTTCATGCAGTGACATATTGCCTCGACACCACGAATGGTACGAAGGGTGACCGGTAAGCTAGTTATATCAGAGACTTGGATTGCCACGGATAATTGGCCTTTGAATGACAGTATGGACAGCAAAAGACACCGGCAGCACTTCTATTTGCATATATGATAAAAGCAACGAGAAATAACCGAACAAAGCCACTAGGAGTGTATTCCTCCCGGCCCTTAATTCCTCATTTTCCTTAGATACTTCAAGCTTAGCCTCCATGGACCTCAGGAGGAAGCACACGACCTTCCTTTTAAGGTTTGCTATAGTTTGCGCTACATGGGTCATGGGATTCAGAAAATGAGACCCGCTGAATTTTAGTTGACAAGCGAATGACACAGTATTGCTTTCTCTCTGACGATTTGTGAGATAGTGGAATTTTAGGGTGAGTCATTTTTGCGTATTCAGGCGAGAGCGGACCTATATCAGAGTCTCGGATGGAAACTCTGTAGTTTGTGCGATGCGTGTTGTTGCCAGGGGCATGTAGACCGTGTTTCAGTAGCAGTCGGCAATGGAGAATGCACTATTAAATATATTTTATCGTAGCGTTTTATGGAACTGCTGTCATATTCAGAGGTAAATGGTTTGCGTCCCGCCAGGCAAATTGGTACATATATCTAGATATACGAATGGTGTATTAATATTTCAGAATATGAAAATGGAAACATACCTTCGAAAGTGAAAATTGAAAATTTCAGAAAGAGCGCTTGATAATAGGCAATTGATAGTCTTTCGAGCTTGAGAGAGATCCCTTCAGTGAAGTAAAGCCAATATGCTGGATAACCAGCGCGCTTGACAACTCAAGGTAACGAATTGATGCTCTCCAATGTAGGGAAAGTTGACAATTTAGCGTGATTGCCGACGAGCAAGCCGATTCTTATTTTCCTTTCCTAAGGGCGGCTATGTGGCTCCCACTCTTCGACTTCAAATTCGTATTTTGATAGTTGGGCAAGCTTTTGACTGCAAGGTTGCTGCCTATCTTGCATAAATTTAAAATTTCCCACAGCTACCTTTTCACCTGCACTGTTTGGTGTCTCATGAAAACAGTTGGAGAATTGTCACAGGTGGAGACTGAAACTGGTTTGAACGGCTAGGACAAGCTTTCCCATAGTTTCTTATCAGATGCGAAATTGCATCCAATATGAGTCTCGGGAGAGGGGATTCTTGGGGAGCGGGAACTCCCGCAGGCTTGACACTCTATGGTTAAAAGAATTCAGCAGCGAATCCCCTTCACCTTGACTTCCCTGCCATGTTTCCACGTTGTGACAGGAAACCAGTGTGCGAAGAATCATCCACAGTTAGGCCGAAACTAAGAGCTTTTGTCGTTTGAATTTTGAGCTGCGACACGATGCTCTGGTTTCCTTCCTGATACCAATTTGGGACTTCTGCATGATTATTTTAACACATTATCGTCCAGCTCATTTGACAGATGTGTATCTGGATATGGGGACATACATGGAAAAGAAAGTCTTCTGTTCTCAACCAACGGCATGCCCACCATAGATCAGTCATAATCATTTCATTTTCACATTTGCCTTAGGTGTAATGGAGAGAGGGAGAAGTTGAAGGGTAGATTGTGACACGCCCTGAACCCGATGCAGGTTGAGCACGTAATGTCAGGGGCGTCGCGGCTGATTTTCTCCTACCACCTTCTCCTTCTCCTTATGTGGCCTGTTACATCCTCGATGTGACGGATGGAACAGAAGGACAATGAAGCCCGAGGTAGAACACAGAAACGTAATTAATATAACTAACGAAAGCCAAAAGTAATGATTTAAGAAATGTCTGGTATCTCCATTTCGTATTGCGGGATCGGATTCCGGATTCAATAGCAATCTCCAAGGGGGAGATTAATTTTTAAAGTTATGCCAATCGCAGAGATTGCTACCCAAAGGGAGCCACGAAGGAATAGATAAGCCAAAAGCTTCCCTCCATGAGCGCTATTAGAAAGACTTCTAAATGGACCAATCCAAAAGAAGTGGTATATCCGCACTGGATCGGTGCCACTTGTGAAAGTTCACTTGTTCTCAAAATAGCGCGCACACTTCCAAATAATGTCAGGTATTCAGCTTTCGCCGTGGTTTTCCGCTCCACCTAGGGGCCGGGTATACTTGAAATAGTGGATCAGAGCAGGGAAGACAGCTTATATTCTGGGATTTCCATGTCTTACAGGAAGAGAGATAGCTTTTCATTCTTGGAAAAGAATCATGAGCAACATTAACAGCACAAATTTTCATTAAAGCAGCAGTGATTTGACATACAAATGAGGTATTATCTTCCAATGTCACAATTCAGTGTGAATTTTTGCAATTCAACCGTAACTAGGAGTTCAGTGATTGAATTGTTAACCACTCAGAATTGATGTAGTAGCTTGAGAAGCTCTCAGTAACTCAGCCACTGTATATGACTTGACACTGTGATGATATCCCCTAGGCACTCTCTGAGATTTAGTATGCACAATGAACAAACTGGAGATGATGCAATAATAGAGAAGGGACCAAAGGTCCATTAGATTGCCTAGGCTCTGCAAAATCAAAATAATCAATAAGGACACAGAATCAACTGAAGATTTTTGATTAGTTCAACTTGAGTCTTATCTATCCTGAGCCAGCAGTCCATTTGCAGAACTCTTTATATGAAAAGAAGAGAGAAATGTGATTTGCATTTAAGAATTCTAGCCTTTTAGTAGGATATTCAAGACACACTATCTATTGTGCAGTAAAATATTTTCCATATATAGCAATAAAGAATCTGTTCACACCAGGCAGAAATGAATGGCAATGTCAATATACCAGATAAGTAGGAACTAGAACTTGATTTCCAGACTACAGTCTACTATTGATACATTTTACAAAAGATTTGACCAAGTCAGCAAAGTTGACTTGATGTGAATTTCCTGGAGGTTTTCATGCTGTCTGATCATTTAATAGTCATCATTTTCAATGTCATTATACCAAGGAAATCAACATGTATCTGGATAACTATGTAGTTAGCAAGCTGCTTAAAAAGCTAGTGATACATATATACATACATGGATTCAGATAAGCAAGCCTTTAATAAATAATATTACTGATTTAAAAGATGTTTTTATTGCAGTTCTTGTTCAACATCTAGAGCTGCTTTCTTCACTTCTTCAATAAAGAAAACATAAAATTTATTTAATGATTGCAGTGAAAATCAAATTCACAATTGATATAATTTATCTGTTTTCAAAGACTTCATACTTCATAGTTGTCAATTATATCATATCTCTGATGTTTGAAAATCTTCAAAGATTGAATTCATTTGAACATCAAGCAGCATCATGTGCTCTGAATAACTCTCAACCTACCATTCTATCACCACATGCCTTAAATATTAGAGTGGTAGCCCTCATAGATTTCAAGTACCTCAGTTAAGGTTTTGACTGAAAATAGTCTAAAACAGAGCTTCTTTAATATCTATATTGATCATTTTTTTTTAACACAAAGCTTATGACATCAAATGAGAACAGAAGATGTGCATTGAAGACTTCATGAAAAGCTTCTCATCTCTTTACTTTCTAATTTAAAAATCAGCAATGAAAGCATGAAACTTTATACTGAAATCACTGAAAGTTCACAGGAACTCAAATAGATGAGCACTTGATATGCTCAATTCAATAATCAACTGACTGAAGTTAACTTTTTTATTGTTTAAAGTACAGATCATATCAAATCAAATCTCTTATTTCATTCAGATTTCTGAGATTAAAGAGAAGAGTAATAGCTGTTTTCAAAAGAACAGTAGCAGCAATAGAGAAAACTCTGGAGAGTGTTGAAGCACCAGCTGTTAGAGAAAGAGAAATAAACATATATGAGAAAGAAAGAGACAAATTCCTCTCAAAAAACTTTACTCAGTTGCTATTGCAAAAAGTGAAAGAAGCAGTGAGATTTTTCAATCAATAGATGAAGAAATTAGATGATGCAGATTCAAGAGCTTGCCTTCAGTAAAATTTTTAAAATCTGCAAAGATGAAATGACTTGTCAAGTTCAGTGAGTCAGTGTTGACAAGAACAAGTCAATAAGAGTAATATTCATAATAATTAACTATTCTTAATGACTCAAAATAGAAAGTATAAAGTTAACTGACCCATGATAGAATCCCACACTTCATTCACAGCCCCAGGTTCAAAGGCCCACAATGGAGCATTCAGGAGATTGTTAAAGCTTAATTTAGTGCAAATTTTAAAGATCACTGTAAATGTCATCAGCAAGCAGAGAATCTCTAGAAATCATACTTATTCACTGTAGAAAACATGACACTTGAAGTTTCCAAAACAAGAGGAATTGAGTCCCCACATCTTATCAAGTAAAGCTCATACAACTAAAACTCTTAGGATAATGAAGACTTCTTTCATGGCAACTGAGCAGCAAGTTTTGTTTACTCCAAGAGCTGGTTTCATAAGAATTCAAAAACTACTGTAAAACACTCTTCATCATCTTGAATTTGTATATATATATATAATCCATAAATTCATAATTTACTCTCTATATCTATGCCACCATTATTCAATCTTAAAGAAAAAAAGAAAGAAGGAAAAAAAGAAAAATAGAAGACGCAATATGCGAAACAAAAACACAAACACAAGCTAACTCCAAACACAAACTCCAAACACAAACTCCAAACCCTTGACTTTATCCGGAGTACTCTAACCACCTCTCTCCCGAAGAACATAGAGGAAAATTTAATAATTAATAATTAATAATTAATTAATTAATTAATTAATAATTACGACGACATGCGAGGGAAAGAGAAAACCACTTCACAAAACTCCAACTCCAACTCTAGTCATTGAGAAAAGAGAGTGAAAAAAAAAACGAAGAGAGAGAGAGAGAGAGAGAGTCAAGGTAATGCAAGGTCATAAATCATCATCTTCATCATTCCAGCCTAATTGGTCGTAGATAGACTTCTCCGGCGTCGCGTCTACCGTGAAAAAATTCATTTTGGCAGTAGGATTCAGACCAGAGTCGTGTCGTGTACCTGAAAATGTGGGTTTGGATCCAGTACCGCTTCTGATCTTTATAGGCGTTGTGAAAATTATCGGTTGCTGCTGTCTATTATGATAGCGGGCGAAAGCAGGTGTTTTATTTAATGGAGGTAGATAGGAGGATCTAGGGCGGGGCGGGGTCTCTTGGATTGATGAGGTCGAAATATTCATAGGGACACTGGGGTTTTTACTATGATGGTCATTGTTATTGTTGTCATAGTCGTAGTCATTGCCACTGTGGACAAGGTTAGGAAATGATTTAGTTTTCCGCAGTACAGTCGGGGACATTTCTGCAGGCGCAAATGATCGTTTCGTTTCCGGTAGCTTGGGGACCTTGAATAAAATGCTAGATTGCTTAGGGACTGGAGTTGAGTCGAAGTCATCGTCGGCAATACCGCCATTCGAGAGACGGGAGGGCCGTGATACCATTCTCGTGGGCGTTTCGTGGACAAAATCCTGAGGTGCTCGCCGCGAAGAGAGAGGCCGTCTTTCAGAGAGATGGCTAGGGCGCGATGAAGAGGATGGGATAACTTGAATATCGTTGCTTAACGCCAATGAAGCGGTGGTTTCCTCGTTTGACGAAGTCAGCCCCTTGGGCATACGGATTAAGTTGCCCCCACCACTAATACAGTCTCTTTTCTTCAAGCCTTTAGGGGTAGCCATAACCTGCACCCCTTGGCCATTCGGGATCCGTACAGGATTCTTCGATTTCCTAGAGCTGCCAGTGGATACCCGCTTTTCCGCCGCCTCCACAAAATCTTTCGCGACGAGTTCCCTGTTGGGTTTTCTCAGCGCCATAATAGCCGCATCTAGCTCCCTTTTCTGATCCAGAAGCGAATTCATCTTCTTCAGTTTCATCTCGTGCTGCTTAGCAACAGCGTCAAGGTCAACTTCGCGATTATCCACACGTTTCGGCTTCTGGATTCCGCCACGTGCGCCGGAAATCAGAGACAATAGTGGTGGTTCGCTGACCTCACGTTTTAATCCGGGTATGCTTGGGCCACTGCTGGAACGTGAGAGTGATGGCGCCCTGCTCTTTGATGAAGCTAGTTTTTCATCAGTCAGCACACGTTGTAGGGTACGCTGCTGTGATCTTCGGCTACGAGTTCTCTTTACTGAAGCTCCAGGCTGTACTGTTCTTCCGGATTTTGAGTGAGAGATCGCAACAGGGCGAGACGGCGAAATTGCAACAGGTCCGCCCAGCTTGCGACTAATGGCTTTGCATTGATCTGGGAGACGACCAGCATAAAATGGAATGATGACTTCTGTGCAAAAATCTCGAAGTTTATCGTTTTCGGCAGACTTCCCTGTGGTTTCCTTTTTACCAGTGCTGCTAGATGATTCCGTGTGCAGGAGGTCGCCGAAGCTCACAGCATGCCAGATACATAGCCTGTCAACTAGCAACTCAAGTAACACATTCAAATCCTGCTGTTTTTCTGCGTTGGTTTTCTTCGCGGCCTGGATGACCCGTGTCTCTGTCGAAGATGACCCCTCACAAGATTTGCCGGCAGAAGCTTCCAAGTATATCGTCTCGAGTATCAATAGAACCTGCAATTGTGTTTCACGCATTCGTAAATCGCCGATTAACCGTTTCATTTCCTCCTTCCTCGACGACTCACGAGGAACAGAAGCTTCTGAAAAACTCCTGTTCTTCCACCACTTCATAATAAAACCGGTTTCCTCTGGATATAGTCCATTTTTCCCAATTTTTGCCTTCTTACCTCTACGTTTCCTTAGTGTGGTTGTGTTCACTGGACCTTCATCATCCGACATTCCTATAGGAATATTTTGTATCGCTTCTGGAAGAGAGTCCTTGTACTTGATATCCACCTTTTTCACAGGGAGTATGCACTCCCGATAGAAACTCGACAGATATATGGGTTTCAAGGAAGATTCCTTGCTCGAAGACTGGAAAAGAGCACGAGCGCGAGAAAGAGGTCCCTTCGCAAAATATGCCACGGAAGTCTAGAGAAAATGAGTATATATTGATATCGCGGAACATCAGGAATATGGGGGGGGGGGTTGGAACACACACCTTCGAAATATATAATGCCTCAAGATATTGAGACCTAAGAATATCAAGGAGCTCTCGAGGAGATTGATTAACTTCTGGCTGCGCAGATTCGCATGAAGGAAAACCAGCCTCTGAAGCCTGTAGGTCGATTGGGGTAGCGGTTCCCAACGTCAACAAAGGATCTGCCAACTGGCTGCTATGCTGCGCATCTGCTTCCACAACGCTGATGTCCCCCAAATCAAGCTGCTCGTCATGTGCACTGTCAAGCTCAGCAATCGAACTCACACCACTTGTTTCAGGACTGAGAGTTGGAACCGATTTCTCTTTACAAGGCCCAGACTCAAAAGCAAGAGACACCTTCGCCGCCTTTCGTTTATCCCAGACTCCGGAATCAACAGGATCAAAAATCTTTGCCTTCTCCAACCAATCCCACTCACCCTTATCATCAACAATAATATCCTCCTCCTTGGAGCCTTGCAAGAAAGCGCAACTGCCCACCCCATTCTCATTCCGCAATCCTTTCGCCGCAACCATCAAATCCCCCTCCACCACCCAGCTCCCCAGCGCGCAGACAGCATATATCCCTCGCTTAACCCTCTCCACGACATAAAATTCCTCACGCACACCAGCATTCCTCGCGACTCGAGATCGTGGAGCGGTACCCTCAGATCCAACCAGCCGTGCTGCCAGAACAACGGGCTCGAGTCTTCGCTGTTCCTGTCGTTGCTGCTGCTGAAGATCTTGTTCTAGTGTTGGAATGTTGGAGACAAATAATCTGCCAGATTGTATGCGTTGAGAGGAACGCGGGCATGGATCGAGCCATGAGAGTGGGAGCCTTGATCGGGGGATGAGGGCAAGTGGAACTAAGATGAGATGGGTTTCTGATAATTGGGAAGAACCGTGGGGCTATCCGTTGGTGAAGGTATGTTAGCTATGTATTTGGTATGTGAAAGTAGCTAGAGAATATAGCGAACTCGTAACTCAGAATGTCCGGGATTATTATTAATGTGGGTGTTAAAGGGGGAAGGAAAGTAGCTGTGAAGACATACTCTGATAGTAAATGCAGAGCAAAAAGTATTCTTTGTAATATCGGATTCATGGGATATTTTTCTCCGTTTCCATGACTGTGGTGGTAAACCCTTTAACTCGTTTAATAGAGTCGAGGATGCCGATTCAAGGACGGCAGGTCGAGAATGAGATGCCATCCATTCAATATCGACGCGACGGAATAAGCATAATGTTATATCTTACATGGACAAAATTGGTTATATAAAAAGAATGAAGGGGAGGGGGAATAGAATAAAAGAACATAGCATACACACACATACGATATTGAATTGGAGGAGTTGAACTGTTAGGCTCTGCTATATTATCTATGACTGAAGTATTTGTCGCGTGTCGGAAGGCGTCGGCCCATTTCCCGACACGGTCACGTGGCTGACGAGATGCGGGACGAAGGCACGGGGAAAGCTTCCATGCGCAACCACTCTTTATAGCACTCTTTGCAGAGCACTTTACTACACTTACTATTTACACAGGTTCCCTAATGGTAAGGTTACAGTAGTGGAAAAAGTGGATAAAAGTGATATATCTTCTGCTTCGTAATTGGCACATTTAATTACGAGACATCGTTGCCTACTTGTGTAGGTATGTACGTTCAGCTCGTGTAGTGTAGAATTGAGTACATGTGCAGTTCGTTTCCACTCAGAAACAGTGTGCCATACCGATATGGTCTTCCTTCATTCCAGTGAGCATTAACACTCAAAAGCTGGACCCTAAGCCCCATCCATTAAGACAAAATGAGACATGTGGAAAACTACCACAAATATTAAGGACGAAAAAAGAGGTTGTGGAAAAAGCCTGTCCCCTCTCTATATCCTTGCCCGATGGAGAAAAAGATGTTGAAAACTTTTTGCTCTGCAAACGCCCTGGAAATGAATCGTGAAATCAAAGTCATGAAATTAGTATCATATGTTGAATTGTTCTTCCAGAACCCTTTAGTTGAGGAGGTTCAAACATGCATGTAGATCGAAAAAGGAAAAAGGAGAATAGAAGGTGTGAGAAGAAAATGGAAACAATTCGAACACTAGAAACACCCTTTCGTGTAGTCTATACCGGGAGCTTTGAGTTGTTGGAAACAAAGCAAAAAATCGTCACAGTCGTGAGACGTAGTGTCGTTTTGAAATGATGGAATGGAGAGACATCTAGAATTTGAGGGTCTTGGGCTTCTCCCACGAAAAGCTCTGGTTAGTGAAGTGGCCGTACTTGGCGGTTTGAAAGTAGATGGGCTTCGCCAAATCGAGCTCCTTCACAATGACACCAGGGCGGAGATCGAAGTTGTTGCGGATGATCTGGACCAATTCGCTTTGCGACTTTGATGAAGTGCCATAAGTTTCGACGAATATGGAGAGGGGTTCAGCGATACCAATGGCGTAGGAAAGCTGGACGAGGGCACGGCGGGCAAGGCCTGCGCTAACGAGGGACTTGGCAATCCATCGCGCAACGTAGGCGGCAGAGCGATCAACCTTGGAGTAGTCCTTGCCGGAGAAGGCACCACCACCGTGGGCACCCCATCCACCGTAGGTGTCGACGATGATCTTCCGGCCTGTGAGACCAGCGTCACCCTGAGGGCCACCGATAATGAAAAGACCGGATGGTTGAATATGATAGACAGTGCGGTCGTCGAGGAGGTTGGAGGGAATAACTTTCTTGATGATTTTTTCGAGGAGTTCCTTTCGCAATTCTTCAGTGGTGATGTCTTCACTGTGTTGAGTGCTCATGACGATAGTATCAACTCGGAAGGGTTTGACTGCGCCATTGTCATGCGCATACTCGATGGTGACTTGGGTCTTGGTGTCAGGTCGCAGCCAAGGAAGGGTCCCGTCTACGCGGGCATCCCTCAAAGCTTTGTTAAGCTTGTGAGCCAGCAACAGGGTCAAAGGCAACAACTCAGGGGTTTCATCGGTAGCATATCCAAACATGATACCCTGGTCACCAGCTCCAAGCTTCTCCAGAGCCTCATCGTAGTGAAGGCCCTGGGCAATATCTGGCGATTGTTGTTCAATGGCAACGAGGACGTTGCAGGTCTTGTAGTCGAATCCCTTGGAGGAGTCATCGTAGCCAATGTCTTTGATGGCATTTCGGATAATCTTCTGGTAGTCGAGGTGGGCCTTGGTAGTGATTTCACCGAAAACCATAATCATACATAAACCGGATTGTTAGGATACGCGAAGCCCAGTACAAATGATGAAATAATGGAACCTACCAGTTTTGGTGGCGGTTTCACAAGCAACCTGGCCATTCATGTTAGAATTGAAACACAAACTTCCTCCGATGTCTTATCTTCGGAGGGGCAGAAGGATTCCGCAATTTACCTTGGAGAGAGGATCCTCAGCGAGACAGGCATCGAGGACAGCGTCAGATACTTGGTCGCTACGAAAGGATTATTAATTAATTCATCTCTACAAGACTAACTTTAAACGGAGCATACTCACGCAATCTTATCAGGGTGGCCTTCGCCCACAGCTTCTGAGGTGAACAGGAAAGTCCCCTGTTGTGGGGCGCCGTCCTGAATGCTGCCCATTGTGGACTCGAGAGAGGGGGAATCGGAGGATTGCGGAGGCTAAATGTAAATAAAAGGGACAGGCGACAAGAGAAAAATAGGTAATGGTCGATGCAGGAGGATATTGAGATAATGAGGAGGGAATGAGGAGGGAATGAAGATAAATATTTATATGGAGAAGAGGAGTTGGTTAAAAAAAAAGGAGTGTTGGTTTGAAGAAAAGCGAGACGAGAAAATCCAAAATTTGGGCAAAAAACACCAAAGGCGGCGGGGAACCGGCTGATCGTAGTGCCAGGGCACTGGGCTAGACCCAATTGAGAGTGGCGGCAGTCATCGCAACATCGCCGCTTTAGGACAGCGGTGGACAGCGACAGAATTGTCTTTTCATGGGTCTTGCGGAAAAAACAGTTTTCAAGAATTGACTGAAGAGATAATGGGAAGAACACTTTCTATGCAGCGTTTCAGAGGAGATGACGTCGGAGATTAGGATGATTGCTATAGCTCATGCTTTAGGATTGATTTTAAGAGCGGCTCTGACACCATGATAGCCTCTGACACCCACAACGCCTAGATCCGCCTGCACTACTCAGCAGCTCAACGCCTCCTCACGATCCATCCGCAATATATCACATATATAACCTCATACACAATACCTAAATAGATATCACCACCACTTTCCGCCATGTCGAAATTTGGCGTCCTCGTCATGGGCCCAGCGGGCGCCGGCAAAACCACCTTCTGCACCGCCCTCATCCAACACCTCCAAAACAACCGTCGAAGTTCTTTCTACGTCAACCTCGACCCGGCCGCTGAAACCTTCACTTTCGAACCAGACCTCGATATCCGTGAACTAATCACCGTAGAAGATGTAATGGAAGAGCTTGGTCTGGGCCCCAATGGCGGATTAATGTACTGCTTCGAATTCCTCCTGCAGAACCTCGATTTCTTAACGGAGGCTCTCGACCCGCTCAGCGACGAATATCTAATCATCTTCGACATGCCCGGCCAGATTGAGCTATATACACACATCCCGCTACTTCCTTCGTTAATACAGCATTTGTCCCGTGCGGGGCCGCTGAATATTTCTCTTTGCGCTGCGTATCTGTTAGAGAGCACATTTGTTGTTGATCGCGCCAAGTTCTTCGCAGGCGCATTAAGCGCAATGTCTGCGATGATCATGTTGGAGATGCCGCATGTGAATATCTTGAGCAAGATGGATCAGGTTAAGGGGGTGATTGGGAAAAGGGAGTTGAAGCGCTTCACAACTGTGGACGTGCACCTACTAGACGAAGAGAACCAAGGCGGCGGGGGACGTGTGGATGATGAAGGAACTGCACACGCACCGGAGGACCCCTTGTCTACAAATGCACTGTTGAGTGGGAGTTCCTTTAAACGACTTAATCGAGCTGTTGGTCAGCTGATAGATGATTTCAGCATGGTGTCGTTTTTAAAATTGGATGTTCAAGACGAGGATAGCATTGGTAGCGTGCTGAGCTATATCGATGATGCGATACAGTTCCATGAAGCGCAGGAACCGAGGGAGCCAGCTGATGAGCAGGAGGTGGATATGGAGTGAAGAAGGATGGCTTGAATGTGACGAGTAAAACAGATCGACCAATGTTTGCCAGTCCTGTCTACCGGGGTTTTGCGGGTTTGTGCTCTCGCAACCTCTGGACAATCAAATTATATACCCTTCTGATATTACCTAACAGCGCCAGGCATCCTTTTACCGCCTTTGGGAGCAAGGATGGTATCCATATCAAAAGATGATCCGGCGATGCAAGGTACCTTCCCAGCATCTGTGCGCAACCAAGCAGAGTATTCGATACAATGGATTTCAGCTTGGAAATATATTAATACCAACCTGTGAATGATTACTCTGCCAAGAAAACCTATTTATAATAACATCGAGAGTATAGTTAACTACCTGCAACTTTGATTGCAGACTCGCAAAATCCAATCAATCAGCCAAGCAAATGAATAGGCAAACATAGAACTGGAGTGGCCAAACAATGAAATGTTCTAACAACCCCAGCTCAATCAGGAGTATAATAAAAATTTTAAACATGTATATGTATATATAGAAACCCTAATAATACCCATCAAATTCAAATCCAACTCGTTCGCTTCCTCCCCTGCTCCCGTCGCGTCCGCCAGTATATCGGCGACGCACCATCCGCCCCTGCCGGCTTCCCATCCCAACTGCTGGCCACAAACTCCTCAATAAACCCCTCAAGCACACCTAGTAGCCATCCCACATCCCTCGACGCCTTCTCAAACCCAACAACATACACGTAATACCCGCCACCAAGTATCGAACCCCAGAACACGAGCCGGAACAACAGTACGACCCAGAATGCGATGATGCGACGGGCGTAATCGAGGATCCTGAGCGAGAGGTAGAGGATAACGCAGAGGATGAGGACTGAGGGGAGGTCTGGTGGGGAGTTTATGAGGGTGTATAGTGGGGAGATGACGTAGGGTTGTAGATATTCTTGTTGCACGATGTGGAAGTGTGTGTTGAATGTGCTGTAGTATGAGAGGGCTTGCAGGGAGACCGAGGGGGGGATGTATTTGCTGGCGTTTTGGAGGACAGGGATGATGTATTCTGTATTAATTGAGAAATCATATAAGTTTCCAGTTATCTAAGTCTGCAAGAAATGTGATGGGGTGTCAAACATACCATGCACCGCTTCCATGATAAAAACAAGCAAAAACAAAGGGGGCTAGAGGGCCTTTATGAGCGGTTATCCCCAAAGAAAAGGCAGATGCGCAAGGAAGTCCGCGCAGTCGCCGGTTGCGGGATATGAATCACAGTGACGCAAATGGTGACATGGATGAAGTTTTAAGTCAAAAATGCAAGAATCACGAGGACGATATTTATAAGCAACAGAGACCTGTAAAACACGAAAGGCAATTTAAATGGAAATGCAAAAAGTCTTGTTCCTTTTTGGGTGAAAAGAAACGCGGCTTTGCTGTCAAACAGTGCAAACAACTAAAAGCGCAGCGCCCTTGTCACACCATTCCCATTTAGGAAATACCTAAACATTGCCAGGGGTTCTGACATGTTATTAGTACGGAGTAACGTATTTTCACATGTTAACTAAAAACTCCAACTTAGCAACCTCGAAATGGACTTTGCTTGGCTCTTCACCATATGGTCCCAGACAACCAACGTAGAGGTGCAAGCTCTGTCTTGATGTGACACTTTGTTTATATAAAACATGGTAAGAAGCAGCCGCCACAGTTCATCAGTACTCCTTCTGTTACATTTCTTTATATATCTGTTTATATCTATGCATGTCTATTTTCTATATACTTAAATTCAACGCGATATCTATATAAAAAGGGCTTAGCTTACAACCAATTTGACATCTCGAGAGTAGCTAAGAGTCACACTTACAAGACGGCACCTATATAGAGGGAAGAAAGCCTCCATCAGAGCAGAGCCTCTTTAGGATCTGCTGGGTGCCAGTTCCGGATTGCACAGCTGCTTGAGGAACAGAAATCGGTGTTATCAGTTGAAAGCAAGTAATCATCATTATCCATCTTAACCAGCTCCCAACCGTGAAAGGGTGGCTTTCATATAGTTTCCACCTTGACAATGTCAGATGCTTTGCTGGAGGATACTACACTCTTGTGGAAGCGATTGACTTTACGTTAAGTCGTAAATGGAGATTGCATGAAAATAATCTCACAAGACGAGAAGCTCTCTCTCGGCTCCAGATAACAACGACTGGCCACAGGTACCTATCATATAGGTTGAACTCACCTTTTGAAGATGCTTATGTGTCTGCAACAACAATTAGCTTTTTGTGCATATATTATCAGAATGATGGTAAGATTTAGACAATGGAGTTGGTTTACATGAAAAGTCCCACAGTAAGACTAAAGGAGAAGATAATATGGATTTGGAGGAATATTTCATAATAATTCCGACGTAGCCAGATGGATGAAAAGACAAGTAGTGAGGACATGTATACAGTTCCCTATTAAATTCCCAACGTCAGGTCAAGGGAAAGCGGCCGGCTGATGGTCGAGGAGTGATACTAGTAAATGGAAACACAAAACTCAACAACAACACCCATATACCACCATGGTTGTGGCTAATATAAGAAATACGATTTCTTCACCTCAATGATAGAATAGCCCATCGGGTTAGTAAAGGGCACTGTTTCGATCCATAGGGAAGAAAGGATTCCCACCCTGCAGTGTGAGTATTGTATATCCAATTGAATGGATAATGGCTTGGATTGTAGCAACCCTTGCAATTGCGTTATGGAACGAGTTAAACGTCAGGAAACTCCAATGCGCAATACCTCTGGCTATACTCCACCACCCTCAAATCACGAATATAATCACAGTATAATATTAATTCGGCTGACTTCTCGTCAACTCCGGCGGAACATTGTTCTAGGGATACAAAATTATTTTCCACCGCATAATTGTGAACAACTGACGAGAGAACAGTGCAAAGCGTGCAATCGAAGTTGGCGGCCAAATACTTGATCGTCTGCCTTATTCAGTAGAGAGAGAAAGCAAGGGAAGAGTCAACTACTGTGAGGAGGAGGATGATGATGCGCGACTTAACGGGTGTCCATATGTAAAGTGAGAAACTTGATGGAATGACCTTAGCTCCAGAGATTATTTCCTATCGCCCTCCGCCTCAACGGTTGAACTAATTTATGATGAAGACAAAAATGAGAGATGACTTTACTACTAATTAACCAGAAAGGATGGGTTGGATTGGATATAACACCCCATCAAGAAAAACACGGTTAACACTGCCCCACCCCTGCATGCTTGCTGATTACCGTCCTGGTTCGCCGGGAGTGAGTAGTGACAAACAGCGTGGTACAAGCTGCACAGTGTGCCATTTCATTGACTCAATCCTAATGAGTAGTTAGAATGTACGGAGTACGTAATACCTGATATGAGTATGGGAATATGAATATCCGTATATATATTCACGAGAGCTCATTTGATCTAGAGCACTGAATAACCAAATGTTTTTGAACTGAAATAAATGATAGCAAGAACCGAGTCCATTACGTGTATGGTAAATTGGACTAACCGAACAAAACACCTCACCGGGCGACGTCCCTTCATCAACACAAGGCACTATGGCGGAGTGGTTAACGCGATGCCCTGCTATTAATTCTTCATAAGAACATAGTGAGGCATTTCCTTCGGGAGCGCAGGTTCGAATCCTGCTGGTGTCGGATTTCAGAGCCGGTTGCTATTGTCCTTTAACCTTTTGCTGTTTGTAAGTGTTTCTTTTGCCCAACCCAGTCAACAATTTCTGTATCAAAAGTGGTAGTCCCTCCTCCTTTTCAGACGCTCATATCTTGATTTCTGTAATTAGCTTTTCAGCTTCTGTTGGTTCAGGGCGAACTTGTCATGCTGATCTTGTCCTCGTCTCTTTGTCTCCTAGCCTTCCGACAAGAAACACTTCCGCGTGAAAGCCCTACAAATCATCATCATGGGTACAATTCGGCCATTACTCGTCGTGATACGGTGACGACCTCGGGAGTGTGATGGATTCTAGGTTGAATCCTTATTGCTGGATGCGGTGGACGTGTTTTAGCTCCAATCGCCAAATTGCCACGATCCGTAGAAATTACGCGGACTTCAAACTTCACCTCAAGTGAATTTCCAAGTGTTTCTTTTTGTCGTGATGCTGTCCTAACACAGGATCAAGGAGGTATTTGTTGGACGTCTGAGTGGTTGTATTGGTAGTATGCAGTGTGCCGTGCGCTAGTCTGTAACAGGAAGCCTAGGCTCCAACGTTCCCTCGTGAAGTTCTCGTGTCATTTCCGCGGTTCGTGGCAATTTGGCGATTGGAGCCAAACACGTCCACCGCATCCACCACCGGACGCGTTTTCAATGAGGACCCTCCCTGAGGCCCTCAAGGGAGTTAGGACTTGGGGAAATGATTTTGATAAAAATTGATCTTCTTCTATTTGCCTCCCAGCTCTTATTGAGGAGGAACATGCATATTCGCCAGAGTACTCGTGCGCTTGACTGTCTTCAAACCTTTACATCGTCATGCGAAACCAAGAAGACGGTGCGGGCGCTGAGAAGTGGTATAATAGAAAGAAAACAAAGTTGCAAAAATGCTCCAGGAAATAGCTAATTGAGACTAAATTCCCAGAGGAGGGATAAACAAAAGTTTCAAGAAATCCGCCCGCCGTCCATGTGAAGCCCAACGAAGGGGGAAAAATTATTGTCTCCAAGATGAAGAGTATAGTACACCAATGCCCATAAAAGACCAACCTGAGGAACGCAGAATAGAAGTGGAAAAGAAACCACCCAAATCCCCCATGCTATTTAAACATGCAAGTTTAAAAAAAAAGTTAAAAGTACACACAACCCTCCAAGAAAAAATCATGGGGGAAAATTAAAATCACAAAGCTGGACCAAGTTATGTGACAAGTCAAAAAAAAAAAAAAAAAAAAAAAATGGCAGCTTTTGCCTTAAACAAATGGATGCGCAGTATTTTCGCTGAAGACAGAAAAGGCAATAGATTCCCGTCCACGACAACTAAAAAAAGTAACGCCTGGGCTAATGCGAGCAAGAATGCAAATGTCAACAGAAAAGAGGGCGTAAAAGAAACGTTGTCGAGGTTAAAAAGCGAAAGGTTGGAAGTTTCGGGCAGAGATGATAAGAATAAACTTAGACAAACTGCAAAAGGATTACAAAACTTATATACTCTGTACAGAAGCGCTGGATGTTGTGTGCATGCATATATGTATGTGTATGTGGGTGAATGCGATATGTAATGGATGCCATGTTGGATACTGAACTGTATGTGTATGAAAGGTTCAATCAAAAATTAAAAAATCAATTAGCAATACGCAATTTCTCTCCGTCGGGGATTGGTATTCGATTGATAGAAGATGGCAGATGAGCATCGCGGGATGCCGACAGCTGCTACCAGTTGGATGTGTAATTGCGAAACCTCATAGAAACTAGAATTGGTCGAGTTTGGTTCGACGCAACTGGATGCAGAGTGTGTCCCAGTATATTTGTAGAGGAGCAAGTTTTATTTAACCACAGTTGTATAGTGTAGCGGTTAGCACGCCAGATTCAGATTTCTGGAGACCTGGATTCACAGTACGATCTACCGTAAAGCATATAAACCAAAATTGATTGGCTCTCCCTTATATGATGAGGTGGACAAGACAGTTTTGTTTATTGCCGGGTGAATGTTTTTGCGAGGCGGGGTGTAGTGTATAGAATGACATGTATCATGTACAGGAATCATCGCATAAAGTCAAGCGGAAGCCGTGATTCGGAAGGCCATAGTTGAGTAATTAAAAAAAACGGGAGAAGATCATTCTGCCGAGACCGGGTTTCTATTGTTTTCACGTTCGGCTTGAATTTGAGCCTGAAGCTTGCGTGTCTGACGGAATGCCTCGTCTCTGTTTGAAATGAAAAAAAGGGAGTGTGGATTAGTATAAGAAATAGATGGAAAACGGCAAAAATAAAACTGGGTGATGCATACCTATCAAATTGCAACTCAGCAACTTCGATTTGTGCCTGATTCATACGGCTAACAACAGTTTCCATCTCCAACTCAGCATCACGTAGAGCTTTCTCAAGCTCCTTTACACGGGCTTCGACAGCTTCCATCTTAATCGCTTGGTTCAGCGACATTCCTTCTCCACTTGTTGTCATCGTAAGACGCGGGGATCGTGAACCGGAAAAGGGAGAGCTGGGCATCATCGGGGAGAGCAGTACGGGACTCCTGACGCCATTCCTTGCGCGCCGAAGTTGGGCGTTGTGGTTTTGCCGTAGGGTTTCGATTTCCAACTCGTGTTTTGCAACCTCTTCTTCGGAGGCTTGCTGGGCCATCATCAGAGCGTCTTCAAGGAACTTGAGGCGGGTTTGCATCTCGTTGATCCGGTTAGCAGAGACGTTTTGTTCGCGCTCTCCTTTGTCAATTGCTTCCCAGAGACGATGTTTCAATGCACTGTTAGTCGCCAATTGCTGCTGGACTTGAAGGCCAAGTGTATTGTCCGGGTCTTGGGAATATGAGCTGTCAGCTTGTAGCTGTTTGTAAGCATCTTCCAGTGAAGAGCTGGATGCGGTGAAATCCGCCAGATCGTTTTTAGCTGCACTAGGGACAAGGATATCGTGTTCCCGCAGGAGCGCACGGAGCGAACCAGTCTCCTGCTCAGCACGGTCCAGGTCCATTTTCAAACCGGCCAGTCCTTTCTCACACCTCCATTTTTGTTCCAGAGCCTCATCAGCCCGATGTCTGAGCAAGTTGATTTCTTCTCGTAGATTTATAACATCCCTTTCATAGCCGAGTCTCCGTGGAGAGCCTGATTGTCGAGCACGGTCAAGTTCTGCTTCTAGCATTCGGATTCGCTTCTTGTATTGTTGGGCTTCCCAATTCTGGCGTTGAAGGAGGCTCTTGACAGTTTGATGGAGAGCGTCCCGTTGTAATTCGACATCTTTCATCCGATCTACCAATGATTCTTTCAAGTCCCGCTCCTTAACAATCATCGAGGCCGGGCGAGAGCTGGGTTTGGAAATGGATCCCGATCGTCCTAAACCAGCCAATCTCGATCCTATGCGCGCAAGAGAATTTGATCTCGACAGGCTGCCCCTTCTCGTCACCGACTCCTCGTCCTCTTCAACTATCGATCTGATGCGTGTTTGTTGTTGTTGTTGTTGCAAATCTAACTGTATTTTCCTCGACTGATATAATGTATTATTTTCCGTGCGCAGAACTTGTGTATCTTTATTCATTTTTGCTTTAAGTTGCGGGACGATATAATCTCGAAGTTGGTCCCGTTCGTTTCGAAGCTGTTCAAGTTCAACTCGCATAGCCGTCAGCAAGTCCTCAAAGTTGTCTTTCAACTGTCTTTCCTCAGATAAACGCCGTCGAGTGTCTTCCAAGGCAGTCTCCAGTTCTTTTGTTTTGGAGCTAATATTTGATGCATCCACTCTCTCGCGACGTAGCTAGACCGGAAGGAGTCAGTTATGCAACACACGCAATTAATAAATATAGAGACTTTATCCATCATACCTGATCCACTTGACCCTCTAGAATTCGCACATGAGACTCAAAAGCTATCCGACGAGATCGTTCTTCCTGCCACTTTTGCGATAAATCAACCTTTAGCCGGGCTCGCTCCTGCTCCAAAGTTCTCTTCATTCTATAGAAATCTTCCGTTTTGTTCCCGTCCACGTCACCGAGGGGGTATTTTACAGAACTGGTTCCAGAGTCGGAGAAGTAATCGCTCGTGCGGCGATTTTGTTCAGATCCAACACCGGCTTCCAGCTGTAACCTCTCAACCATAATCTCCAACTCCATCTCACGTCTGATAGAGCCTGCCAACTCGGAACTGATCTCGCGCAACTCATGTTCCATCTCCATCAATTTTCCATCCATTTCCTGCTCCACGATGGACATTGCCCTATCGGGCATTCTGGAACCAGATGCACCATACGAATCCTGGGAGGGGTAGCGTGAGGAGATAGAGGATTGGAAAACTGAGCCATTCAATGGAGATGGAAGGGATGAGGGCCCCGAATCGGAAATTTCGGTGCTGCTCGATTCCGCTCCAGGGGAAGACGTGGTTTTCCAACCGAAAAATGATGTGATTTTGTTTCCTGGTGTCTTTGGCTGGTTTCTGTATTCGGTTAAGTTGGACATTGTTCCTGCTGAATCCACCTGAAGCGGTGGACGCGTCTGTGATGGAAGATGTAAAGTCATGATGACCGAACGTTTGTGCTCCGTGCTCTTATGGGAATCCTGGGCAGGGGTGGGAGACACGGGAGGGACTAGGGGCTTGCTGACAACGCGGGACCGAACGGAATGCTCGAGCTGGCTTCCATTCGCGCATTCGAAAACACCGTCCCTTTGTTGGTCGAGAGTGTTCGAAGAGGAAAGGACAGGAGATTGCCCGTGAGGGAACCTTCAGGTTAAGCACAAGGGATCAGGAAGAGTGTTAATTGAATTTAAATAATGTAACTAGAACTAAAGCCAATAAGGAGGCCGGAGATATGCAATCAATGAGACTGTCAACGTACCGATCGAGATCCCTAACTACGAGTCTAGGAGAAGATTCCTTCTGGGAAATGGGCGACGAGGGAACGGGCTGGTCGTTCAAACTATTACTATTATCGGAGGGAGGAAGGTTCGGGCCCAGGTGCGAGGAAAAGGCGGGGAGAAGTTTCCTGTGGAAAAGAGCAGCAACAATGGGTCGTTTGCCTGAAAGAACGGGTTGGAGTGAGAAAGGAGGAACTTTCTGGCGTTGTTGGAGCAAAGTCGACTGGCCAGAAGACGGATCTGAAAGTAGGAAAACACTATTATTATTTTGGTTGGCGGAAGCGCTCGACGGAGGTGGACAGATAGACATAATTAACTAATAGTCAATGTTTTCTGAGGATGATTAACCAGTCAAAAGCGTTGACGATGTCCCTTAGGCCGCAACGCAGAGGAAGATGCATGGACGAATGAGGATCTATTGGCGCCAATCACTGCAGGGAACAACGTACGCCAGTGCAGTCATATCAGGGGGGGGGGGTTCCAAAGATCATTGGCCCAGAGAGAACACACCACTGCAAGGGCTGTTGGTAAGAGTGATTGATTAGTTAGAGTAACGATTTGCTCGAAGGCGCCAAAGACTTGCATTCCCCTTATATCGTCTGGCGTGTAGTCTGGTGGGCTAGTGGATAGTGGAATCGCGAAAAGAAAAAAAAAAAAAATTAAACTCTAGCGACTTCTGCACTGCTCCATAGGAACCATTAAGCCGCGTTAAAAGGCGGAGGCGTGCTCCAAACTGGAACCAAGGGGAAATGTCTCGAGTGGACCACTCAGCGGGGCAGCTGGCTGGCTGCAAGGCACGGCAAAAGTGGGTCACCCTTGAGGGTGAGACGAGGAATTGTGGACCCCTTGGTGTGGCGTCTAGTGGAGAGGACAGACAAGACAGCAGCCCAAAGCTTAAGGTTCACCAGGCGAAGCTCCAACAAAGTGGAGTATTCCACTCCGCAGATGGAATGGAACGAATGGAACCGTGGAAGACACAAAGAGAATGCACAAAATCGAACACAGATCCTCCTGTATATGATGTAATCTGAATCCAGGGGAACGGAAAGGAACCGTTCTACGTACCGCTGAAGGATAACGATCGTGATTGATGACAGGGAGCGGAGTTGTCGACTTGTTACACAACATTTGCATGAAAGATCTAGGGTGACAGGATCGTTCTATTTTGGGGACAGTTGCAAAGAATCCGGTTCCCCGCAGGTTGATGGGTGTGGAAGCTTTAACGCGGTGGATGCTGGTGAGTATCAATTTGGGGTTGAAAGAATACAATGCCATTTTTGAAGCCTGCGGTCACTAACTCGGCCGGTTGGGCTAGCAACCTCATTCCGCGTTCTCTTGTATATCTCAAGAAGAATTACAATTTTACATCTCCTGTGAATGCGTCATATTCCCCCTTCGTACTGCTCTGGTGATTCACTCCTCTACGGAAGTATAAACTTACAGATATCAAAAACTCCCCCCTTTAACTATGCTTTAAATCTCCCTACGCGCCCGCTTTTGAACTTTAGCCGGCTACCATCAGCCAATGAGCAGAGAGGCATTCAGAGGCAAACTCCCCAGATCCATGGCTCGGAAATATCCTCATTCCTTCACAGTAAGACATAACATACATGCAACAGGGGGCAATGGGCGGAAGGATGTGAGAAACAAAATGAGCAACCTATGATTCTCCGTATATCAGCACTTCGCTAAAACACAATCCTCTGGAGTTCTTCTTAGTTTGACTTTCTGGTTTGAAACAGAAGAGCAGCATCGGGGGGGCAACAAGGAACTAGCTTGATATATATATATATATATATATACATACTTTGTGCCAGGAATCAATATCCTTTTCCTTCTCAGATTGCCACTTGCTGATCTTTACCCCAATTCTGCCACTATTATGATCATCGGGAGACATCCTTCGGCTTACGCGGTAGTTACTCGCATACGCCAGCAGATGATCCATGTCCCTGGAAGGGCCGCTTTTTCCATTGGCAATTCATTCATGGGAAGTGCTCCTCTCGAGTCTAATTGACTCCCGGTTTTACGGATCCATTGCAACCTTTCTCCAGTCTCCGAAGCTCAGGGGAAACTGCTGGATCGGAAGATTTAAGTTAAATTCATTGGTGAGACACAAAACTATACATTTTTTGTTAACCAATCATCACCGAGCCGGTCTCCCCAGCACCTGTGCCGATGTTTTGCGGCGCGTCTGTCTTGAACTTTGTTAGCTTGCATTGCGGAGAGCTGAATATATCTATCTGCGCACCACTCCTCTTGTCAATAACTACAGTTCCCAGCAAAGCAAGATCCTCTAAAAACTGTACACATCTGCTTCGAGATTCTCCTCGACAAATTTGATGTAGCAAGATGCTTTTTCTCGTAACAGAATCCAGTATAAGTTAGCTTTTTGTCATGCAGCATGCATGCACAATCCATACTCTATCTGTGCCTGGTTATATGTATGTTGTATGTTGAAACGCGAAATCCCAATATTAAAACATATCCAAAGACAGGGCCAATGGTCAAAGGCTTGCGAAGGAGAGGGGGGGAAGCACAAAAATATAAATACGAAAAAGAGAGCCCCGAGGTGGACTTTTATCCTTCACAAGCAAGTATCACCATCTCCCATCCTCCACAATGAAGTGCCTCTATTAAATTAGGTAAACCAAATGAACCGTATATAATCGAAACAATAAAGAAAAGAAATACACCATTCTATCTGTCAAAAGAATACCTCAACCACTCCCCAACCGCCTTCAAACTCTCCCACCTAACCGTCTCATCCGGATCAGCCATCAACTCCATCACCCTTGTCTTGAGCCCCAGTCTCTCTAGCTGCTGTCGTCTCTCTGGCAACTCCTTCACCAGACAACCCACATCGTTACACGCAATAGCCAAAACCTGTTTATCTGCCTCCCAGTTCTTCGACAATATCTCAGCCAGCTTCTTGGGGAGCTGCCCGCGGTCTTCGTCGAGGATGCGGCGTGCATTCTCCCGCCAGAAGGTTGCGCTGCGGTGCGGTGGGGACCAGCGGAGATGGCCCGTTTGCACCTCTGCGGCGTATTCGTCAAAGGTTGTCTGCGTCTTCGTGTACTCCTCCAGCATGCCTATGAGGGCGTTGAGGTCCTCGAGTAAATCTGGATCTGTCAAGTGGCGGCTGCTGAGATTACTGAGGAGAGCTGGGAGGCGGAGAAATACGGCGATTGGTAGGAGAATCATGCGGTTGGCGGAGAGGAGATTGTAGAGGGTTGAGAGGAGGAGGCGAGTTGTCTTTTCCTTTGGCGAAAGGCGGAGTAGTTGGGTGTATAGAGTCAGGATATCTTGTTCACTGCAAGAGGGTATCAGTACAGTGCATATGACTGATATATAGGGGTGGGTGTATTAGCTGGGACTAAGGTATCGTACGATTCAAGTTCCTCACCAACTAAGCTTCCCTCGAAGCTCAACTGCCAGATCACGAGGAGGATGTGATATAAGAGCTGTAGCCCCACTCCTCCACCAATACCTGACTCGATGTTGCGTGTGCTTGACGATCCACCTAGTGTGGATGAACCATTATCCTTTGATCCCGCAGCGGCCCTGAGTACGTCCATCAGTGGTTCAATAGTTGCTTCCTTCTGACTCCAAAAGACCTCTCTTGATCGCTTAGTTCTCAGCAATGCTGAATATTGCTGAACGCCAATATCCTGTAACCCCGTATCTTGGCTTTTCGTCAGTGTTGCGAGGTATGAGTAGAGTCGAGGAAGCGCTTCTGAATCGGGTAACGTAGTTTTCGAATTTGACATCAGAGAGGTTGACACAAGGCTTGTCAAGAAAGCTGACGCGAGGAGGGGTATGGGGTCCTCTGGGTTCGAGGAGTGCTGCAGGAGAGGTAGGTAATGTCGGTAACGGTCTGGTTCTTGGACCAAGGCGGACGCTAAAGCGGGGACATCTATGATGGTTGTCAGAACCTGTGGCCTTTTCATGCTCCAAGCACCGCCTGCTAGAGGACTGTTCTGCTGAATAATGATTGGAATTCAATACCATTGATCAGGTCCGCCGCCAGGACCAGAATGTATTGTACTATATCCGTCCGTCTCGACGCTGCCTCCAGTATGCTCTTCCCACCACTGCCTCCGACAAGCAGAGTTGTATAAGCCTTCAAATCATTCTGGACTGTTTTCTGTCGTGGCTCCCTGCGCACCTTGTCGACGGCTTTGATGCGCTTGAGCTGGTCTTCGGTGATGTTCCCAGCTCGAACAGCGCCCTCCCAAGGTATGGGCCGGGCACGGATGTTGCTCTGCAGGGAACTAAGATATGTAGGCAGGTCCAAAGACATCGTCACTGGGAAGTATTAGGATGTGTGGACGATGTCTTGTAGGCCGAGACGTGACACCATTGGCAATGTGAAGGAGAGGGTGCAGAGGGCAGAGGGAAGCCAGCAGTCTCCTTTTCAAGCTGGTGTTCTGCTGACCAGGAACGGTGCAGGTGATGGCAGTGGAGGTTGGTAGCAGTAGTTGTTGATTATCGTCCGTAGTTTCGTTCGTCCGTAGTGAATCAAGTATGTCGTCTAAAGTATGTAGTTGTCTGCTGTTGTTACCACCTACGCTAAGGCCGGTTGTGCCAAGACTCACCAGCTGTTGTTGAACCAACGGGATTGCGCAACCTTCAATAACTTGAGGACACTGCTCAGCCCTCTTTCATGTCCCTGAGATTTGGCGGAACGGCGCTGTTCTTCTTTGTATTATTCATCATTATATCTACGGTCTGCTCAATACCCACATTAACCTTGGGGGTGTTCTGATCTCCTCCCAGGCTTCCGTGCCGCGAACTTAAATAACTACGCCTCTACCTAGTTATCTATCCTGGCGCTTTCTGTCGTTTTCTGTGGCTGACTGGTGTGGTGTGACCTACATAACCTGCATGTAGCAGCAGCAGCCCTTGCTATTATTATATTTATTAGACCACCTCACGAGAATACACCAGACCGGCTTACTTGGATACTCCCCCGCTCAATGACAGTGCTATGGGACGAACGCGGGCTTGGGAGCTAGCTTTGAAGATATTCTGTGGACCGAACAATACATCATGTCGGCAAACCCTCAGCCTCCGAAGAAGTCGGGATGGGGAGGCTTTCTCCAGCAGGCGATTGCAGGAGTCGAATCCAGACTAGACACGATTCTGGCGGACCAAGAGGAGGAACATGTAGCTAAAGAGGCAGATAAAGGCAATCAGCAGCCTGAGCAACCAGCACTACAGGCTGGGATGTCATTCGCGAAGCCTGTCCCCCCTGGTATGCGAAACCTCTACTCCATCTATGCTGGGTGTGCTTCCTTGTAGATAGACTAACCTACCCACAGCACACTCCAGAAGCTCATCGATTGCGAAAACGAATGACCGTCTTCAAGAAAGTCTGGCCCGGGTAATGGCTAAACGAGAGGTCGCCACTGGAAGCCCCGTATCGACACTTGGAGTCTCTTCCCGCGCTGAAAGCCCTCTCTTTAGGGTCGATGGTCGAACGAGTCTGGATAGCGTCTCTGCTGGGGTAGATTCCCGTGCTGTGAAAGATGATACTGCATCAATTTCGTCTTCTGCTCCGCGTTCGAGCCAAGATATCCATTCATTCCCGCGGAAGTCTAAAGAGATTCAATCGGATTCATCTGGGAAGCCTAACGGTCGTGGTATAGAGGATGACAGACGAGAAACTAGGCACTCAGTGGATGGAGATACCGACTCTTCAGCAGCCTCAGAAAGACATATCCATGCGATCGGAATGACCGGAATGACCGAAGGAACAACAACTTCTACGTCAGACTATGAAGAAGCTATGGCGCAAATGAAAGCGAACCATGAAGCCTCAGAGCTCCAATGGCAGGAAGAACTGCATGCATATGTGGAAAGGATAGATGCTTTGCAATCAAAATTAAAATATCTGGCAAAGGAGGCTGCAGAGTCAGCTAAAAATGCTGCAGCATCCGCAGGCGCCGGGACTCTTGAGAAAAAGCTTCTTGAAAAAGACGAGCAAATTGCTAACTTAATGGAGGAGGGCCAGAAACTTTCAAAGACCGAACTGGACCATCGAGCAACCATTAAGAAATTGCGCCAAAATATTGCAGAGAGCGTGAAGTCTCAGGCAGACACTAAAAGGAAGTTTGAGAAAATGGAAAAGGACCTTGCAAATGCAGAGGATAGAGCAAGTCGCGCAGAGTCTGCTGAGCGGAAGGCGACAGAAAAACTCAATTTTAAATCCAAGATTGAAAAAGAACTTGAAGCAGTTACCGCAGAACTCAATGTATCTAATTCAACAATAGCGGACCTGAAGGGCCAGTTAGCAAAGTCTGCGTCTAGAGCTGAAGCAGCAGAACGGAAAGCCAAATTGGAGTCTGCAGAGTCTGAAAAACGTCAGGTGGCCGAACTCAAGGATGACCTCTCCAGTGCAAAAATAGAGCGAGAGATAAGCGAAGAAAAGCTCCGAAGGGAAATCAGGGATTTGAAAGAAGGTATTGAGAGGGAAAAGGAACGAGCGCGAATCCTCGAAATCGAACTTCGCAGCGAGCAGTCTGTGCTTGAAAGCAAAATGGAGAGCCTACGGTCTCGGGCGGAGGAAGTTTCGTCAAGCGCTATCGGAGATGCCCATGCAAAGCTTCTTCGCCAGATTGAAACTCTGCAAACTCAGTACGCTGTTGCCAGCGAGAATTGGCAGGGGATAAAAAGTTCACTGCTGGCACGCTTAACCACTGTCGAGAAGGAGCGTGATGATATTGCCCGGAGAGAAGGGGACTTGCGGAGGAAAGTCCGTGAAGGGGTATGATCAATTAACTCTCCCATGGTCATTAATTAACAAAACCACTAACCGTAATTAAATAGAGCCTCAAAGCCAAGAGAGTGGAAGGAGAGCTGGAAACTTCCCGAGTAGCCATCCAAGATATGGAGAGGACTCTCGAGGAGTTAAAACAGGAGATCCAGAGTCTGACACAGAAACTCGAGAAAACAGAGAACGAGCTTCTAAACACCAAACAAGACCTCACGAAGCAGAAGGAGGTTGCCGAATTAACTTTATCACAACGGCTTGAGGAGGAGAGAGCAAGATGGCAAGAGCTCGCCCGACCGCCGTCATCAACTTTCCGTCAACAACCCGGAAACGGATCACCCGTCACCTTCAACCGGAAATCAATGATCGGCCTGGAACCCACGGGACCTATTTCCGACCGGGCCCCAAGCCACAGATCGTCCTCAATTCTCCCAATCACATTCTCTGAGCTCGCCACCCCATCCCGCCAAAACTCCATCTCATCCCAAAACTCAAACCCACAATCCCATAAACCACCATCCCATGAATTGTCAATCACACCCGGCGATCTCACGCACACACACCCATACGAACAGGAAGAATATTTCAACGGCATGGGAACCCCAGCCACACCATCAGCGCACGAAACCAGCCCGCACCATCTCCGCAGCATCAACGATTTCATCTCCGTCTCCACCGTCGCCGCTGGCCCGTCTGTGCAACTAGTTGAGCGCATGAGCAACACGATCCGCCGTCTGGAAAGTGAAAGAGCCGCCTCCAAGGATGAGTTAGCACGACTAACGGCCCAGCGCGATGAGGCACGAGAGGAAGTTGTGGAGTTGATGCGGGAAGTGGAAGAGAAGAGGAAGGGGGATCAGCGGATACAGGAGCTGGAGAGCACGGTTGAGCAACTTGACCAGCGGTATCAGACTACGTTGGAGATGTTGGGGGAGAAGAGTGAGTTGGTTGAGGAGCTGAAGGCGGATATTGCGGATTTGAAGAAGATTTATAGGGAGTTGGTTGATAGTACTATGAAGTGAGAAAAGGAGAGGGGGGGTGGGGGGGGGGGATAATATTTAATTTTATGGTTTCAAATATACAGGTGATAGCCTCTATAAATGTATGTATATAGAATGGTGTATTTATTAGTGTATTTATTGAAGTGTGGCTGGACCTCTCGCGTTCCTTGTGGTGTGGAAATAACTATGTTGCCTTACCCCTTTCCAATGAGAAATCGAAATCTAGTAGTACATGAACATTCATATATATAATATTAGGTGGGACATGTCATGACATAAACATTGTTAGGGAGAAGGTGTATTGCAATCTTCTATAGTCGTAAACATTATGAAACCAGCCTGGGGAATCGTTTCCTTTAAAGGGTTTGTATGCATAGTACAAACATCCGTATGTACAAGATATTATACGGAAAGCTCAATACCTTCCCGTTGGGCACATTCAAGTATATATTTCCGCACCTAGAGAGAAATACTCCCCCAAAACATTAGCCTCAGCATACTAGACAAGTTATGGAAATCCGGAGGAAAGATTGGGGAGCAAATACCTTCGAGTCAGGCGCCAGCTCAATCGCCAATTTTTCATTATTGTCTCGTTTATCTACCTCCGCACCAGCTCGCAACAACACAAGAGCTGCCTCCGCATGTCCCTCTGCAACAGCGTGATGTAATGCAGTCGCACCATCTATGTCCGTCGTATTCAGCGGGCTTTTGCCCTCTTCAATAAGCATATTTAAGATAGGAATTGATCCAATGGCGGCAGCGCGGTGCAGGGCCAACTGACCACGGTTATCCTTTACTCTGGCGCTGCATTTGTGCGATAGCAGTAGGCGGACGGTGGATACATTGTTTTTTGAGGTTGCGAAGTGGATGGCGTTCTGTATTTGGTGATTTAATTGGGAGAAATATCAGAGTTAGTGAGAGCTGTGAATATGAACAGAATAACAATAGCATTGTCTGGAGAAACCAGCTTCGAATAGACTAACCTGTCCAGCGGTACTTTTGATATTAACATCAGCCTCTTTCTGGAGCAGGAGTTCAATAATCGGGTCTCCTTCTTCGTTTTTTAAGCTCGCGGCGATCATGAGTGGGGTCCATCCAGATGCGTCCTAATATAATGTTTTCCATTTAGTCCTCATTTGCAAATGCGCCTTATTAAAGGAAATTTTGTAATCAATCTTTCGAGAGGTAGAGTGACGGACCGTTTCATCGGGATCAAACTTGTCTGTTGCCACGAGCAGCTCAACCAGTGGAAGGTGGTGGTATGCTACCGCCCAGTGGATGGGGAGACGGCCATCGGGGTCTTTTAGCAATGCTAGTTTGGGATTTGCCTGGATAGTTGAGTGAGATTTAATAATTAGCCTTGTGATTTTCTGGAAGATATGCTAGGCTAAGGGGCCATATTTGTGCATCAGCGGAGGAACATATTTGCAGCTCACATGGAGAAGAGACTCGACAACGGATGCTAGATCTTGTCAACATAGCAATTGGTAAGTTGAAGGTAGAGATCACATACTCTGCCCTTGCCGGACAGCCTCATGAATAGCGTATTTGGCCTTGTAATCAGGATCCATGGTGTTATAGAGAATAGATATAGCGGGTATACCAGATATGTTTTTGGCGGTTGAATGATATTATATGCGGGCAACAGCAAATGCCCACTTGGTTGCGGGGAGGGAGAGGGGTTAGTCAGGAAATGGCCCAAGCTCGGCCCAGCGTCGTCGACGAAGAGAAATCAAATTAACTAACTAGTGAAGACCCGACAATCATCAAACAAACCTCAAAAACGACCTACCAACAACCTCCATGACGCTGTACGATTCCGCCATATTCCATCTCAGTGAAATAATAAATAATATATTATCCGGATTCCCTCAATCTGCGCACTTGAATTTGTCCTGAGAATTTCGCACGCTCACTACGCACGCGCAAGCGTCAAAGAACACCTATCCAGCCCAACAATTCCTCCACTCGCTTGACCAGATATCACAGATATTAATCGCGTCCTAAGACGCTGTCGAAAGCTATGGAGGCTACTTTAGCACCTCCTCCACCTGATCAGGTGGTTCGAAATTCCGCAAAGCGGACCCGCGATCTGTTCGGTGCAGATTACTTTTTGCCGTCGGGATTCACGAAACCTGGCGAGTCCATAGGAGTGTCATATCGGCGGAAGACAGAGTACTATGACGTGCAAACACTCCCTCCCGCCCTTGCTGAAAAGCAGGCAAAAGCCGTCGCGGGAAGAACGAAACGAAGGAATGGTGCTGCGACTGGGACTGGGACCGCGGTGGGTGCTGGGTCTTCAACGGCCCTGGTGAAATCTTCGCCAGCAGGTGGCACGCAACAATCTGGTGGAGAAAATATGCCTACAAGTCTTGTAAGGCGGCCAATGGTGTCTCAACAGCCAAAACCAGAATGGCACGCACCTTGGAAACTTATGCGGGTGATATCAGGACACTTGGGATGGGTCCGCAGTTTGACAGTGGAACCTAATAATCAGTGGTTTGCAAGTGGTGCGGGAGATAGAACGATCAAAATCTGGGATCTGGCATCTGGTAGCCTTCGATTGACCCTCACTGGCCACATATCTACTGTGAGAGGGTTGGCTGTTTCTCCTCGACATCCATATCTTTTCTCATGCGGTGAGGATAAGATGGTCAAATGCTGGGATCTAGAAACGAACAAGGTCATCCGCCACTACCACGGCCATCTAAGTGGAGTCTACACACTCGATTTACATCCTACCTTGGACGTTCTCGTAACGGGAGGGCGAGATGCTGTAGCAAGAGTCTGGGACATGCGAACGCGAAGCAACATCCACGTTCTTTCAGGACACAGAACAACCGTGTCAGATCTGAAATGTCAAGAAGCCGACCCACAAGTCATCACCGCCTCCCTCGACTCAACTGTACGGCTATGGGATCTCGCCTCAGGCAAGACCATGAACGTCCTTACGCACCACAAGAAAGGCGTTCGTGCCCTTGCAGTCCATCCAAAGGAATTCACATTTGCCAGCGCCAGCGCAGGAAGCATCAAACAGTGGAAATGCCCCGAAGGTGCCTTCATGCAAAATTTTGATGGGCACAATGCTATCATCAACAATCTGGCGGTGAATGAGGATAACGTATTATTTTCCGGGGGTGATAATGGCTCCATGTCTTTCTGGGACTGGAAGACGGGCCATCGATTCCAGTCTCTGGACACGACAGCTCAACCTGGCTCGCTGGATGCTGAAGCTGGTATTATGGCCGCTACGTTTGACCGTACGGGCTTGCGGTTGCTTGTTGGGGAGGCGGATAAAACTATCAAGATCTGGAAGCCGGATGATGAGGCTACGGAGGAGACACATCCGTTGGTTTGGAAGCCGACATTGGGGAGACAAAAATACTAAAAAACAGTTCCTTTATATATTCCTTAGGATATTTCCTTTTCCTTCGAAAATGCGCCTTATTACAATTCTTTGTAGTCATGCATTTATTTGGCGTTAAGAAAAATATTCGGATAGCTTTTTGTGGTTGAGATATACGATTTCAGAGAAATCTAAGTTTTGTCAACTCTGGTTTGACTTCTTCCAAGTAGATGCATATCCTGCACAAATCTATCACAAAAGGTTGAACAGATATAACTAGCTCCGTCTTTACTTACAATATCACGTACAGTAAACCTTTACACCACAAACTTACCGTACAATTTCTATTATCCCGTGCTATGTAGAGAAAAGCCGTAAGAGCTGTTGTTCACTGCTCAAAACCCAACCCCAACATCTTCGCCTCCACATCCTCCCGAAAAGCAGCCCTCACATCGTCAGACGTAATCCTTAACCTCACTTTCCCACTCCTATCCCCTCCCCCCAACGTATATCCCATCCCAGAACCACCTCCCTTAGCTCCCAACTCCCCCTCCAGCACCAAAATACCAGAATTCATCAATTCCACCGCCGCAAACCGCATCGCGCAAACGCGCGATCTGCGCGCATCGCTTCCTTTCTGAAGTAAAAACTCCTTCAGGTTGTTGCTGGTGGCGCCTGCGACTGCGACTGCGGCATCGGCTATCCGCTTTGCTTCATCGAGAATGTCACCGAAGGTGGATTCCGGGATGCCGGTTCGGCGGATGCAGGCTAATAGGGCTGCGAGGAATACTTTGCCTGCCAATGGGAGACAGCGGAGGGATTGTTGTAGAGGGGTAGAGGTTGCTTCTTGTATTGCCTGTTTGATGGTTGCGATGGTGACGCGCGGGAGGGGTTCTGATTCATCCTCTGTGATTCGCGGTAGCTTGCCAGTGCCAGTGGCTGTAGAGGTGGTGCGGTTACCCGCTGCACGGTTTCGGCGTGATGCACTTTTGCTTGGTGAGGGGGAAAGGCAGCTGGTATCCATATCATCCATGTCAATCCCGTTTTGGTTAGAGAGCATTGCTTTCATTTTAACTTTTGCTGCTGTTTCGCTGGCTTGTTCTGCGATTTCCACTGCTCTGCGACATATATCCAGGGCACGTCGTGCGTCTCCACTAACTGCTGCTACTTTCCGGCTTGCAAATTGCACGGCGTCTGGGTCAACAATGTTTCCGGGCACGTTACTAAGGCGAGATCCAATGATTTCCATTAGTTCTCGGTGTTTGTAACCAGAAAATGTAATTCGTGTCAAGTCTAGGCGACTTGATATCTTATTGCTGAGAGTTCTTTCGGGCAAGTCCATAGTATTGGCTACAGCTAACACAATCAGATGGGAGTATCGTAACGCTGGCCAGTTGAAAAAATTGTACATAACAGATTGGTTTTTAGTAACGAGCTGGTCTAGCTCGTCCATTAAAACAACACATGGCACTCGACGGGGAGACGGATGGGAAAACTCCCTTTCCAGAAGGTCGAGTGCATGAGAGGGTGACACTCGATCACCCTTCAAAGCCTCCCAGAGTAGGGAGTAGGACTGGTGTGGGTCTGTAACCTTCATGCCGTTAATCTCAACAAAGACGAAATCATCCAATTCTTCTGAGAGTACCGATGAATTAAGTTGAGCTATCACCTCTCGGACAGTGGCTGTTTTCCCAGTACCAGGAGGGCCAGATATGTAAATACACGTTCCGGTGCCGTCGGTGATAGCAACGCGCAGACAATTATATACTGTGTTAAATTCGTTGTCCCGACAAGGAAGGGAAGTTGGGACGCTTGAAACGTGCAGAAGGTTGCGTGCTTGTCGATATGGGGAAGAAGTAAAATGGGAGATATCTAGGATCCGAGTTCCTAATGGGGTAAATTCCACGGCTTTCTTGACAACAATCCTATACGCGCCGTTAGAATGAAAATGCATAATAATACTAACATAAACCATGCGATCATGTACCTTCTATGAGTCGGGGTGGAGAGAACTTTTTGGTGTCGTCGACATTGTGGTGTCCCTGCAACGGAAACAGTTCTCTGTCGTTTTTTAGGGGTGCTCGGCGTTCCAACTTCTTCCTTGACATTTGCGTACTTTATATTCAACGCCATTAGTACCAATTTAAACATAAAAGAGAGGGAGCCGGACAGTACTCACTTCGTCATCCACCTCCTTTCTCTTTCGAGATCTCTTGAGACCAGACTTGATGAAATCGATGAGTCGAAACACACCTTCCTCAGTCCCATTGTAGATATCTTCCCATAAAAATTCCTTTGTATATTTTCCTTGAAGCTGATTGACCCCCCTTCGGCAAATGATACACTTGTTATACTCTGCCAGTGCGGCTCTGCCTTTGGGCGGGACCCCATTCGGATATCGCCGTTCAAAAGCACCTCTAGATAGGACGGTTGCTTTCCCATCTATTGACGTCAATGGATTAACATTAAAATCTATGGTTATGTACTGTTCGTTAGGCAGCGCATCAGGGCGCTTCTTGTTCTTCGTTGACATAAATTCGTCGGGCGATGCAAACCACATGATATTGGCGCTTTTGACCGTCTGCCCAGCATGGACACCGTCATCATCTTCGTCATCATCTTCGTCTTCGTCCTCTTGTTGCTTTTCTTCCAAAAACTCGCAGATTATACCTGCCCAATCCTTCCCAGGTTCTGGTGATTTTAACAACACGGCTTCGCCCAGCCTGCACTCAAATGACCCCATCTTTGCCCCTATGATTTTTTTAGTCACAGCTTTTCTCTGTGGCCGTCGTGGGGATTTGCGTTTTGTAGGTGACACACAGTCAAGCTCATCATCAGAGCCATTTAAATCAGAGTCATTGCTTGCAGTTGGCTCTGTTTCATATATCCACTCCCACGGATGATCCTCATATCCAAGCTCGTCATCGGAGTCTTCGCGGAAAATCCCCCCTTTCGTCAACCATTGCTTAGCTCGCTCCTCAAGTCGATTTTTTTTGTCTTTTCGTGTTTCTCTTTTGCCATTAATGGGAGCCATAGTTCAATGCATGCCCCTCTGATATCAATATCTGGACTGTGTTTTTGTTCAGTGCTTTTAGCTGTGTTTAACAAATTTCGTCAAGACTCGGCCCCTTTCGCGACGCGTCTGTCGTGCATCTGATTGGCTGAGAATTTTGAAGTGCCATTATTACCAGATTAGGTTTAGCTTAGTTACGTGGGCACCAACTTGTCACGTGGTAAGGCTCAACTCAGCTCAAGAAAAACAATCATCAACCAACCAGCAAACCATCCACGGATAACCAGCTTTCCTTTTGGCGACAGCGGGACTTAGGAGGGTGAGATTTGACTATGGTAACTGCTGGACACGGTTGACCCTCTGCATCTCGTTGATCTATTTCTCGATTCATATTTTTTCACGACGCGCTCAACGTTACCAGATGATCATACTAGCCGTTCTTTTTCAAGTTTATAATGCGACTTGCCCCCTGAAATTTCTACCCCTCTAGTCTCGCAACCTGTGTTACGCTGGGAGCTTCTTCAAAATATCGCAGCACCTGTGTTTGTTCCCTGGGTCACACTCGGTCATTATGTCGCTCTTTGGTCAGCCTGCACAGCAGCCCCAGTCAACGGGACTGTTTGGATCAACATTCGGGACAAACCAACCTCAACAGACCGGGAGTCTGTTTGGAGAGCAGCAGACCAGTCAACAACCGAAACCTCAAGGAAGCTTGTTTGGCTCTCTAGAGCAGCAGCAGCAGCAGGAACAACAACCTCAACAGGGGACAAGTAGTCTTTTTGGGATGAGCACTCAACAGCAGCAAGAGCCGCAGCAACAAACAAGCGGGCTTTTTGGCGGTTCACAGCAACAAAGTCAACAAAGTCCGGGTGGGTTGTTTTCTGGATTTGGCTCCGGTACTCAAACGCAGCCGCAACAAGGATGTGGTTTGTTTTCCGGACTTGGATCTTCGACTACGCAACAACAGCCTCAGAGTGGTAGTCTTTTTGGCAGCTCTGCTGCTCAACAGCAGCCATCTCAGCAGCAGCAGCAGCAGCAAGGCAGTGGCCTCTTTTCAGGCTTCGGTCAGAACACTCCGCAGCCACAGCAGTTACAGCAGTCACAGGCACAACAGGGTGGTGGCTTCTTTTCGGGATTCGGATCAACTATTCAACAACCACAGCAGCCCTTTGGAGCAACCCTCGTTGCTGGAGGACAACAGGCGCCACCGCAGCTGGGACAATCTCAGCAGACTGGACCTACTTTATGGACTCCGGGGCAAGGGATGACTGGAGGTATGTACTTGTATTCATCCTCACTGAAGATATTATATACATATCTGACCTTTTCATTTAGTTCATCGCACGGTGCCAATGCAAATGAGTATTTTGATGGATAAGTGGCAGCCCACTTGTCGAAACTCTCCGTTTCGCACCCACCTCTACAATAATGTTGGGGAAGATAATGCGCCCTTTTTCCAACCTGGCGCCAATGATGATGAAACAAAATGGGAGGACGCACTACGGAAGAGACCAAGTCCAGGATACGTCCCAGTCCTCGTCCAAGGATTCTGGGAGCTTGGAAACCGGGCGCAGAAACAGAAGGGTTTCCTAACAATGATGCAAAGTCGTCTTCATGAGATTAATAACGCTCTCACCGAGCTGCTATCCAGACACGACCTAAAAATCTCTGTTAAAATTGCAGCTTGCCGGCGAAAACATATAGTTCTTAGTCAGAGATGTCTTGCTCTTGCCGGTAAAACGCAAGTATTGAGGAACCGCGGGTACGTAATGGACGAAACGGAGGAGGAGTTACAGAAGAAACTTCGTCAACTGGAGCGCTCCGTGTTTGATCCATCCCTAAATGGCTGCGCCGAGGAGATCTGGGCTAGAATGCTGGCAATCCGGGAACGATCAAAGCGCCTGCAATTGGAGATGGAGAGAACTGGTCAGGATGCTGCGCGGCAGGTCGATGATGGTTTGGATGAGACTGCTCTTAAAACAGCGAAGAAAGTAGGTTTCCCGAAGGATTGCTAACTTAGCTTTCTATGTTCTTCTTCTTCTTCTCTCTTTTTATTTTTACTTGGCTAACGAAAGGCCCAGATTCTGGACGACTATGCTTCACAAATCCGACATCTAAATAAGGAACTTGCTGCCGCCCAGAAAGATTTTGAGCTACTACACGGATCTTCGACGTGAGCTGGGCGCGTGGAATCTAAGACTGAATTGGATTGTTGCCCATTCAATATCAACATCAATTGCACGAAACGCTTTCTTTATCCCTTTCTTTTCTTTCCGAGTTCGGGGTATCAAACGGCATTAACGGAAATACCAGCGTGTTTCAGAACAAAAATCGAAAGAAGTTTCTCCTAATGAATTCAATATATATTTCTTTTCTTTTGCTGGATGCTATTATTGTACAGTACGGATACACACAAGACTATTTAAATCTCATTAATCTCCCCACAAAATGTTCGGAATATGCTCTCCGCACTGATTCGAAGGGGTAAATCTAATGCCTCCTCGTTGTATTACTCCTTTCCAACTGCTGGTGTCTTTTTGCTACTTATACATTGCCGATCGTATATCCAAATGCAAATGCAAATTCTACAACCCAACATCGTGTATCATAGTTTCCAAATAGAAGTTATATAACTCAGAAAAGTTGCTTGACGAAATCGATCGCTAACGGAGCTGAGGGAAGAAAGACCCAACATCAGCCTTATTATCTTCAAAATAGTTATAGAGAATAGTTTGTCCTAGATGATGGGACATTGGACCATGCCGGCCCAATCCAACTTACAGAGATAGAGCAGAATACTGCCGGTAATGACCGCCTTTATTGTTTGAGCTGCCTCCTTCTCTCCAGCCTAGATTCAGTATAGGATCCATGAGTTAGTTGTCAGCAATAGACTTGCGGTACATCGCTCATTAACTTGGGGCTCGTTAATTCCAGGTTCGATATCGGGGAAGGGATTGCAGGGTAGCAATTGAGCCGGGAAAAAAGAACGGACCTTGACCTCAGCCTCTGAGAGCTGCGGGGGACCTGTATAAGGCGTTGTCAATAGTTTCCGTGTTATATATGCGGGCAGAGGTGAACGGGGACCAAAGGTGCGTAGGCAGAGCGCAGTATCTGTTCAACTCACCTGGCATGAACATGTTTAAAGGATAGTCGAGCAGAGACAGGACTCCGTAATGGGGTTATAAGATATTTAAGATCAAGAACAAAAAAAAAAAAAAAGGCTCCGATTGCGAAGTGCCCTTTTAGACTTGAAGGATAGAATTGCGGAGTGAGGAGAGTGGAAATAAATATCTAACTGTAGGGTGAAGGTAACGGATAAATCCCAGATGTTTTAAATAACTTCTATATATTTTGCTGCAACGCACGGGCCACTTTCCCTTTGCCGTGTGAACTAAATACAATAACTAAATAATATCGGGCTCTCCCATCGCTGAACTCCCAAGACCCGCCACCAGATACATCTTGATATCCATTCACTTTCAACCCACCCCTTTTCTTACATTCACAGCTTCTAATATATCTCAGCGGACCACGCTTCCCTTTACCTAACCTCCTTTATACCCCGCCTATTCCTCTCTTTGCCTTTTTGACTTGCAAAGTTTTCTTTCCCCTACCCGACAAAGTCTCGACAAACTGAACTTCGAACGTAACAGTCTTCAAAATACCCTCTCTTGTTATCAGAATCGCACAGGCCTGCTTGGGCGTGAGCTGCCAGCATGTCTGCCTCACCTGAGCCTGCCACAGAGTCTCCCATCGTGGACAAGGAGAATGAAGACTCCCAAAACGTCCCGGACGTTGACCTGTCCGACGACGAGTCTCTCCTTTCAGACGTTGACGATGCGCAGTTCGAAGACTTTGACGCAGCTAATGTCTCCATCGACGAACGCCCTGCTATTGCGATAGATGAGGAGAATTTAAAACTTATCGGACGACATAAGCGCGCCCGCAATGAAGATGAGGAGGAGGCGCGAAAGAAGAAAAGAAAGGAGGGGCGGAGGGAGAAGAAGATTCGTCGGAAACAGGATAACGATGATCGGTTTAGTGGTGGGGAGGAGGCTGAAGGGAAACGGGCGAGGAAGCGGAGGGAAGGGGGTGAGAGGAGGAGTAGGAAGGTTGAGGAGGAGGTTAATGAGGAAGAGTTGGACCCTGCTACGCGTATGTATTTCTTCTTATATATTTGGACGGGAGGCTGTGATTGGAGATTCAGAGCTGACTGGGGAGCTTTACCCCTTATTCTTAACAGGCCGTCGACGTGCCCTTGATCGTATGATGGACGAGCAGCTTAAGAAACCAACCAAACGTCGCCATCGGAGAGCAGATGGGATTGTATGTCAAACTACGCCTTCGACAGAGATGGAGATGTAAAGAATAAAAGGGAAAAAAAAAAAAAAAATTGCTAATTTTCCTGCAGGATCTGGCCGACCTGGCTGATGCGGAAATCGAAGATGTGCGACGACGCATGACGGATGCTGCGAGACTGGACAGCATAGCTCGAAAAGAGAACCGACCGGCCATGCACAAACTGAAGATGCTTCCGGAAGTTGTTTCACTCCTTAACCGCAACCAGTATATCAACAGCCTTGTCGACCCCGAAATCAATCTTCTGGAAGCTGTGAAATTCTTCCTCGAACCATTGGACGACGGCTCCCTGCCAGCATACAATATCCAGCGCGATCTCCTTGCGGCATTGGGGAGACTCCCCATCAACAAAGAGACGCTCATAGCAAGTGGTATTGGCAAAGTCATTGTATTTTATACCAAGAGCAAGCAACCAGAGATTGGGATTAAACGCCAAGCAGAACGCCTTCTCGCAGAATGGACTCGACCCATTTTGCAACGGAGTGATGACTATTCCAAGCGAGTCTACGAAGAAGCCGATTTCGATCCTAGGTACGTTATAACATCTACCCCCCCAGTCACACGATCTCCTTTTCCTCACTGGTATATTCTATTCCCAAACATGAGTTTTCATCTCACTGATACTCTTGTAGTCAACTTGCTGCTCGCAACCAGGGAATATCGGTCCAGGCTACCGCTGCAGAGGCTCGTGCGCGAGAGCTTCTACCCCCCCGTCTGGCTAATCGCGCGCGTGCTGAAGGTGGACATACTTCCTACACTATCGTCCCGCGTTCGACTATGGTCCAAGAGAGTAAATTTGCTCGGCCGCTGGGTTCCAGTGGAGAGGATCGTTTCAGACGGATGAAAGCGAGACAGGCGGCAGCGGCAAAGGCGTCGAAGAGGTGATGAATAGACAGGGATTTGAGGAGCTCCTAAGAAATTAGCTAAGGCAACGTTGGGTTCTCTGCTCGTTCGAGCTGTTGAACCGGCGGAACTGTCTTTAAGCCTTTTTTTTTTTAAGCCTTCTTCTCATTTTTTATATTTTATTTTTTTTTGCTTTTGTATTTTCTTTCCTTTACGCCTTTATTTTCTTTTACTTCGCCCATATTTTTTTTTCCCACCTTCAATATGTACCTTACCACCAGTCTCTATTTTCTTTATCATTTTTTCGGTTGAAATCAGAGGTTTGGTGGCGTTGCGGGCAATATTCGACTAGCATATCGACCGTCTCGGCGCGGGGGGGGGGGGGGGGGGGTTCAACATTGGAGTAGATAAATAACTGTTATAACTCTTCGGCAACCAACAGTGTTCGCTGTTTTGTTGTAGCCCGTAGTTAACATGATGGGGTCAGCAACAATAAAAACACTCTACATCCAATCAACAATCGATGTTGAATTCCAAATCATTCCCTGCCTTGTGCTCTGTCGCTGCAAATAGGGGCAAAACACCCGCGGAGAACTCGGAAAAAGCACCCACTTAGCATGAGGTACCTCCCGGAGTAGGGAATTCCCGCAGAAAGACAAGTCACATAGCCCCGACAGACTTTTCGTCAGGATCTCAAATCCCGAAAGGCAAGCTATTTAACAAGCTCAACCATCCGCAATAAATGTAACCGTCGTCAAAAACATCACGGTTTAACCACGCCTCGCCTCTCTTCCTCAAATATTCTACTTAGGCGGAGATCACGTTTTTAGCTCTGGTTATTATTTGATTTCCAGTTCTGCTTTTTTTGTTATTTAATATAAATAAACAACTTAGTTAAACCACCGCAGAACAACACCCAACCTTGTCCATTACCAACCAGTGGCTGGACAATTTTACGGCATCGGACTGTGATATTCCCCTTTATTCCTTTTCCTCCCCGAAAGACAGCGAAGTCTGTCTCTACATTTTGCCCACGAAAATCATCGCAAGCAATTCACCATGAAGCTTCTCACAAAGGAAGAGGAGGATGCTCACTACAGGTACACCCGATCCCTCCCGATGTCTCATGTAAAAGTCGGCAGTTCATAATTAACCCCGCTCAAAACAACAGCGCCGTCCTTCGAGGTGGCACCCTGGGCACCGTCACCGGTCTCATAGGAGGTGCTGCCGCCGTCCTGGCCGCATCCAAGCGTTTCCCAACCATCCAGAACCTTACTCTGCCCATGAAAGCCTTCCTCGTCACATCCTCCGGCACCTTCGTTGGCATCATTGCTGCTGACCACGCCTCCCGCTCCTATGAAGCCTCCACGCACAGTGAACATCAGTTTCTCGGCGAGCGGGAGGCTCGTCTGCGCCAGGAAGAGCTGGCATCCATGTCCGCAACAGAACGCATGTGGGACTTCATCCGCAAGGAGAAATATAAGCTCATCACCGTGTCTTGGGTGGCTAGTATGGTAGCATCGTGGATGCTGGTTAGCAGGAATCCCACTTTGACTAAGGGGCAGAAGATTGTGCAGGCTCGTGTGTATGCGCAGGGCCTGACAGTGGCCGTCATGGCGGGCACGGCTGCTATGGAGATCAGTGATCAGCGAAAAGGGAGGGGGCTGCTGGATAAGATGAAGGAGAAGCAGGCGAAGACGAAAGAGGAGGAGGAGGAGAAGAAGAAGAAGAAGCGGAAGGAGCGGTATCAGGGGGAGGAATTGTGGAAGGATATGGTTGATGCTGAGGAAGAGAGGATGAAGGCGAGAGATGTTAAAAAGCAGGAGAAGTTGAACGCAGAGAAATAAGTCTATCTATATATAAAAGGAGGACTGACTCTTTGCGCGCTGAATTTCTCGCTTGCAGGGCATGAGCCGGCTTTCATTTTACTTTGTCAGGACGCTGGAGGAAATTACTCACGTCTAATCCGTCCAGGATATCATGCCCGACGATTAGCGCAGGACGGTCTTGTGGCCTATCGGGAACAAACAACGATGCTCGAAGGACATTTCGATTCCCTCTCCAGCAGCCCAAATGTCGAAAACATGGATTCGTTTCACCAACGACGACAGCAAACCGATCCTCATGACCGAGCAGAACAGGCGGAAAAGAAATGAAATAAAAACAAAAAAAAAAAAAAAAACCTCCCATACACCGACGACTCTCAACTCAACCCCCCATACTCCGACATATTTTGTTATCCTTTTGTTTTCCTTTGTAAAACCAGTTACATTTGGGATGGAAATGGCGGTTTTCTTTTTTTTTTTTTTTTTTTCTTTTTCTCTTTCTTTTTTGTTTTCGTCTCTCACGTTTTCCGTAAAGTTATTTCCGTATGTATATTTTTCCCCCTCAGTCTTCTTCTCTCTTGTTTCCTTAGCTTTCCCCTGTCATTGAAGCATGGCCTGGCGCATATTTGAATTGTATATATGCAGTGTTTGAGCCGCTCTTACTCTTCCCTTATCGGTTGCCCTTGTTACTCCTGGCTCATCAAACGTTCAGTAAATATCTGAAGTAAGAGACATGATTGCTTGCTCCGTTTTGAGACAATTGTCATCTAGGACTTTCCATATCATCTCCCTTCTTCATACTTGGCTCCCGGAATGACCGGGGAACTTCAGCGGGAAGCTTCATCGCTTGTGTGATTGTATGTTTTCGCGGTCTGCAAGTTGGCCGCGTAATGAATATGTATTGAATTTCTTCCAAAATCTAAAAACATGAAACAAATTGGGTATCTAGGCACAGAGGGTGTGGAGTAAAGCCTAGGTGCTGGGTGGATTGCTTGCAAGTAACTGGAAACCTCTATGTGAGATATAAAAATCTAGAAAAAGAGGTATCAAGGACTCTTACGTGAAATAGTTTGCAGAGTAAACAAGAAGGGGTATTGAAGATGAATGATAATGACCAACACAAACACTCAAGCTAAGAAATAAAAAAATAAAAATAAAAAAACTAACACCAATCCTGTAGGCACAGAAGAATCATCAAACTTCATGAGAGAAGAAAAACCCCCCTACATCCTCCCCCGCCCAAAAAAAAAAAAAAAAAAAAAAAACCAGCATAACTCATGACGTCTGGTGCAGCCCTACAACTCTGCTCCCTGGAGAAGCTTCGCATCAAGTCCAATAAACGCCTTGACAAAATCTAGACCCTTCAATCTCTGCTCCTCAATCCGTTCCCAAGTCCACTCCTGAACCCAGGTGTTCTCGTTATCTCTCCTCTTATTTTCCAAGACAGCTTGGCTCAGGTCTGTGCTGTCTGTGAGGGTCATAACTTCACGAACAAGACTCTCATCTAGGCCTTCGCCAGAATTGATAGCTTCTCCGTTCGCGGGAGTGTCAGTTGTCAACGGGATCCCAGAACCACTTGGCGTGCCGTTCGACGAGTCCGCGCCGTCCAGGCGAACCGGCATCAATCCCCCAGCCTGGAAAACTTTTGCCGGCTTCACAGTCAAGCGTCCTTTCTTGATGACATACTGGCTGACCCCGATCGCGAGAATGGTCTTTTTCTCTCCAGTGCGTTTTGTGGGGCGGAGGAAGTAGGTAATAACATACAGCCATTTATCGTCCCAGCCAGAGAGTCGACTTTGCATGTCATATCGTTCATAAGGAGCGATTTCCTTTTTGAAACTGCAGTAGACGGATCCGAGCATAACGGCCAGTCTGCCGGGGTACTTCTTCTTCCCATTGCTATCAACTTCTTTCTCGAGCTCACGTCGGCAGAGTTCCATACCGGGAGTGACTAGGTTTGTGACCAAGGCTGTGCGAGCAATGTCAAGGTCTGAAAAGTATGTGCTGTTGGACTTATGCATGTTGTAATCCATTTCGAGGAGTGGTGTATGAGTTACAATGGTGACAGGGGTAAAGAGGGGATGGTGGCCCACATGGCCCTTTTTCTTGTGGAATATCTCCACGAGCTTGGGATGGCTATGGCGGTGGAAATTGATTCTCTTTAAGAGGTGAAAGAAAACGCGTGCCTATACATTGAGTAAATTAGATGCTTGTTATAGATTCAGCGAGTGATGATTGATATTGTGCATCCATATTATTTGTCTTAAATCACAACTCTGATATGACATTAAGTTCAGCAGAAGTCATGACAATCCTTATCAGAGTGCATACATCAAAAGCATAGTTATAGAAAGGGATTATTGAACCAAAAGACAACCCAAGCCACCAAGAAAGAGACAAATAAGGAAGAAAAGGGTTGTTCATACATGCCACACAAGAGGTAAAGACTTGAGATTCAGCACAGCAAGCAGTAAAGCCAAGTTTTTCCATGACAGCTGCCGCCTCAACCAACTGAATATACCATTTGCCTTCAGGGCTCCGCTGAGGCTTGAAGGATAAGCCATGGCTACCTTCTGTCTTTATGCCGGCTTATCTAGCCCCTGCACATAACATCGATTAGCTTAAAACCCTTCAGGCGAACTAGTCCTGCATTAGTTTTAGTTTCTCTTACCTGCTATTCCACTATCTTTATATCTGACGGAGAAAACAAGAACTGTAGATATTTAATCGAAGAACTTGATATGCTCTAAGACGGACATATGCAACTGGAGGAGAAGTTCAAATACTTGGAAGGGCACCAATGATCTCGATATCAAAGTCTCTTGATGAACAACAAGGAACAAGGAGGGAGGATGTGAAGGAAAATACATTCAAAACCAAAGATGAAAACTAAAAGACTAAGAAGAATAGATAAATGTTTTTGAACCCATAGTCACCACATGCCAGTTTAACACAGGTTTTTTTTCAAAGTAGACGAGCATGAAAGATAAGAAGTTCCAGTCTGCCGCGGTGATAGATAGGTTGAAATAAATAACGAAACGGACTACACAGAACATGTGACTTGAACCGAGGTTCCAAAGGCTGCCTTCCACCTTACCTCAACATGAGATATTCCCATGAAAAATCCACTTGAGCCTTTGCAAACATTTCCCATGGCACTTCGTCAGGGCAAAAATCAAAATAATTCTCTATTTCTTTCCGCCGGCTCTGCGGGGACTAGTGGATCTTTTGTTTAATGGATGTGTTTTATTGAAGCATCCTGCCTCCAGGCAAATGTTCCCTTGTTTAACCCCTTAAAAATAATAGTGTTCGCATGGTTTAAGCTTATCTTTGGGTTTTGCGAACCGGGGTTCAAAAGCATTTTCTTATGGATATGTTTTGCCCGGAATTCGATTGCCTATGCTATCATTGAACATAAGGGGAAAGGGGAGATCCACCCTCGTCCATTTCCGACCTGACCATGTCTCCTCATTTGGGTTTACTCCCGCAGACTCCAAGGCCTTGGAATAGTTCTCTACCTCAGACAAGACTCTGAGGATATTTTCCCCTGCAAACTTTCGAACCTGCTCTTCTGTTGCACCGCGTTCGAGAAGGACCTTGACGAGCTGCGGGAATTTGGATACATTCTGTTGAATTGGATACCCTAGTCAGAACGGGATGAAAATCGGTCCGGACTGGGGAAAGAACAGAACGAGGCCATTTTCATACCTCAAGGCCAATAGGAACATCGCCCATTCCGTCAAAATCAGAGCCCACCCCAACGTGGTCCCAGGCTGAGAGTTCCGCCACATGGAAAATGTGATCAGCCGCCTTGTGAATATCTACTGAAGACGGATTCTTGACATCGAGGAACATGGGGACAAAAGTCACCATGACAATACCACCGTTCTTGGCCACACGGCGCAAGATGTCATCTGGTACATTTCTGACATGTTGTGAGAGAGCATAGGCCGATGAATGAGAAAAAATGACAGGTGCTTTGGTCTCTGCCAGTACGTCGGCCATCAGCTTAATAGATGCGTGAGAGAGGTCAATCAGCATGCCCAGGCGATTCATCTCTCGCACAAATTCGCTTCCGAATTGGGTCAGCCCTTTATCCTCGCCACCAGCGGCAACAGTTGATGCTGCTGTCCCAAAAGCATTGTCACAGTTATGGGTTATTGTGACATAACGGACCCCTAGATCGTACATCTGTCGAAGAACGCCAAGAGAGTTCCCAAGTTGGTGTCCTCCCTGGGTGAAAACTTTAGTCTGACGATATATAACCGTGAGATTCTATGTCATTTCCTTACCTCCATGCCCATAAAGCTGGCAATCTTTCCGCTCCTGAAAGCTCGCCTAGCACAAGCTACGGTTCTGCAAAGTTGGAGGTCATCGGGATATTTTTCTGCTAGTCGCTGTGCGATATCGATTTGCTCTAATGTGTCTCTGATAGTCCACTGCATGCGAATCAGCATATTCCCAATTTCCCTCTGTAATAAAATATACAGCATAGACAACGTACCGTTGGATCATCAATCTGCGTTTTGCTATCTTCGGGACACTCTGCATACACGCTCCAGAACTGACCTCCAACTTTTCCCTCCCGCATCTTTTCGAGATCCGTATGGCTCAGAAGACCAGATTCAAACGTAAATCTCTCACTATATATCTTGTTCTTTGTTTCTATGCGGATCAGATAGGGCAAATCGTTGTGCCCATCGATTATCGGCGAAGTTTCCAGAATGCGATTCGCCCTTTTCAAAAAATCTGAGGGATCCATAGTGCGTTCGTAGAGGCGCGAAGGGCGTCCAGTGTTGTCTGCCAATGTGACTGCAAGCATAGCAAGTACTCCGACAAATATATACCATCTTTGTTGACATCTTGGGTACTGTATTGGGATTCTAGGCGTGAACTTGGGTATTCCAAGCCCCCGCGAATGAGATACCGACTTCCGAAGTGCTCGACCCTTGTCCTTGGATGGGGAAGAAGACATGGCTTTAATGCTCTGCTATCAGCTAAGAAACTACAAAATATCGCAAGGTAGCTAATTATTATGTTTCCCGCTGCTCCTGTTATTATGAGATGTGGAGTCGTCTTCGAGTCGTCAGCGTGTTTTATAGACCATATGCCTGAGGCGATGTATGTCGTTGCGAGCGGAGCTGAATGCGATTTCCCGCTATGATCGTCGCACGGCGTTCTGAAACATCGGCATCGACCTTCCCTATGAGTTATGCTTTTGGAAGATAGTGGTAGTATCCTATCATTTCCCTCGTGTTTTATCCCCATTCCTCCGTAATCAATCTGATATCGAGTCACAACCTCTCCCTGTTCGGGTGACAAGTTAAAGAGGGGTAGAGTCATGTTTAAAGAGCTGTATTAGGTACAGAATGTGTTACGCAAATATATGTATTTTGCCGATCTGCAGTGTTAACAACTTAGCGAAATACTTTTGCTTGTCGCAACCACGTTCGAGCCAAAAATTCCATCCGCTTAGTATAAAGTAAACCTTTGTACGTCCACCCCCCCCCCCCCCCCCCCCTTCCCCGCCATCGCCTAAACAAAATGGATGTTAAGTACACCAAATAATTGCATGGCTGCATCAATGAAGCAGCGAATACATCCGATATCAGTAAATTGGGGTGTTTACACAGGTGTATGGCTGTATGACGTTGTAGCTGCCTTGGGTACGCAGAATTGGGCTTCCTCCCGAAAACCAATCAGCACAGTTGTATGGAGACCAATTAATTCTGGGGGAATAACCCCCAGAAGCGTAGATGAATAAAATGAATTGCTGCTCATTGGAAGTCACGGTTTCTACTGCGTATATTTCTCAATCAAGGTTTGGGAAGCATCAAGAGGAAAAAGGAGGTTCAAATAATAAGGTTTTGCGCTATATGAATTAAAATCAAGCTTAAAATTTGTTTTAAGCTTCAAGGGGCCACGAGTCCAACATCAATTCTTGTGTATGAGGACAATAATATCAAATTGGGCGTTTTGTTGAGATAGTTTACGCCTGTTTGCATGAACGGAGGAACATCCCTTGGAGGTTTGATTAAGCCCACTCACTCATGGACCTTGGTGGTTAAGTTACATCCGCTGAGCATCATCACCATTATTAGTCTTACTTTGGATTGGCGGCTTTGAGGTCGTATCGGCTCACGTCATGGTCTATGATGTGTGGGGCATGGATATTTGCTAACATGGGATGACAATTGTCCATGCTCCCTTTTTTTCTTTTTCTTTTTTCTTCTCATATCTTCACCAGCCAGCATTTCATTGTTTCATTGTTTCATTTGACAAGCCATCTCCTGTTTTTAAAAAAGGTGGATAGGATATCCATCCCTGTCATTGGGTGATTCTCTTCCGCCAACAACAGAAACATCCTTTCGTTCTCTTCGCCGATATTAATACTATCGATGTCCTTCAACACCGACCCTGCAAACCTGGCTCCCTCAGGGGAACCTACGCCCACACCCTCCCGTCCCATCCACCCTGACTATCACCTGCGCGATGGCTACCCTAACATCCCCGAATACCTTGGCCTCCGCAGAACGCCAAACCTATCCCACAAGACAGAGGAACAGGCCATCCTGGCTCTCCCTGGCAGCTGGTTCGGTTGCTGCGTCGTACACACCGAGACTAATACCACAGTCGGGATGGGCAGGATCGTTGGTGATGGCGGCTGGTACTTTCATATCGTAGATATGGTGGTGGCAGCGGAGCACCAGCGAAAGGGACTTGGAGATGTAGTTCTTGCGAGGCTGCTGGAGAGGATCAGAGAGGTTGCGCCTCCAGGGGCGTGGGTTTCGCTCTTGGCTGATCCGCCGGGTAGGAAGTTATATGCTAAACATGGCTTTAAGGAGACGGCGCCTCATTCGATCGGGATGGCGCTAGATCTTTAGTTTTAGGGTATATGGTGCAAGCGGACGGCGTTGTTGTTTGGATGGATCCTATTTGTTCATTAGAATGGAATATTTTCCGGGTTCTATCAAAATAGACAGTAGAAGTTTCTATACTGATATTGTTATTCTAATCGCTCAGCCTTAAAACTAAACAAGAGAAATGAATCAAACCAGAAGCAAAAACACAGAATTCGAGACGTTAAATCAACCCCCAAAAAGAATCAAGCAGGAGTAAGGGACGTCAGCATAAATCTCCAAATGGGGCAAAAGTGTATCGATTGCATACAAGAGTTTCTTTCATTGAGGGAAGCGGGTAAAATGATTCATGAGATCAGGGCAGGTGATATGAGGCCATTTTGTGAAAGCGTTTTCTTATAATTAAAAATCATCGTCGTCGTCTGCATCATCGATATGGGATCTATTATTCTGGAACCCTCCAGCAGACTTCCGATTCTTCATGTTCGACATATCATATTCTTCCGCATTTCTACCCTTAGACATAGCCATTGCCTGGAGTCCAGTGTCCGATGCCTCCAGAAATTCGCGGAGACGTGTTTTCCCCTCCATCAAAGCCTGCTGAGATGCAGCCTCTGTCATTTTGATAATAGGGCCCCAGAGGTTTAACTGATAGGTAACGTATGCGGTAACGGCGCACACGAAGAGGAGAAGAAAGTATGCAGGGTTGCGGAGCACTAGATTTGAAGGGACGGAGTTAGTCCAGGTGTTTACAAATAAGCAGCAATTGTACTAGAAATAATTAAAGGCACTCACCAGCTACGATTTCATTCCAGCCAAGGGCAAGGAGCAAGCCATAAAAGTATAGTGGCACCTGAGTTATGCCTCCAATTGCACTTCTCTTCGCTTCAACATAAACGCCATCCGCAGTTTTCTTGAAACGGACTGTTAAGTCCTGTTTTTTGGCTTCGCCGATCATAGTCATTTCTTCCTCTAGACTTTTGCCCTCATCTTCATCAACCCCACCAATTGGTGTGAGATCCTCTTCATCGGCTGGTGTCGCGGAGCTGGGCGTGTGCCCAATCCACTTGTCTAGTGGGGGAGGTGCATTTGTCTCTGCAAGACGGAAGCGGGAGAGGAGAGGAATAAGAGTGAGTGTTGATTCTCTTGCTCGCGTATAAATACTTTCAATGTCATCATTAGGGCGCCAGATTCTAGGAACGCCAGCGTCATCGTATCGAAACTTATCCTCGAAGTTCTCGCGCAGTTTTAAGAGTATATTGCCTTCCATCATCTCTTCATCAATTTTGGCACGTAGAACTCCCCAAGATTTCCTTCTTAATCTCCACAGGCCGACATCTACTTCGTCTATGCTGGCGTCGAAGCTGCTGGCTCGCTCCGTGAATCTCCTTTCAGCATCAAGAACGGTGTCTACAAAGAGAGTCCACACTCGATCCCAAAGGCTTTTCTCGGAAGGTTTGTCACCAAATTCCGGTGCACCAGAGCCACCCCTCCCTGACCCAATAGCGTTAAACTCTAGATCAATGGATTCCCCTAGTCGTGACCTCACCCATCGCCCAACTCTTGTTGCCAACCGTCGCATTTCATCTCTCCGGAGCTGTCCACCGATGTTTTCTAGGTCTTTTTGGTATAACGATAACTCTTGTTGGTAATTGCTCCACTGCGTGTCCTCAACAACCGCAGCTCGAGCTTCCTTTTCAAATTTTTCAATCGCTAGTTTCCTCTCCTTCGTCACTATTTCGGCAAAATCGTAGCTGGCACCTCTCTTCTGGCCGGCTTTGACTGCAGCAGTGACTGACTCGGTGAATTCTTGTATGCCGGACCTATGCGCTGCACTAAGCTGACCGAGGAAAAGCGCTTTCAACCGAGAGTCAATCTTGTCTTGGAGCTCCGACTTTTTCATTTGATAGACACGCTTGTGGTACCGACTGGCCTCCGTGTCAAAATTTTTCACGCTCTTCATACGCGCATTACACATAGCTGAACCCAACCCACCAAGAACCTGAGGGTTACCCGCCTGAACGGCTTCAGCTTGCTTCGCTTCGAATGGGCTTATGGCCTCATCAAACGCAACTAAGACTTCACGCGAAATCTCGTCACAGCGGAACTGAGCAAGGAGCTCTTGTTGAGTAGGCAGATCCAGATCCTTGTTGTTCACAATCTGATCCCAAATACCTTCTGCATACACAGCAAAACCATCCGCAGGGATTCTTCGATGGTATTCAGGAAGGAATATGCCTCCTTCTATCGAACCAGTTCCTTTCGCATCGGTTTTGTTGGGGTCGCGATGGCCATCGCAGAATCGAGTGCTAAGTTTCCGTACCTCATCAACGAATTTTTCAGGTTGGAAATTCTTATGAGGAAGCCCAGCGAATGCGAAATCAAAGTAGTCGGTGATAGAGGAATTCTCCAAACCAGCAGGCTTCGAGAGAGAGTTCCATATCCGGTTAAGATCTTGTAGTAAAGTGTTTTGTAGGTTCTGAAGCGGAGTAGTTCCTAGAAAATCGCGAATAACGAAGAAGAGGAGAGATCGAGGGTTTGATCTATTGAATAAAGTGTCAGTTCAATCAACTACGAAACACTTATGCATGGGTTAGTCCAAGCTGGACTGAGAGAGGAGTTCAATGCACCTCTTATCTTTCAAGAATAGCTCTAGGTTGACCTCAAACACCGTCTTTAACAATCCCATATTGGCCCCTTGATATAGGCCAACTTGGTGTTCCCAGATATTGACAATAAGGACCTCACTGGTGGCCAGGGCAAACAGAGCGCTTTTCCGTTCAAAATCTTGATCTTCTCCCCTCTCTCTGCCGTCTGTTCCCTCAACATCCATAACAAGGATATTATCTGCCATCTTGGTCTGATTATCCTGCCCTTTGTCGGATTTGAGTCGTTTGTTTTTGGACAGCCAGATTCCCTTTGTTGTCTGCCGTCGTTCCGTCTCCGACATCACACTGAAATGGGTCCCGAAGAGGCTGTTCAGCAACGTGGATTTGCCAGTTGACTGAGATCCAAAGACGGAGATGAGGTGGTAGTTAAATCCTGCCGGAGTGACATTTTCGTAGGAGAGATAGTTGGATAGATTTGGACTGTGATCGCACACGACTTATTAGTATAGAATAGCCTTTGGGATATGCCCAAGCAAACAAAAGTTTACAAGTAAAAAGGCATACTTGAACTCCTTTTCCTCATCTATCACCTGCACCCCATGCTCATAGTTCTTCGCATCCAGTACATCGCCGACGCCCGCAAAATGTCCGTTTGCAACCATTTTCGCCAGCGGTTCTTTTTAATCAACTTTCCCGCAAGTCCTTTTCCCACCAAACCTCGATAACAAGGCCTAACCTAGTGTTGACCCTTTCTTCCCAATCCTAAGGAATGACTTCCGCAGGGTATGCAACGTGGCGAAGTTGGGAAGATAGAGGGACATAAAAGGTGGCTCGATAGACGAGAGTCTCGAAACCAGCCACTTCTCAATGCCGTAACCAAGAAGACCTCATGGGATTAGCAATGGTGTATTTATGTTTCTATGCTTTGAAGATAAACAGTTGTGGGTTTTTTGGTTCCGGCGCTTCACAACCCCCTGAACTAAATACCACTTCCTCCCTCTGCCGTAACGACGGCAGCCGAGTAACGTTGACGTTGGAGGTATAGCGCCTCCAGTTTCCCGACAACGGCTAGGGGTGGCGAGCTACAGGAAACAACAATAAAAATATTTTGGTCCACTTGGTGGTGACAGATGAAGCCCAGGACAGTTTTAACACGATGATGTTTATTCCGTCTGCTCGAGATGCAAGACATGAAGTTGGCACCGGAATCGATTTGGCTCGTGCGTTTGCCAAGACCTGTGAGTTGACTGTTTACTACTCCATGCCCCTTTACTCTGAGCGATGTATAAAATTTACATCTCTCAGCCCTTGACCATCCTACATCTTTGCTGTCTCTTAGGATTTTGATTATTTAATACTAGGTGCATGGATGTCTTGAAGCAGATACTTAACTCAAGTTGACTTACTCTCATCTGACCGAGTCACGGTGGATATTGCTTTTTTATTCATGTGACATGATCAAATTATCCATGAATACCGTTGTTTATAGGCATCATAAGCTGTTGAATAGAACAAATAGTTCGCTACATTGTAGGGATATCGAGCTACCGATGTCCATGAGAGTTCAACGATGGTTTATTCTTCACCCTCCCAGGCCAGATTTTATCTAGCTGGATCACCAGCGTTGCATTTCCTATGCAATACGCCGAACCTTGATCATCTACCATTTTTTTTTCAGCTCGCCGACAAGGACGACGAATTCTCTCTTTTTCTGCAGAGTCCTCAAACGATCGGATAAGGGGGATGCCCAGCCGAGGAGCCAGGTTGCTCCCATGATATGGGGGCGGTATTCGGCCAGGCTGAGAGGCTGTTGTTCCTGCTAAAGAGCAAGCAGTCATCAATGGAAAGGCTAATGAAGAGGAAGAGTTCCTGGGTCAAAATATGTGATCTGCTGTGGAAGCTTGGCTATGCTGGAAAGTAACATTTATCTAATTGTATAACTGTGCGAGGGGAAATTATTAGGCATTGGGCATGGTCAGTTGATGAGATAGTGAGCTCACCTGTCCCGGTCTTGCAACTGATGTCATGTAGGCACTTTGAAGGTGGCTATAAAACTAAATCAAAGTAGGGTGTTTTTTTGGTCCTGCGCACCTCTGTCAGAGAATGGTGTTTCGTTAGACCACAAAAAGGTCAACCTCAAATGGGCTTTCCGTCTGACAGTTCCCCTCCCTTTGCAGAAAAGAGTGACTAGTTGGATGCCGTTATTTGAACCCTTAATTAAAGCTATCGATGTTTGACAGAGAGGATGAAACAAAGATACATCATAAATGATCTCAGACAAATAAAGGTATTTCTGATCAACTGTCAATCAGCATACATCTTTAAGAATAATAGTATCAGAAAGTACTTACATTTGCATGAGATTGGGATACTTTTTATAAACTTATAACTGAATTTTCAAAGACAAAACTTACTGTTAAGATCATGCTAAATAACACTCTTAGAATTTTAAATTACAGAGTGAGAATAACACTGTTCCAGTTCAATGTGAAAAAATTCAACAGATTATAAAGATAGATCTGCATTTGCTGCAGTTTAAATCAGAATTTCTTCTTCTATGTTCACAAAATAATCTTGTGAAGTGAAGATATATTCTTTACATACATTGAGATCTTCATTTTCTTCTGTATATTCAGTTTATGTTTCTTGATCAGTTGATGAAGACTGTTTCATAACAATCAGTCTTATTTTAATGTCTGATGAAAAGTAAAACTTATCTTTCACACCAGTTGCATCAGCTGTTCATTGATCTTGATATTAGTGATACTCTCATAGTGGCGCAGAAAGTTCTTTCAGTCATCATTCAGAAAGCTCAACTTGTTTATTCTCTTCAGTCAATGACTACTCTTTCTCAATTACAGCTTGTAATACCAGTTGAAAAATAGATACAGATTATGTCAATCTGCAGTGTGAAGAGTGTTGACTGAATTCTGTCACTTGAGATCTGTGAACAGCTTCATCTTCTTTCTGCAGCATCTGAAGATGATTCTCTGTCAGTCTTGAACCAGAGAGGTCGAGGTTCAAAGAGAGGAAGAGAGAAACTGACTACTGCCAGTGATCCTTCATATGAATGATGGGAAGCTTGGCGCCAGTGGTGTGTAGTCATCATCCTCATCCCCCGACAATATCCCATCATCTGTATCATCGTTGTCATCAGTATCATTGGGTGGTTGTGTTCTTCTGGGTTACTGGTGTGCTGGGTTTGTAGTGCAGCTGTTGACGCTTGGGTTTGCTCCTACGTCTGTCGCGAGACGCATCAAAATCAGGCTCAGTCAGCTTCGTCTCGTATGCCCGATCGGACTCGCTGTTCACATCCAAGCGGGAAGACCCGTCAGCCGTGTTATCATTGTTGCCATATGTTATCTGATTTTGATGATGCTTTGTAATGTTTACATTGTTGTGTTGAGGTTCTAAGTGAGGATTGTTGATGAAGGAGTGAGGAAGGGAGCAGCGATGCTGGCAGGAGTGGAGAGGAGACTAGCAGTCGCATTTTGCTATGCAAATGGGGCACGCTCACTAGGTGTGCGGGCAGAGATATCCTCTCGAAGTAGAAACGGTGGTGGGGATGAAATGAAGGAGCAGGTATGCCCTCCAGGCATCAGAGAGGCTGTTGGCCCTCATTTTATCGAGCCATGATGAATTAGCAGGTGAGCAGGGTGAGCAGGGTGACGGAACGGAGGTCAAAATAGAGCTTTCATTTCTGATGCCATGAATAAAAAAAACTATGGCCATGGAAAGAAACCAGAAGGGGTGATGATAGCCGGGCGCGAGTGCCGAGCAGTCGCTGGTTGCCCGATCCATCAGGCGATCACGTGCGCACGGCGGTTTAGTGCGTGGTTTGGCTGGGCGATGCGGCTGAAAATGGCTTGAAAACAGGCCCCCAGAGCAGAACAAAATGTTATAATTAACAGTCAGTAACAATTTTTATCTAACTAACGTAATCCGCCCAAGCGAGCGGGACACTAAATTAAAAAACACATTAATTTAGCAACCCCCCTATATTCAACGCGTCGTAATGCCTCTAATTCGCAAAAGAAATCCAATAAACTCTATAGAGATAGAGGGAAGAATCAAACTTGCTGTTGCTTCTTTAAAAAAAAAAAAAAAGGAAAAAGGAAAATATTACATCAATTCATGAAGCTGCACATTTATTTTTGCCGTTCTGAGGTCAACTCTACACTTCTGACTGACTGGACGCCTTTCCCGCGTGACTGAATTTGAAGAGAAATCACTTTGTTAATTGGATTCTCAAGCTAGGGAAGCAAGGATTGTCCCCCTTGGCTGGCATTTGTTGAGAATATGGCGAATTATCTTCTTTTGAAATGAGATTCCACCTCATGCCCACTACAAGTTGGCAAGAATTGGGTTTCAAATCTAGTCAAGTGCTGTCCTGGGCTCCAAAGCTGGTATACAAGACATTACAATCATGATCAAGCCAAATGTGAAGATATCAAGGTTATTCAAGAGTGGTTTGATGTTCTAAACAAAGACTCTTACTGAGTATGGATTCTACGCGAGGATATCGACAACTTTGATGAGACTGAATTGACAATGGACTTTGTGCAGGTACAATAGTCATCTTCAGCAGTGGGTGCTCTGGCCGGCCGAAGCTTCTACAGCCTGGAAATCACAAATGGGTTACTGTTATCGAGTGTGTCAACGCATCTGGCTGGGCTCTTCCTCCACACACATTATTCTCAAGTGTCAGAACATGCAAGAAGGCTGGTTTGACAGGCTTCCAGATGGCTGGAGACTTGATGTTAGCACCAATGGCTGGACTACAGATGAGATTGAACACAATTGGCTTACAAAGATCTTCATTCCAATTGCAAATCAACAGAAACAGGGTGTCAAAGCCCTACTTATACTGGACGGTCACGGCAGTCATCCTACTACACCTGAATTTGATGATCTATGTGGTCAGAATAATATTATTCCTCTCTGTATGCCGACACACTCTTCACATCTTCTCCAGTGTTTGGATGTGAGTGATTTTGCAGTGCTGAAGCGAGCTTATGATGGACTGGTCGAACAATGAATGCGTCTTGAGTTCAACTCAATCAAGGTATTTCTTGGAGGCTTATCCGAAGGCAAGAGCTGAGGCTTTTAAATCTCAGAATATCCAAAGTGGCTTTATGACAACTGGAATTGATTCATTCAATTCAGATTAGAGTTATTCAGCTGCTTGATATTCAGCCCAAAACTCCTACCCCTTCAGGAAGCCGGTCAGGCACATCTCAGTCATTCTTACTTTCACAAACCCCTACAACTACCCCAGCAATTGCATCGAGAGGCAAGTAGAATCAAAGATCTCTTTGATCATGAGCTTCCAAACCCACCCGAAGGCTTTTATGGAGTGGTTTGATCGAATTATCCGGGCTAGTGAATATAGCATGGCCAACATGATTCTCATGAAGAGACAATATCAGGATTTATTTGACGTGAATGAAAAAGAGAAGCAAAAAGAAGAAGATCTAGATGAAGAATCATTTCTCAGAGAGGAATTACACAGGAAGAAGCTCTGGAGCTCATTAAACAGTCCAACCCTCCACCAAATCCTTCAGTTGAACCCCAAATCGAACAGCCTCCAAGGACCCGAACGTTCAGCTACTCAGCCCTGCCAAGGAGCGCCACAATGGTATAGCAATTTTGCAACTATCGGACATACACAGCGGAAATGTCCTAATCCTAGTGTAATTTAATTTTTAAATAATAACTATTTGGTGATGATAATTTGAGTTTAAAATTGTCACCCGCGCCCCGCTCGCTTGGAATGTCCCACTCGCTTGGAATGTCCCACTCGCTTAGAGTATCCCACTCGGTGGATTACGTTATTATATTAAATTTATTTGATGCATTTTGATTATAAACTACTAATATTAAGTTTAATGATTTATCTTTAAACTTTAAGCTAGTTAACTATGTAAAGAAAAATTACTAATATACTTATTAAAATAAAAATTTAGTTAAACTTCTTAGTTATAATTTCTTCAATAACTCAATTAGTTATAATATAAGTATAAATAGTTAGTTATGATAACTATCAAATATTAAAATCCTTAAATTTATTCAATTGACATAGAGCTTAGTTAATTCCATAAGTTTTTTATGCATCAGTCTTTGAAAAGTAAGACTATTATTAATCAAAGCATTTCCCGAAGACAAACAGGTAAAGAAGGATTCTTAATTTATGTTTATATTGAATCAGATGACTGTTACTTCTTACAGACACTCTGACCTTATTTAAGAAGTGATTATCTAATGAAATTGCAAGGTAACAGACGTGTTAGTTACTGAATACAGCCTTAGCACAACTTCCTACATACAAGGAACAAATTAATTAGGGAAAGAAATTCAAAAGAGTGGAAGTCGCAAGAGTGAAGGAGTGTGCAATCATAAGCTTAAGGGCGGAAGAAAGGACAACCTGATCGTAAGATTAGTGAGCGAAACCACTGGGGCGGAAGAGGGATGGCCTGATCATAAGATTATAGTTAGCGTGAAAGTTTGATTACGAAATGACATAATAATCAGACATCAACCTGTTACTTCGCTTGTCAAATACTGAGACATATTGCTTTGAACCTGTAGTAACTTAATAATTCAATTTAACTGGCTGTTGAGTGGAAGCAATTCAGATTAAAATTTTGAAGAATATTCTGTTCAAAGATTTGCTGTACAATTCAATTGAGTGTTCAGCTTCTGAATTTTTTTTTCCTCAGAAAGCTCTGAGATGAAGTCTTGCATGAACGTATATATCATCAGATCAATGTACTTTTCAGAACTTGCTGAGGGTAACAATTGAGATAGTTTTTTCATAAGTAAATTCATCAAACAAAATAGAAATGAAATGAAAACAAATCGGCTTAAAGAGAGTCAAATAGTTCATTCATAATCCTTGTGACAATCTTTTCTTCAATAACTGCACCAAATCTAAACAACTCTGTTAGCAAATAAACAAATAAATAAATAAACGTATGAATAAAAATATATTGACACGTACCCATAACACCGCACATTACCTATCAAATCTTTGCCCAATTTGCGCACATGTTCCGGCTTAAGCTTATGGAAGTGCTGATGCTGCTTAACCCGCATCCAGATCTGGACCGGCGTGAGCTCGCCATCCAGATGCAGGGACGAGGAGAGGCTGAATAGTCGATCAAGTTCTTTTGCAGGAATCTGCCACGAGGTGTAGTCATTTAGAAGGGGAGGGGCTCCGGTGAGCATGGGTGCTAGTACGGTCATTGCGTGGCCGGTTGCTTCTTCGAAGTAGTCGGGAACGTGGACGTGGTACAAGCAACATCGTTCCATGCTGCGTAGTTTGTGCAACATGCATGGTTAGCTACCGCGGGGCAAAAAAGGAAAGACAAGAAATATGAAATTGAAAGGAAAGGAAAGGGAGGAACTGGATATATAAGGGAAGCTTACAATAGCACGAAATCTACCCCGACTTGGGTCGCATCAAGGCCGTATGGATGAGTAAGTACCTGGGTAGGCTGAGGAGAGGTCCTGGGATTGAATTCGGCGGGTGGTGATAGATATTGTTGGATGATTTCTGGGGGAGTTGGAGAGGTCCTATCAACGACCACCGAAACTATCGGGTGTATCCCATCAGGCCCATCGGGGACGCCAAACCCGCGCGGAAACACCGCCAACGGGTGAGCAGGATCATCATTCATTGATACCTGAAGCCGTTGTCCATAACCCGGGCTACCGATAACGGAGACAGTGGCCATGGGGTTATGGGACATCCACAGCTTTTCCAATCCAGGAAGAGGTATCCCATGGTCAAGCATGATGTCCCTGAGGATGCTATTTTCCTCGACTACCTGATAGGTCTCGGTTTGAACTGATGTAGTTTCATCGCGAAGACGAAGAAGCTCCTGTTCAAGAGACTTTATGTATTTCTCCTTCCTCTCGCGATAGTTCCTGAACAATTTGTATATCTGTCAGCATTTCCGGCGGGTTGGTTACCCACATATGTTCTATATAAAAGAGGAGCACGGGCCACCCAGCGGAATCACTATGAAGTAAACTTACCGCTGCGCCCGCCTGACCTGTTCCCGTCGTCGAGAGTGGGCGGATTTTGCTTGGTCGTCTTGTTCATTGGGTGCTTCCCCCGCCGGTTCTATAAACATCCACTTAGCAAGGGAAATAACGAAGACATTAAACCTTATCTTCGAAGAAGTATGTTTTCATAGAGCTGAAGATAGGGTTGGCTCATTATTTCAGGGAACGCGTGGGAACGCTGGGAAAGCAAAACAGATGGCAATAATAGTGATGACAATTGGTTATCTCACTTTCCGACGGCGTCCGAAGGCTCCAATAAGGGTATAGGGGGCCACCGTCGAAATCAGAAATGGATGGGGAGAGATATTCATGCCAGGCAGGGAATAAATCTGACGCAAGCCAATAGAGACTCGCAGAACTATTCGAGAAGAAGCATGGGTACGTAAACTGGACAGGTTCCTCCAACCCCCCTTGACTGCAGTCTGCATATCTCTCACCTTCACTATCATCAAAGAGCTTGTCGTCGCCTCCTTGCCGGAGGGCCTCGAGAACAGCATGGTAGGGATTGGGCGGGCCACACAGGTGGTTGTTCGCCAGGGGATCAGACATTTATTGACAAATCTTTTCACGCAGTAGTTATCCATAGATTACTACATGGGTTCCAAAGCCCGTTGCATGTATTGAGATTAAAATGTTTCCTCATCATCAGCAGCTTGACCATGATGGGGTTGTCGCTTGTTGGGGCTAGTGTGGCGGATTTTACCCAAGAGATCTTGATTATTGATTCCAAATCTCGCGATGATTTAAGCTCACTGGCCGAAAAATAGAGTTCTTAGTCGAGTTTGTGATGATCTAGATCAATGGAGATTGTTCAAACCAGAGCGGCTTCCTTCTGTCGGATATATATTCTCGAACTTTCGTCACATGTCAGAAACCTGTCTACATGTGAATTTCGTTTTCTGTCTTTGTTTATGTGTTGTTTCCTGGTAGTCTCTGGGAGAAGCGATACATATGTTCGATTGACCAGTCCGTTTTGAACACCACCACCGGATTGGAAGCTTTGCATTGTGACATACCATCAACTGGAGGCCCCAGCGAAACGGATGATTTCTGAAGAGAGTGGCTGAAAACAGAGTTTCACGTGGGGCAGTCAGAAAAGCAGTAGCAATAATTATATTGCGTAGGACAAGCCTATAAGGAGGGAGTCGAGAGAGGCCAGCCATATCGTTGTTGTCTACGATGGATGAACACAACACTCTGAGAGATTATAAATAAAAATACAAAATATAAAAAAGAAGGCAAGGATAGAAGCAATCTAATGAAACACACTAGTTGGAAATAAAGAGAAACTATACACATGTTGACTCCAGAGATGTTGAGTTTTGCCGGCCGTTCTTTTCCCAAAATCCTCGCTTTACATAGATGTCAAAAAAGTTCATGAAGCTAACACAATGCTGTACCGCGTAGATTATCGATCTATTCCTCGAGGACACGGGTTACGAGCCCAGTAGCGACAGTCCGGCCTCCCTCACGAATATTGAATCGCTGTCCAGCCTCAGCGGCCACCGGGCGGTGTGACTTCAGGACCATTTCAACATTGTCACCGGGCATGACCATTTTGGCTTCGTCGTCTCCATCAGGCCAGCTGAGTTCAGCAGCCTCGTCTGTGTCAATTAGTTAATGGGAGGATCGGGCTATGCATATAGGAATATAGTGAAAGAATGAACGTACCAGCTGTGCGGATGAACATTTGAGGACGATAGTTCTGACCGAAGCCAGTGCGGCGACCACCCTCAGCCTCGGTCAGAACGTACATCGACACCAAGAATCTGTCATGTGCTTTGACGCTTCCGGGAACTGCAACGACCATACCACGGCGGATATCCTCACGCTTGACACCGCGCAACAAGAGGCCGGAGTTGTCCCCGGCTCTGGACTCGTCGCAAGACTTCTTGAAGGTTTCGATATCAGTCACCTTGGTCAGGATTGTGGGAACACCGCCGCCAATAATTTCAACTTCGGAGTCCTTCTTGAGGATACCACGCTCAACGCGGCCGGAGGCAACGGTTCCTCGTCCAGAGATAGAGAACACCTCCTCAATGGACATCAGGAAGGGCTTGTCGGTATCACGCTGTGGCGTAGGGATCCAAGTATCCACAGCCTCGAGTAATTCATCAATTTTCTGCTCTCCCAACTCGGGCTGACGGCCCTCCATAGCACAGAGCGCAGAACCAAAGATGATAGGTGTCTTCTCACCCTCGAACCCATAGGTGGTCAAGAGCTCTCTCATCTCCAATTCGACAAGCTCCAACATCTCCTTATCCTCTACAGCATCGACCTTGTTGACGAAAACAACGATTTTCTGAACACCGACTTGTCTGGCAAGAAGCAGATGCTCGCGTGTTTGGGGCCTGATACCAAACATCAGCACAATCTTTTCTATTTTCTTTAGATTTTTTCACCAGTCTTGCAAAATCCCTACATTTGGCCGTCAGAGGCAGCAACAACGACGATAGCACCATCCATGTTCGCAGCACCAGTAATCATGTTCTTGATATAATCAGCGTGTCCGGGGCAGTCGACGTGGGCGTAATGTCGTTTGTCGGTCGAATATTCGATGTGAGAGGTAGAGATGGTGATACCACGCTTCCGCTCCTCAGGAGCCTTATCAATCGCCCCATATTCCAGGAAGTTTGCCAATCCCTTCTCCGCTTGACGTTTGGTGATGGCGGCCGTCAATGTAGTCTGTTGCCGGGTTTCATGAGGTTAGAATACGAATAGTAAAGGAAATAAATTGACATGTAGAAATCGAACCTTTCCGTGATCGACATGGCCAATGGTACCTGTATATTATTAGAACTGATTAGAGATTCACGGCAAAACCCCAAAAATGAAGATTACCCACCGACGTTAACGTGAGGCTTCGTTCTCTCGAAAACGGTCGCCATGCCTCTGAAGGCTATGCGGTCTTGAAGGAGGACATGGTGAATCGGGTTGACACCTCGGGGTCTTTGCAGAGCAAGCCTGCTAGTCTGCAGCAGGGCCTTGACCGATCTTGAAATATTAGACATCTTGACAGTCCTTCAATGGAGCAGTTTTCGTGTAATTTGACAAGAATCTATGAACAGTCGCTGTCAGCTCGAAATACTTTTTGTTGGATCAAAAAGTTGAATCCAAAAGTTTTCAGTTACTGGTGATTAGTCATCACAGCCTCAGCCAATAGCGTGTGGTTGCAAGCAGACAGTTTGACAATCCCCAACAGCCAAAAGTCTGGTATGACGAGAAGGAGAATGGGGATTCCGTGGATTCAATGGATTTAATGTATCCAGCATTTTACATCCGTTATAAAGTTGGGTAATTTTGGCGTATTTCTTATAGTTGGCTCAAGCGGCGTCAAACCCGTGCTTATGCTGTCCAGCCGTTGTGAGCTATTGAATATTCTATTAAACAAAATAATATACAACGTCTCTGTCCCTCCGAGAGACCATCACGGCTTCTTCAACTTCTTAGCATATATCGTAAGCCGTCCCAGCAGGGTCCCCTCCATCTTCTTAGTCTCCACAGCGCCCATCTCTGCAAGTTGCTCTTTTATTGTTTTAACAAGCTCACGAGCCTTTTCTGGGGTCGGAAGCTTCTTTTTCCTCCGATCCTTCTGCAGCAATATGAATTCAACCTTCTTTCCCTTCTCAATATATGTCTCAACCATCTTCATTCGATGCGAAAGGTCGTGGCCATCAATGCCCCAGTTCAGCTCGACCTGTTTGAGCGCGTGGTTTGGGTCTTTGGGGGTTTTTGATTTTGCTTGTAATTTTTGCTGCAGTAGTCCTTTGCTAGTAATCTTGCAAATGGCTGGGCGCTCAGCGGTTTCGGGGGCGACTTGGAGAAGGATGTTTACGAAACGGTCGAAAGTGCGCAATGCGGCGGCAACTGACATCGGCTCCCCGAGCGATCCATCCTCGTTCACAATCTGCACTCTCTGTGCGCGAATGTTCTCGTCTTTTATGAGTCCATTGTAGTAGTCCTTGACACTTTTGCCACCTGTGCTGCCCTTGTTGTCCCCCCGTGGTCCGTATTTTTCTTGAAGATTGACTGGTTCGGGTCGCCTAAGCATTTGGGTCTCCGGTCTCGAAGCGACAGGTTGTGGCCGCGCGGGCTGGAAGCGATAGCATCTTGTTTGCCTCCACACTATCAGACGTTCCGCAAATAGTATAGATTGTGACTCTATTGACGACAGGAGTATTTCGCGAAGAGTCTGCGGAATTCCGACAAGAGCTCGAACATGATTCATGGTCTTTGCCATCAAGGGGTATGCCGTCCCACGAAGGTGGGTTGATGGGAGGTTGAATTGCGATTACACCCTTTAGGTAGAACAAGGACCCTGCGACCAGAAAAAAAAAATATTAGACATGAAAATACGCCCACAAAAAAAGAGAAACCGAAAAAACTATCCTGCCTTACCAGCCACTTCCCACTACTCCCAAGGAAAGCTGTAGGTAACTTTTAGTCCTCCCTATTACTCACATCCATGGGAATGAATATCTATGCATGGTTCAACCTAAGTAGTTACTCTGCACAGTCGCGTGGAAGTCCAAACCAACCCAAAAAATTTAAGCTTGGTTCAGCCACATCTTGGCAACTTCATATCTCTCCATATCGCACTTTTTCTTCTTCATCCCCGTCAACCCCCTTTTTCATCACCAACATCCAGGTGCTTGTGTGCTGCATGTCAACTATTCATCTGGTGCTCATTCATCTCTGTCTTAGCGCTCTTCCTGGTGGAGTGCTTGTGATCAGACTGAATCTATGACCTACTTTCAGGTCTACCGCTCGTTAAACTTGTTCCTCTTTGCATCCCTACCAGACTTCGGCAGCATTTTCCCTCCCTTGTTTCTGCTGATTCCATTCTCGAAGTGTGATTCACATTCGCTCTCATGCCAACTGGAGTAAATTCTCGTAATCGTGTTGGAATTTGGTCCTATTTGCCCTTCGGCTCAAGCCCTAGGCGCCGTTCCGTCTCCATCCCGTTGAAGTCTGTCCGCGATCCATTCGAGAAGGCTGATAGGCATTCGCGGGATCCATTTCGGAGTACCACAACCCTGACGTTCCGGAACATATTCATGGTTTTCACCATGACCCAAAGTCAGAGAACTAGGTATTTTAAGACGTGGGGGATTATTGCAATTTTATTGCTCTTTCTTTACGTCCTGCTCCCGTCACGTTCCTCGGTCCCCGCGACGATCAACACCCCCGTTTCCTCCACAAAATGCACGAAGCCATATGATTCTTCAAAGCCCCTGATACAATACGCGTTGATGATCGATGCCGGAAGTACTGGCTCCCGAATTCACGTATACCGGTTTAACAATTGTGGGCCCACACCAGAACTTGAAAATGAGGACTTCAAGATGACTGAGAAGAAGAAAGGTGGTGCAGGGTTAAGTGCTTATGCAAATGACCCAGTGGCAGCTGCAAAGAGCTTGGATCCATTGATGGAGGTTGCGCTGACATCGGTCCCGAGAGAGTATCAGGCCTGCTCCCCAGTGGCAGTAAAGGCGACTGCGGGTCTGAGATTTCTAGGCCAGGAAACTAGCGATAAGATCTTGGAGGCGGTGAGGGATCGCCTAGAAACAGTATACCCATTCCCCGTCGTTTCGAAGGAACGAGGTGGTATTGAAATAATGGATGGCAAATATGAAGGAGTCTACGCTTGGATCACCACCAACTATCTGCTTGGAAACATCGGCACAAAGGAGCGCATCCCGACTGCTGCAGTTTTTGATCTTGGAGGAGGATCGACCCAAATTGTCTTCGAGCCCACATTCAAGAGCGTGAATGGAGCAGCGCCAGAACAATTGGCCGAAGGTGCTCACAAATTTTCTCTGAGTTTCGGAGGCCGAGACTTCGCCCTATACCAACACTCCCACCTGGGATACGGACTCATGAAGGCGAGAGAAACAATCCACCAAGCCGTCGTGGAGGCTAAACACGAATCTAACCCTAATGATCAAAGCTGGCTTTCTAAGCCACTGGTGAATCCATGCCTCAGCGCTGGGATGAATCTGAAGGTGAACGTAACTCTCGGGGAGAGCCACCCTCTCGGTAAGGTCGTCGAGGTCAATATGACAGGGCCAAAAGACATACCTTCCGCCGCCCAATGTCGAGGAATTGCAGACAAAATTCTGAAGAAAGATATGGAATGCAAATTGGCTCCCTGCTCCTTCAACGGTGTTCATCAGCCCCCTCTCCAGAAGACTTTCGCCCAGGAAGATCTGTATATCATGTCATATTTCTATGACCGCACAGCTCCTCTCGGGATGCCGGAATCTTTCACGCTACGAGACTTACAAGACTTGACATCTACTGTTTGCTCGGGATATGGTAGCTGGGGTGTTTTTGAGAGTATCAAGGACGCCCTCAGTGAGCTTCTGGACCGTCCGGAACACTGTTTGGATCTTTCATTCATGCTATCTCTTCTACACACCGGATACGATCTTCCTCTTTCTCGCCAAGTTAAAATTGCGAAGCAAATCAAAGGCAACGAGCTTGGTTGGTGCTTGGGTGCAAGGTACGCCAAAGTTTTACTCACACTTCTTCTATACACCCCTGGTTGCTTCACTTTCCCCTCTCTTTTCATTCCTCCTTTAAACCAGCTATTGCACAACCCTAGCTAACATGGTGGAATAGTTTGCCCCTTCTCAATAAGGAATCAGGCTGGCAGTGCCGTGTCAAGGAGGTGTCATAAATTTCATCAATAGATTTAGACATTATACGATTATAATGAACTTTCCCCCTCTTCTCACACAACCCACACCATCTCTTCTATTATAAATTTTGCTTCTGTCCACTTTCAGTGGGCCTTTGTGACATGATAATGTTCTGAAGAATAATCTTTCCTTTTCCCCTTTCTGCCATCCCCTGTTTTTAGTTTGATTCTGAATGAACCATATCGAATCGTTTCTGTATCTTGCACCTTGAGGCGTGGATGTTTGCTGGGATTCGGTCATAATTTGGGGTTTTCTTTCTGTGAATTGTTTCCTTTTTGCTTCGTGCCTTTTCACTTGGCATCTTACATGTACTAACATTTCAATTCCGTTTGAACTTGTTGGGTTGGAAGTATATATCCTGTTGCAGCTTCGAGCATTTCTTTTCATATATTATGTAATAGTTAATATTTACATTTATGGGGGGCATATCTCCTTTTTACTTCTAACGGGGGCAGAACTTGAAGCCTATTCCCATGTTTTAAGTTCAAGTTCAGGTTCAAGATAAATGGCAGCAGGGAAACCAACCTACAGCGACCAGATCCAGACTAACTACCACAGAAAGATTTGAAACCAAGTGTCTCGGTACAGTAAGCATCAATTTTTAACTGCGCCGGACTGTCCTGTGATTTTATATCAGACACTAATCACCGATTTACTATTTCAGAACTACTTAGTCTAGTCAGAAGGGTGGGCATCCCAAGTCGGAATTATTAACCCCGTTCGAAGTTTTCAATTATTCAAGAAAGATAGATTGGCACCGTCAGCACCAGCTTGAAGCTGCCATATCAGCTTTGATTCGTCTATCTTCTCAGTCACAACCAGAGGGATTACTTCGCTTCCTTATCTGTCCGCACGACGTAACTTTCTCGATCAGCTGCGCAAAGCTATGTGAGCTGAAATGTAACATGGGGGACAGCATATGTTTGCACTTATTCGGGACGCTAAGTATGATCCTGCTGATAAAAACATAAAGGATGATGCGTGTATTACATTTCTAGCCATGCGCATCACCAACATGGAACCTCGCAGCTGAAAGGGATGCTAGCAGACATAAGAAACACAAGCAAAAGCGTATATTTGTCAGTGGAGGGGCAGGTAACTAGCGCCTCATTCATTGTCATTGGTAGGGTGGCTTACGACGTTCGATTCAGGATGATCTTTGAACGTGTCTTTTTTCGATGGCTAATTCTCTTCTCCAGAGCATATTACTCGGCTTTATGCAATCAAGGATCATGGATAGTGTTACATATAACATGGATCCTTTTGAGTACATCCCTGTCTTCTTCTCTGTATGTAAGCTTCGATGCTATGAGGTCAGCCGGGTAACATCCCGAAGCTTATGAATGCTCAGGCCTTCCATGTATAAACTCTAACCACAACGCTATTCAATCCTTCTTTTGAGCTGACGTGACATAAAAAAGCAAATACTCTCAAGTTCTGTACAACCACGTTCACACATCCCGTCCAAAATATAGTTAGCCGTTGTGTAGCGGGCTCAAATCGGGTATCGGGATCCCGGACGTTCGTGGTATCGCACTTTATTATTCACTTCCACAAATGACAACGTACTTTGCCAAAGGGGACACTTATCGGACATTTCAAACAGTTGAATGACACCTCGGCTATACCAACGACAAAGCATGTGCCTGTTGACTGCTCAATAGCGGCAACCCGGCCAGTGAGGACGCATATATCTCCGAAAGATGAAGCTGTCGTGCGTCGTCGATTCATGTTGTACTATATATATGTGTTCGGTCCATTGAAACACCCACTCCCCGCATTGATTTGTGTCACTTGCGGAGTAGAAAGCCACATTAATCTTTTCATTATTATCATTATCTTTGGAAAATTCTCATCCAAGTTTTGTTTTATCGAGGGTATCAGTATAAAGCAGAAATATCACATCCATCCAGAAGAAGTTTACAAAATGTGTGGCATTACGGCAAGTATTGCCTTACCCATGGTTTGTCTCAATGGGACTCCCACCGACTACGTCGAAAACCCGGATGATCCATCACTCGTTGACAAACTTCGAGCCTCTATTGAGAAGATAAATTACCGTGGGCCGGACGAGTCGGGTATCTGGGTCAACTCCGATGGCAGTGTTGGTCTTGGCCATTGCCGTCTTTCCATCAATGATCTCTCACCCTCTGGCTCCCAACCTCTTTCAAGTGACGATGGACAAATCCACGCTGTTGTCAATGGCGAGCTCTACGACTATGACCGCTTGCGAGTGTTATGTTCTGTCGTCCACGGCTATGAATTCCATGGCGAAAGTGACAGCGAGCTAGTCTTAGCACTCTATAAAATTTATGGAGCTCCTAAGTTTCTCAAGCACCTGCGTGGCGAATTCGCATTTGTTCTCTATGACGGTCGCGAGGGACACAACAAAGTGATCGCAGTGAGAGATAGGTTTGGTATCAAGCCGCTGTTTTGGACGATCGTTGGCAATAGAATTCTACTTGCAGCTGAGGCGAAGGCATTTTTGCCTTTGGGATGGAAGCCGGAGTGGGATATTGGGTCTATTATAGAATGCGGTTGGATGGCTGATGACAGAACCCTATTCAAAGGCGTGAGCAAATTGCGTCCAGGACACTTGATGGAAATCTCTGAGAAGGGAATTGAGATTCAGAAGTACTGGGATGCGGAATATGCAGACAAGGTAAAAAGATTTTGTGTCGAACATGGCCAATTAATGATGCTGACAATATGCAGACCAAAGTAGACCCTCGAACCATCGATGAGATGATAATCGGTGTCCGTGAACGACTCGTCGAATCAATTCGATTGCGACTCCGCGCCGACGTTCCTGTTGGCGTATATCTCTCAGGTGGCATCGACTCATCTGCTGTGGCGGGAATTGTGACACAGCTTGCAAGAAAATATCACGTCAAAATCGGCAACCAAAAAGCAACCCGAGTGGCGTGTTTTAGTGTACAGTTTCCAGAGAAGTCTGGCTTTAATGAATCAAGTAAGGAAGAAATATGAACAAATCAGAGAGTAAAGGAAGGCACCTATCAATTTTATTTTACTGCTGACACACATCCACATAGATATTGCCGATCGGACGGCCAAATGGCTGGGGGTCGAAGCAATTAAAATGAACGTTGACGAGGCCACATTGGCAAAGCATTTTGCAGACGCATCATATCACTGTGAGCACGACAACCACGATCTCAACTACGTAGCCAAGTTTGCACTGTCCACACTCCCACAAGAGAATGGAGTGAAGGTTGTCTTGACAGGTGAAGGTTCCGATGAGATCTTTGCCGGATACCCATATTTCCCACAGGACTACCTCCTGGAACCGGACCTATCACAGCCAGACTCTCCGCTTGTTCCATCCAGTGAGCTGCGAGAGGATCTGCAAAAGGATGCTGTGGCCGGATTGAGGAACCTTTTCCGTATAGTTGGAGCTGGCCAGTATGGTTCGGATGAGGATGAGCAATTTCTTGCAGATGCAAATGGCACAACAATTTCTAACGCCCTAAAGTTCTCGCAGCCACCCGCAGAGATCTTTGAATCATGGATGCATGAAACCAACATGGTATTTGACAGTAGGGCAGCACTTATGGCGTCCCAGTCACCCGAAGTCCTGGCCAAGATCCGCTCTAGCTGGCATCCGCTGCACACGTCACTCTACCTCTGGAGCAAAAGTTCCCTACCCAACGTTCTCCTTTCGTCTCTGGGGGACCGCACGGAAATGGCCCACAGCGTTGAAGGGCGTACGCCATTCCTTGACCACCATCTTGTTGAATATGTCAACGGCCTTCCCCCCAGCGTCAAGATTGCGTATGCGCCTGAAGCTCTAAACGGTCAGGACCAGGGGCCACTTTGGAAGCTGGCTGGCAGGGCGCTACAGGCGATGACTGAGAAATGGATCCTCCGTGAAGCTGTTCGACCGTATATTACGGACGAGTTGTACCAGAGGAAAAAGTTCCCGTTCTTGGCGCCATCACGGTGGCCCGAACAAGGCCCATTGCACCTCATGTTTGAAAAGCTTTTGACACGCGAAGCGGTTGAAAGTCTGGGTTTTGTAGACTACGATGTAGTCCAGGAAATGCTGGGGCGAGCATTTGGTGCCAATGAGGATAGCAAAGCGTTCCGCACGGTGTTGTGCGTCGGTTCGTGGGTGATCCTGGGACAACGCCTTGGCGTCAAGAAAGCGGAAAAAGCGGACTACATTCGCTAGGAAGATTTGTGACCGTTTTGAGAGAAGTATTTTAACCAAGCTTTGCGCTAATTGAATAAGCTAATTAGATTTAAACCAATGAAAGCCCGTATAATACTCTCTAACCCCTGAATGTTAATCTGTTAAAACACCGAGAGAGAGAGAGAGAGAGAGAGAGAGAGAGAGAGAGAGAGTATTATTAACTATTTTGCCCACCGGTGACCAAATGACTTCCCATAATGCTCCGTATTGGAAAATAAAAAGGTGACCGCGAATGAAAACGAGGCTCGAACAACGCCATCTAATGCAAGCCGCCCGCAAACTACATGCCTGAAAAGTCTCTTTCCAAGTCCAGCTGGAGACTCCAATTGAAAAAATATGTGCATAATTCACTCAAACAACCTTGGTATGATAAATTCCCCCCCCCCCCCCCCCCCCCCGGGGGAAATAAACTAACCATCCGCTGCTGATTCAGTTCCACCCAATAACCCCTTCTGCCACTCTCATTCCCGTCGCATCAACAATCGACATTCGCCGCCCTATCACACCCGTCTCACAGGAGTCAAGTCGTAGCACCTGTGTGCGGCTGCGTCCATGTTCACTGCTGTGATGATGACCAGTGACGAGAGTCATACTTGCCTGGGCCGTCGCTGGCTGTGAATTTCCAAATCCTCTAAGTGGTGTTAGATTTCGCAGTGGGAAGCGGTGAAAGGGAGGGAGTGCGTCACGGGATTTGGAGGGAGTTAGGTCGCCATCCGGGCTGGGGGAAGAGGTTGGTGTTAGTCACTGTATGGGTGTAACTATGCATATGCATCGATCGGCCATGGGTAACTAAAAGATGCGTTATTAAATTACTAACTGGATCTCAACCCAATATGCTCGGATGGCTTCGATGTGGGACCGTTGATCCTGCTCTTGCTCCCCCTGTTTTACTACTGGCTTGCTGATGTACATATGGATGACTCCGGTTCCGGCCGCCGTATGATTTTCATGCAAAGTGACCCGATAGCCGGCTGTGGAGCTGTTGCTTCCAGATTTGCTTCCAGATTTGCCCTCTACCGTGGTTATGGGGTGAAGGAATGCCATGGCACCTCCACGGCTGGTCCTTGAGGAAAATTCGTTGCACATATTTCTCTCTGCTCTCGTATAGGAGTGCTAAATAGAAAAACATTTAACGACCGGATGATGAAATGAATGAATGTACGAATGAATGAATGAATGAATGAATGAATGAATGAAGATGCATAAATTTGTCGTGTTCGCAGTCAAGTTGAATGCGAGAATTCCTTGATCAAGAGACTTGATCATTTCCGGTAGCTCAGAGGGCAGGACATGGGATGATTTACTAGAGAGTATATATACACCTCGATTTCTCCCCCTGCCCTTTCTCTAGGGGAACTACTACATTTTAAAAGGGAACTGCCGTAGGAAGGGGGTCTGTTGTATATTAAGAAGATTTGAGCAAATTTCCGAACTCTATCTCAGATCAATGGGGCGGAGTGGGAGCAGAGGATCCATTCATGCGACGATGATTTATAAGCTTGGCGGGTAATGGTTACGTCCTTCTGTACGGCTTTTGTAGTGACAATCTTGCTTGCTCTCCTCGAGCAATGGTATTGTATATAGTTTGTCCAAGATGTTATGCCATTGCTCAAAGTATTTCATCCATCGGCCCATCAATAGTTTTAGGCGGGGCTCCTCCAGGTTCTACAGAAACATATCGACTGCACAGCCAACAATGAGCCAAACATTCTCGCTTCCCAGCCTACCATACGCCTACAATGTAAGGATCTTTCCCTCCGCATGCTTGCCCTTTCCAGCTGAACAAAATGCCCAAACTCTTCTCCGACTTTAGGCCCTTGAACCCGCCATTTCGGCGCAGATCTTGGAGCTTCATCATGCCAAGCACCACAACACGTATGTGACAAACCTCAACAAGGCCCTTCAAGATCAGGCTGCTGCGGCAAAGGAGGGTAATCTCCCGGTCCAAGTCAATCTGCAACCGATCATTAATTTCAATGCTGGCGGCCATATCAACCACTCACTCTACTGGGTAAGCCTCGCACCCACCGGAGCTCCAGAGACGAAGATTGAGGCCGCGCCAAAATTATGGGAAGCTATTCGGAAGCAGTGGGGAGACGAGAGTGCATTCCGTCGCAAATTCAACGAGGCCCTATTGGGCATTCGGGGCAGTGGATGGGGATGGCTGGTTCGCCAGGGGAACCAAGGACCGTTGGCTATTACCACGACGCAGGATCAGGATATCGTTGGCAAGGACCGGATACCTATTTTTGTAGTAGACATGTGGGAACATGCGTATTATTTGCAGGTAAGGCCGCCTTTTTTGGAGACCACTCTCCGCCGTTGCCGGCTCCGCTTTCATGCTGACATCGATATTGTTCCGTTTGCGCATGTAGTACCTGAACGGGAAAGCCGCCTATGTCGAGAACGTGTGGTCAATCATCAACTGGAAAACTGCAGAGGATAGATATCTTGGAGGAAGTGCCGATGCCTTCAAATTCCTCAAGGCGGCAATGTAGTTGACATGGCGGTAATCGAACGTGGGCGATATTCTTTTTTTGATATCTGGTTGCAACGCATTGGCATTAGCATTGTTGATGGGGGAAGAGGAAGTGAAACAGACTTCGATCGGAGAATATGTGGAAATCTTACCTTAGCCCTTTTGGAGTACAAGAAAAGCAGGAAATAAACTAATGATACAAGCAGGGTATACACTCTATAACAACAACAATAACAATATAAAAAAATAAAAATAAAAATAAAAAAAAAAGTTAAAAAAATCGCACCTTTCGGACAAGTCGAACTCGCTTCCACGCAGTTGAGCGGGCAAAAAGGGCGCAAAAAGCGAAGTCAAGCCAAGAAGCCTGAAATGGTATATACGACATGCATTATTGTAGCTTACTTCGCTGGAGGATGATGTCGAGAAGATCATTTTAACAGCCGAAAGAGATTAAACATGAACTAACTATTGGTTGGTTGGTTTGGTTGGTTGGTTATTCATCCACAGCAGCGATGGAATGCCTCTATACCGCTTCCAGCTCTGGAAAATCTTGCCAGCGCCTTTTCACATTGGGCCATAGTTAAATAAGTAGTGAGCTACGCCAAGCGGAGTGTAACCAACCACCTAATCGCTAACAAAACAACTGGCTGTAGTAGTAGCTTATGAATGTCTCCCTGCAGAGAATTGGGAGATGGAGGGCCACGACTGGCTCTCCTCTCCTGAACCACGGAGTTTGATAGAGTCCTTGCTGGATAGTCAGGCCACCCGCTGGAGTGTCTCAGCGGTCAGACTCTCTTTTGAAAAGCAAATAACTATATCTTGAGAGAAGTTGGGCCGGGACTCCAGGTGTGTTCCAACTACACGTTATTCGAATTCGTATGCAACCTCAGCTGAGCTCTCTGTTAACTAGTTACAGTTCTCGCCAACTGTCTATCAATTCAGCACAAAGCTCTCAGGCCATGGTAAGCCTCCCCCGAGAGCAATCACTTGTTATCTCAAGCATATCTCACCCCCGATCTAGCTATTCTTGGTTGCTTTGTTGTTGGGGATGCTGCAGATCCAGGAAGCAGCACCGTATTTTCTTTCACGTCGACGTCGATGCCAGATGGTTTCAGCAGACAACAAACACATTGTCACATTTTCTCTTTATCTTGGAAGATAAAAAGATCAAGAAATGTTGGGGCCTGTTCTCTTTTTGCCCCTTCAATGATTGGATTGGACATTTTCCTTCTAGCAAAAATGTTTATTTCGTCCAGTTGAAGCGCATCCACCGCCAGTCGGGGATAGAGACATTTGTATACAGGCGAGATGGAGGCTCCTGTTGTGTCACTCGTACGTCGTTCGAGACAGCTTCGGACCGCAACGTCAAATTCGCGCGCATAGTGCCTCCTTGTTTATTCGTAGATTCGTAATTGTCGAAAGGCGTATTACCGCATGCCAATGATTGGCTTTGGTGGATTTCAAATTTGCTAGAGTGCGATAAATTCTTCTTTGTTTGGATATGCTCGAGGTCTCCATATATATATATATATATATATTTCTCCACCCTCCGCTGCCACGCAAAGACGCCCAAGAAACGTCTGATAATGTCTGGCTCTTGTCTACGTAGGCTTTTGAGGCTGTGCGAGAGGCCTCTTATGTAGCCTTTTATTAAAGTGCCATCTTGGGAAGCCCAACTTAAAAAGGTATGACACCATCTGTTTCAAAGAGACATGCTCCTGCTCCTGCTTACAATTTATGATAAGCATCTTGTATAAACACAACCTAGTTACCCACCCCAGAGCGTGACGTGACCTTGGAACCGCTGTTTATATGAGATCAATGACTCTCGAGAATAGAATTCCACAGAAGCTTCCATTGTTAATGAAGAATTTGCTGAGCCTCCACAAATACTCTTCACTATCTTTACCATGGATTGAGGCAACAAAATACATTGGCGGATATAGTTTGATCGGGGTCAATCGTAACATTTTGCTTAGTTGTTCAATCCTGCTTCAATTTTTTAGTTTTCGATGGGTGAAAAGGCCCAATAATTGTTCTACTCTGCGCTAAGGACCCAATGATTTCTTCCCTTCGTTACCGACAGATCTATGTCGCATTTTCAGACGCATTATAGGTTTTCTCTTGCCGTGTTTCATGCGAGCTTACGTCTATGATGCTTTGATCCTGACTGGACTCCGCTTGTACGGCTCCACGCTTTTAATGACTGTGTACAGATTGCCATTGGGATGAGGTTAGTTACCCCGCAGAACCTGTGCCGCAGAACAATCACATTGGATTCCTTGAAGTGGCCAGTCGGAAGGTTTCCTCCCGTGCATCCGATATTGACATGGAATACGAAGGGTTGGTCAATCCGGCAGCGGGGATTTCCAATCTATCATGGGTTGATAGTGGTTGTATCCAACCAGACCACATTAGTTAATCTTGATCGTGATGTGAGCACACTGGTCACCTTGGTGAAACAACATGAAAAAAAGAAAAACGAGAAATTCTCCCATGTTTTCAACCAAAATAAAAAAAAATGTCAGAGTCTAAATCGCTTCCCTTGATTGATCTCCTGCCTGAGAAATGCTTTCCTAAGCAATGCTTCATTTCATGTAGACGTAGTTCCTAGGGATTTGTCGGAGTTCATTAGGGGTTAAGATTAGGGGTTGTTTAGGTAAAGCTGATTAGTTACCAGGTTACTAGAAATAAAACAGTGGCACATTCTCCTCATCAGAAACTGTCCTCGATGGTCTAGTGGTCATGATTTCCGCTTGTCATTAACATTTCAAGCGCGGGAGACCAGGGTTCGATTCCCTGTCGGGGAGTGTTTTTTTTTCTTTCTTTCTTTTACTTTCCCAACAACTGGTTGCTATAACTACTTAAACATCTCCTGCTCAGATGGATTTGACTTATTTCCCCTCTATGTCCTTAATCTGACGTTAAAGTTTATGGTAGGCATGTTGGAACCATACCTACATTCAGATTTTATACATTAAACGAGTAAACAGAAAAAAAAAAAGGAAAAAAAAAAGAGCAGGAGAATCCAGTAAAGGGCAAGTAAATAAAACAACAATAATAAATTGTCTAACAAAAAATTTGCTTATACGTCAACTTTTCGTCCTCAACTAAATACCACAGAAACGTAAAAGCCCTAGCCTTGCCAACTCCCCAAGCCGGGTGGGCACGTTGGCTCGTGCTTGTTGAAAGAGTGCGGAGGATATCGATGGCATATGTGAATACCTCCAAAATTGCCATTTTGACAGGTATCTCAAGAGGTCCCAGATTTCCTTGATTTCCATCGGGTTTCCTCCCAAGCTTTCAACTTTCCTTTCTTCTTTTCATTTCTCTGGGGAGCCGGGACTTTTCGTTCGCTCTATATACAGAAACAATACCTGTACCGAAAAAGGGGATGGGCGCTGTCGAGAGGGAGAAGCGGGGGAATGGAATAGTTCCGTCTGTTCGCCGGAAAAGAGTGCTTACCAGACATCCGATCCAGCCAGGAAAAGTATGACTCTCGTTGATGCTGCCACTGAGGAAATGTGGAGATAACGAGGAATACCCACAAAGCTTGGGACGTCCCTTGGCATTTTGGAATTCCGCCCCAAGGAAGACTTCCGCGCTTTTCCAAATACTAAATAAATAAATAGAATTAAAAATAAAAATTGCGACGTTTTCGAGTCACTGGTTTCCAGCACCTATATAAAAGGAAAGAATGATAACATGCATGCATATTCAAAATTCGGTGCCAATCAATGGTCAACAAAAAATGACAAGTCCATTACACAACGCCATGTCATGTATGGTGGTGAATGGGGGTTTTGCAGCACGCTGCTACGAGACATGGTGGAACGCAAGGATTGTGCCGAATCAGGCCAAAGGGTCTCAGGTATTGGAACATTGAACGAAGCAAGGAGATAAGAGAGCCAGCGATCTCCAATATTATTCAACCCCCACGCTCTGTAGGATTTCCCGCAGTACATTAGGAGAACATAGGGGTATAGAGTAGCTTCAAAGTTAGCAATGTTAATCAACGGACGATAAACAGTTTCAAATACAATATTGTCACGGCCAAATCGTTTGGACAAGAGCTGAGATCCCAGGCCAAACGGAGACAGGATTATAGTCGCTGTCAAATGACAGAACCGTTGGGCTATAAAAGCCAAAGATGACTCGTTTGTCGTGCGCAGAATAGAACAAATTATCAGGACGGAAGCTCTTCTATGGTTGGCCGTTTCATATCAGGTTTGTTCCGCATGAGTTTGTTCAATACATTCGTGTCATTTCGTGGCTTTGGTTGATGTTCCCTCGAGGATCGTGAGTTGTTGTCTCCATCAGTTGATACGGTGCTTTCACTGTCGGTGTTGGTATCGGAGGTAGTGGCATCTGCTTGCTCTTCCAGAACACCTAGGCCAAGGTTCTTTAAGAGATATGAGAGCGTTAGCGGAGCTTCAGCAATAACTCCACATTTTACACGACTTGGGAAGAGGAGATATCCATAAGAGCTGGAAGAAAACATAGTAATATAGCAATAGCAGGTGGTGATTGAAAGAACACACACCATCTCGATATACTCGCCGTCAACCTCAGCATCCTCATTGTGATCAAGCTCCACACGAGCAACGTTTCCCGCAGCAATCTCTTTTTCCAAGTCTTTGTTTGCAGCTTTCAATTCAGGGAGAAAGGAAGCCAGTTTATTTCGCAGTGAGGAATTATTTAATTGACGTATTGTCGGTTTGGAGCGAGGCCCGAGTCGTGGAAGGGAAACGATGTTGCTGGCTGTGGATCTATTTACGTTGCCATGGCTTTCTGATTCAGAATCACGACCTGTGAAGGACGAGGATGACGTAGATGATACGGATTCCCCGTCAGAAGAGGTTTCATCATTGGATTGTTCTCGGATCGGAGCGTGATGCCGATGGGTTAAAGCTTGAAGGACGGTCCCGTCACCATCACCTTCACCACTAGAATCGCTGCCCCAACTGAACTCATCGCACGAGGTAACATTTGTGGAATCACAGTTTGTAGAAGTTATTTCGAATTTAGATCGTTTTGGCCGGGAGCCTCCTCCTTCATCATGCTCATGCTCGTCCTCAAAGGACCGCTTCTTAGTCGGTGTAGCAACACCGCTAGCCATTATTGGTGGGCGGGTCTAGAGATCAAAGGTATAGAGTCATGGGAAATCTTATTGTTGATTTTGAACTGCAGTAGCAGCAAAGGAGTTCGATTTTGTATTATCAATAGAGGTTTATGTTTATCATAAAAGGCACGTGAAGATAACAGATAACTAACTAGTTTAACTTAAGTTACACAACAGCAAACCCTAAACCCTAATTACAACGAGCCCAAAGCAGTAATTCTTGACGTTTGGAATTTGATCGAGTTTCTCAGCCAGGGTTAAATCTCCTTTCACCTCTTGTTTCTCGGAGTTTCACAAAGATTGGATCTGATGGGTGCTAGCGTTTATGATTCGCCAGCTAATGCTACAGCCTAAGCATCCCGTCACACCAAACACGCCCCTCGATTCGGCCTCGCAGGCGCATCACGTGGGGCTTCCGGGACCGTAGAGAATCCAGCAACAGGCAGAACATGTTCAGGATCTTTGCAATCCTTTTGATAACGGACTGCAACTTGCTGAATTTCCACAAATCAATGCAACCGTTGAGCTGATCAGGGTGTTTGGTGCCTCCCCCCGTCTTTGGATGTGGGCTGCTTACCACAACGGCTCCTTGAAAAATCAGTCTCTAGCTCGGTAGCGACCGATAGGCGCACTGCTTTTGAGGACTCGAAGAAAGGTAGTTATATGACTCCTGTTTCTTGTGCTGTTTTCAAGACAGAGCGCGAAATTACCTTCAGGCCCCCGTTATGTTAGGGAATCTCCTTCGAAGTTTTAAGTATTTTCTGCTTTAGTAACTCTCTGTTTATTTCTTTGATAACTAGCTGTATGAAATTTGTTGACAGATCACTCCATCTTCTTCTACAGAGTTACCTAGTTAAATATCTCATCTCTTTCTTGGAACCTTTGCTGCCTTCCGCCTCGCTGCGAAACAGATAGTTTCGGTGGACAGACCACAAGTTTTACCCTGAGCCCACTCATTTTTCCATTACTTTGTGACGAGTATATCATGTTTATTACTCAATCATGCTCTTGAGCGTCAATTGCGTCCCGTTTGATATTTTGATATTTCTTTCATCACTCCTTCAAACCCGACCAAAAGTCTAGGTTAAAGCGGTTGTACAATTCCTTTGTTTACGACGGAATCGTCACCTACGTACCCTTTTCGGCCGGTCCTTATTTGTCGCTTTGAATTATTTATTTGGATACTGTCGAGATATGTTGCATTAACATGCCCTTCACTTACAGAGGATTAGGATCTCTCGAATATCATTGATAAAGCAATACATCCCCCCACACGTCACAAGCTGGTCCTTCCGGTCCTGTTTGACACAATATCGGGTTTCGAAAACCCAGAGCATAATAAACCAGCTACTACCCCGGCTAATTTTGGGAGAGAAACGTGAACCCAGTTTTTTGCCCTTTTTGTTTTCGCTAGGAGATTATCTGGGTCTTTTACATTAAATATTGTCGTGGCTCCCAGAGCGAGCGGTCCCTGAACTACAATCGCCCTGTTATTCTTCTTCTTCTCTCTTAACTTCAGTTCAACCAATCCGGCATCTCTTTTGATCGCAAAAAGTGACAAGGTACAAAACCAAAAAAGAAGAGTGTCTGTGATCTTTGCTCTGTTTTCCCCTGCCAAAATGAACATCCCCAAAAACTTAGGTACCAACGCAGAGCCGGTGGCGAAGGATGGAAGTAGCTTAGCCCCCCCTATATCCCGAAAGACCCTGCACCAGAAAATCCTAGGAAAGCTACGGCCACTGCCCTTCCAGTACCACTGGACAGTCTGGTACGAGAAACACTCAAAATCGGTAAATTACGACGAGAGATTATTTGTTCTTCACGAAGACGTCGCGGATATTGGTACTTTTTACCGAGTTTACAATAATTACCCCTGGGATAAAGTGAAGCTGCGAGACACAGTTCATATTTTCCGCAAGGGCACCAAACCTGTATGGGAGGATCCAGAGAACCTCAAAGGCGGGTGCTGGACATTCCGAGTGCCGAAAGTGAAAAGCCAGGCGTTTTTCCATGAAATTGCGATCCTCTGCATGGCTAATGAGTTCCAAGCTGCGCTTGAAGCCGGTACGTATCAAAGCACCTCCATTCCTGTTCCCTCCATTTGTGATCTATTATAGTGCATCCTCCCGTATAAGAAATCGAGATGAAAGAAAGGAACAGAGGACCTTCTCCCCAAAAAATCCATATCCTGACAAAGTATAGAGCACGATCACGTTCTCGGAGTCTCCACCTCCGTGCGATTTAATTCGCATCTAATCTCCATATGGAACAAGTCCGGATCGAATTCCAAAGCCATCAAAGCACTCGAAGATACAATCATAGAACGGCTATCCCCAGATCTAAGGCCGTCATCCACACAGTCGTACTTTTACAAACGCCACGACGAGCACGAGGGCTACAAAGCTGCGCTAGAGACACAGGATGGCTCCACGGGCAATAGCGTCTTAAGATAAGACGGAGTCATGGTAGGAAAGGGATCTCGTTATTATTGATTCGTGGGGCCAATATGATCTGAAATGTGGAGGGCTTAGATGAATGTACGTGGGAGGGGTATTGATGAAATTTTTATTTTTATTGTTACTTAAACCAACTTTAGTTTTCTCTTCTTTATTATGCCATTTAAGAGGGCTGTATATATGTCTAAACAGATGATGATTTTCCTTATCTGGGCTCTCGACAATGATTAGAAACTCCGTTGCCTCTCTCTTCTCCTTTTATTATTCGGCTCCTGCTTCCTGGCTTTATCCTCTCGTTGAAGAACAACAGGGGCATTATTGTTTCACAGTATCGAATAAATGAAATCAGAACTCTTGGAGTTTCTTTTCCTCCGGGCTCCCTTGCTTTTTCCGTATCATATCCCCTATGGAGTTGGCCGGTATTTATGGAGCTTGCTAAGCTAGGCAGTTCCTTGTTAAATTTCACTTCCCCACTCCGTTCCATATACTTCCATATTCACTCTGCTGGCTTCAAATATTTTAGGGCAACATAATAATGTAAACGACAGCTGTTGTTAGACACAGCGTTGTTATGATGAAGAGTTAAAAGCTCTGGCGTCCCCTTTATCCCAATAACCATACACGTCCACTCGAAGAGTCAAAAACACATGGAAAAAACAATATCTCCGTCAGTCCCCCATCCCCGTCCCCATCTCTAAGCAGTAACCATAATCCATACACGAATATTATACAAAAGAAGCAAAGTTTAACGCATTATTACCTGCTCCGGCTCCTCCGCCTACTTGACCTCCGATCATCCTTGTCGGCAATGGCCGTAGCGCTAGCACTACCAGAACCTCCAGGAATGTATCGATCAACTTCATGAAATTTAGGCCGGTCATCTATATCTCGGTAACGGTCCCGATCACGATCTCTATCACGGTCCCGATCCCGATCCCGATCCCAATCACGATCACGATCACGATCCCGGTCCCGGTCCCGGTCCCGGTCTCGGTCTCGGTCTCGGTCACGATCTGGTGTCCTCGCACGTCGTCTCGTTGGTGTTCGACTACGGTTGCTAGTAGGAGGTACATAGCGATCAATATCGGGTGGACTTCGAGACCTGGATCGACAGTCAGGGCGAGAATAAGACTTATCCCTTTCCCTATCCTTGTCCCTATCCCGGTCCCTATCCCGGTCCCGGTCCCGTCCCCGTTCCCGATCTCCAGGAGTCCGATGAGCAGTGCGGGAGCGGCTGCGGGAACGGGATTGTGAGTGCCGTCGACGCCTAGTTGACCGAGATCGAGTACGGCCTCGTGAGTAATCCCTGGGGCGATAGCGACGTTCATCCCTATCTCGATCCCTATCCCTATCCCTTTCTCGTTCGCCACTTCGTGCAAGGGATTTGCTACGGCTCCTACTGCGATGTCTACTTCTTCCACGAGTGCGAGAAAGTTCATCTCGATCCGATTTACCCCGGGTTGAAGGTCTGTACAGATCCATTTCACGATCCCTGTCGTCATATCGTGAGGAGCGTCGTGTTCTGGACCTGCTACGATCATCACGCCGTCGATCCCGGTCTCGGTCTCGGTCACGGTCACGGTCACGGTCACGGTCGCGATCTCTATCCCTTTCACGACGATCCTCGTTTACGTTACGTATAAGTTTAGAAGGTTCAGAGGCTGGAGTCAATTCATTTTTCAGTCGAGACGGCACGACACGTGTGCGGGTCTGATCCGCGCGAGGAGGCTTCAGATCTGTTACTGAAGGCTGGCGTGAACGTTGTTGTTGTGGCTGTTGTGGCTGCTGTGGCTGCTGTTGCTGCAGAGCTTGTGCATTTTCAAGCGCTTCAGCTTGCTCAAAGTCGAACTCTGGTTTCTGGCGCGATTTTTCAGCCAACTCTTTCCCTTCTTTCAGGAGTAGCTCCAACGCTGCGTCTTCCAATGATTTCTCGTCAACGATCACAGGTGTAGGCTCTTTTGGGGTCATGGAACGGTGTCGGGAATGTCGAGGTGATGATTCGACCCTATTTCTATCTCTCACACGATCACGGTCTCTCTCACGGTCTCTCTCACGATCCTCTTCTCTTTCCTTCTCCCGCTCTCGCCTTCTTCGATCGTAACGCTCCTCTCTCTCCTTTTCCCTCTGCTCCTCCAAAAGGCGCCTCTCTTCCCGAAGCTTTTCTCTTTCTGCCCGGCGCTTCTCTTCCAGCTCCAGCTTCTTTTTCCGTTCCTCTTCTTCCCTCTGTTTCTCAAGCTCACGTTGTTGCCGTAGCTCTTCAGCCTTGGCCTTAGCCATCTCCAATTCAAGCTGTTTCTGCTTCTCAAGTTCTCTCAGCCATATTAACTCTCTTTCCTGCCGCTTAATCTTGACTTCGCGTTCGTAGTGTTCGTTTGTCCTACTACCCCTCTCCTCCTCAAGAGCAGCCGCTTCTTCGCCAACTTCTTGTCGCCTGATACTGCGTAGGGAGTCAAGGATATAGTCCAAATGGCTAGAGGATATCGCATCGATAGCACTTTCAACGTTCTTATAAAGGTCACTGCGATCGACGGCACCCTCTATCAGAGTTGCTGCTTTTCCTCTTTCACGCGACAAAAGGGAGGGATCACGGTCAATTTCAGATTCAGCCATTTCAATCAAAGATGATGTAAGAGAATTTTTGGCTTCCTGTAGGCAAGGGAATATGTAGGAGTTAGCTGTATGTTTAGACATTTGAAAACCTCCTTGGATGCAGTAGAGAGATATGGAGTGGCGTGCAAAGGGATCGAGATGCTCACACTCTCACTAAATTCAGCCCATATCTTCTTTCGAACCGAGTCGAAACCACCTTTTTTCTTAAACGCATAGAGAAGGCCATCGATCGTCGTTCGCTGTGCAGCGGATAAAGGCAGATCTGACGTTTTGAACTTCTTGCGCTGTAGACTTTCGAGGTCGATTGCTGGTCGCTTGACGCCAGTCATCTCAACATCTGAGCCTGCCATGATGGCTTGCCCATACAAAGACGGTATCCAGATATCCACCGGAGAGCTCTCACATGACCAAATTGTGATTAGCTCCCCGCTCTCATAAACACTTCCCGCGTGTTGTCGTAAATAAACTTGTGGTTGGTGAATATCGCGAAATGTGAACGATGGTTGGTAATCGCTGCTCGGCAGAAAGATTTTCCTGTTGCCGAACTTCAACATCAAACATTCGTCACTTTAACCCGCGACAAGAAACATTCTGAAGGACAATTGTCTTCTTCTAACAAGACACCTGCTACACAGTCTCTGTGAGGTCAATTCTTCGATCCTAAGACGCGAGGGGCACGTCTACCACTGGAACCTGTCCACGGAATAACCCGTCTCAGTGTCCCCGATTCCCGCGCCCGGCATTCGCCACAAATATTCACCATGCCTCTTCACAAAGTATTGTTCTGGAGCGGCTTCGGTATGGCATTCCCTTCATTGTAGCACGAATCCAGCTGCTTCGTGATTCATCTATGAATGCATGAATTTTACGAAGACAACAGTTTCCATTTTCTATGTCGTTTGTTGGAATAGTCATTGACCTCCTTAAACATGCTAATTGGGCGCTTACAGGCATTGCCGTCCGCTTCTGGCAGCTTGGTATCGAAATGCGTCCTTTATTCCAAAAGCAAACGCTATGGGTGTATCCTTTATTCGCCACCGTTGGAGGTAGCTTCGGATATTGGCTCGAGGGCGTTGATAAACGACAGCTGGCCATCCTGGCGGAGCGAAAACAGAGTTTATTGGAAAAGCGGCAACGGAGAGCAGAGAGAGAGGCTGCGGACGAGAGTAATGGTTTTGCAACCGCATCGTGAGCAATTGAAAGAATGACTACTTATATCTCGAATCTGACTGTGTGATACGGGGCGACGAGGTTCGAATCGACTGTAATAAATAAAAGGTTCTGGGTATTCCTTTGGGTGACACAAGAGGAACGGAAGATGGCGGATGTTTAAAATATTTCTATTTGATTTACTATCATGGAGGAGTCTTTCATCAGCATCACTTTTTACAATAAACAGCGCCTTCATCCGCCATCTGCAGGGAACGACCTAGATTTGTGGATTGTATTGTACATGATAAGCAATAAGGAAAAATTAAAGTCATTTAAAACCAATTCAAACCTCTATAAAATTCTTTAATTTCTTGTTCCAGAGGTATCCTTTATGCATTTGTATTTGGCTCAGTTTAGACTACTTCGGGTTGCTACAATTGCAAGTAGGCGGTTATTAGGCCACACATGAGAACTAGGGTCAACGATCCTCAGCTGCAAGGAGCAATAACAAATATGTCTGAATACTAGAGTAAACACAGAATAGGAGAAAAAGTGAGGACAGCTCAAACAAGACATTTCAGACAATGTCGTTGTCGTTAGATTTCGACTACATCAAAGGGTATATAGTAAAAAATAAATTAGGGCGACGGTGCTCTCAACTCTGTCCAACATTAAACTGCAAAGAGACCTCCCATTTCTGACCACCCGTGCCGTATCCACCACCTAGGCGATTTCTTATCATGCTGACTGTTCTCTCTCGCAGCTTGGCTAAGCTTTCGTCAGAGCCAGCCACTCGCAGCTTAATGCATGCTATGCACAAGCCGTAGTGAACCTGCCAAAATCTTGCCTCTTCAATTTCAATCACCGCAGGGTAGGTGGATATATCTCTCAGAACAGAAGAAGTCCCAGAACCGGAATAAGACATCAGAAGCATGGATCCAAGTGCCATTACCAAACGAACACCCAAAACGCACATGGAGATGGCAACAGTGAGCGAGAGGACTCGGTCCAACCAAAGATATAGCTGAATCGATAAGAGCGGCAGCAGGAGAAGAAGAGATGAACATGAAAGAGTTAGAAAATGCGCCGGGTTACTAAGGATGGAGGGCAACGATTCGATGTAGGCAAACTGCATAGCCTTGCCAATCCTTGCGTGGTTCTTGAGCGCAATTGCAGATATCAACGTAGCTAGTACAGCTAGCAAAGCTGTGATATCGACAGTGCCTGGCGAAACTCGTCCGTTAGAGTGGGTTTTGTGCGCTTTATGGCCTGCTGAATTTTCCAGCAAATGTTGTACCATGTGTGAGATGAGGTCCCCTCCCATAAAAAACAGCAGAACGGACAGAGCAAATCCTGCAACGACTTCTGCACGTTCAAGGCCAAAAGGATGACGAATACTGGACCGCTTCCAGACCTCGAAGTTTCCTAGAACGTCGACGATGACGCAGAGCATGGCACCCAGGGAGTCGAAGAGTATAAGATGTGAGAGTCCCGTCATTGTCATAGAGCCATGGGCAGTCCCTAGCGTGTATCCAGCTACAGCCATGTGGCATACACTCCACCAAAACCGGATTCTCTGGTCGGTGGACATGCTCCCGAGGCATTCTCTCCATGTTGGAATAGGCAGAGAATTCGGTAAAGGCATTGGAGACCTTGGTGGGGGTTCGAGGAATATCTGGTGCGATACGCTGCTATGTTTGTATTTATGTCCACGTCTCTGGCCCATGTTCTTATCAATGTAATCGGTCAGCTATTAAATTTGGGTTGCAGCTGTCAGGGGGTTGATGTCATACCGATTTTATAACAGGGCTCTTCGCAAGGGTGGTAGTTTTGAAATTAAAAGGCCCTTGCATGTCTTCGGATGACCCATTCGTCGTATTCCGGGACGGATCTGGGGGATACACATAGATTGGTAACAAGCATTAACGAATATCCGCGGGGGCATATCAAGCAATACCTAGGGTCCCGGACGCAGCGAAGCTGTCTACCATTGGAGACAAAGTATCTCTGTCGCGAAAGGTGTCCATTGACCGCACTACCATAAACCCCTCTGGATCTGACAAAGGGTCATCCGTAGGTGGTGTAGGAGTTCGAGGAGGAACAGGCAGCGGCAATGTGTCTGCCATGATTGACTGTATATCACCCTCTAGGCAATCTAGCAATAAATGGAGGGTGGAGGGTTGGTTATTCACAAGACTGCGGATTTCGGAAGTATCTTGTTAGCAAAACCTTCTTAAACAGAAGGGAGAAAGCCATAGGATACATTATCCCCTACCTCCATTTGACAGGTAAAGTCTGTATGTCAATCAAATTGTTTTGCAATGTCTTGTTTCTTGTTCTTGTCTCTTCAGATGGTTAACTGCTTATATATGCATCCCATGTATGTTGTTCATGTCTACGCCAAAAAGGGAGTGTTTATTTAAATAAATAGGGCTTCCGCCATTCTTGGCCGCCTTTTCCATTGCTGCCAACCACAACGTCGAAACCGTCGTAACATCTCTGCAACGCTAGCCCTCAACACGACGCAAAAGGCAAATTAGTCAACATCAGCCAGACCCTTCTGGTAATGGACTCTATACTTGGATGCGGTTGAGCTTCTATGGCTCAACTTTCTGCAGTTAGTTCATGGAAACCCGCCGCGCCCTTCTCTTCTTCGTCCTTTTGTTCTTCCTGCTGTCTGCACCGGAATCACGCCCGCCAACCATCGGCTTCGAGCGGGAGCACCGCCAGCAGAAAACAGAGGAGCGGACACTGTCACTCCTCAATAGCTCGAGATATGGCGACTTGGACAACGCTTCGGATCGATGGCTTCCTCTAGGAGGCTTGACCAAGGGTGATGGCTATGCATGGGGTTTGCTCCCAGTCGTTAAGGAGCGCACCAGAGACCAACTATACTCTATCCTCCAACGTTCTGGCCTTCTTGATCAACAACCGATTGGATGGCGAACACGACCACTTCGGTCAGATCTTAATTCCTCGGAACTTCATATTCCCGTATACCATAATGTGACCGGCAAGATTCGGGGTGACTGGGTGCGCTGGCGGGGTGCTGAGACTGAAAAGCGCCCGCAGTTAAACACTACGGCTATCATGCTGAGACATGATTATTTCACTCGTGAATTTGCTCATAATATAACTGCGGACCATGGGACTCTTTTGATTGACTTACAAGAGGAGGATGGGAAGGGCATGGCCTTGGCTGATGCCCGTGCAAGAGAAATCAGAGCAGATATGACACTGTATACTGACGAGTCGCTGGGGGATAGTCATTTCATACGGCTATTCGGAGTGCATTTTCCGTCGTCAGGTGGGATTATTCTTAGCACCACCAGCGAAAAGTTCGCAGGGCTGTTAGCGCTGCCTCAATTCGCTCTTACCAACGATACATTTGAGCTCTCTCGTCAGTTGCTGAATATGTCACTCACCGAAACTTTGGCGGAGAAGAAAACCGGCTCTGTAGATTATTTGCCCTGGTCATCTCTCCCTCATGGGCCAAGCACAGTGACATTTGCCGCGCCAAGGTGCGAATATATTGTGTATCTTCAGCAACATCCAGTAGTGATAGATGGTCAAATTGCCCAGCAACCTGTGCTGAAACTGATCGAAGACGAACTACGCTTCCCAGCAGGTGCTCCAGTACCCTCTCCACCATTGATGACTATGTCTCTGACGCTATTCTCTCCTGACTGCGGATTCGTGCTGGAAAACAAGGGATCACCATCTTACTCTCCGTCGGACGGACTGTACCTCTCCGGACCAAAACAGGAGCAATACAGGAAACATGCGGGACGTCTAGTTGTGATCATGGCAGCCGTTCTATGCTCACAGATCTCCCTACTGATAAGACAGATGAAGGAAGCATCAACGCCATCTACCAGGAGCCGTGTCAGTTTCTATACGATTGCCATGATGTCTATGGGTGATGCTCTTTTCGGTTCATTTATCCTGATGCAGTTATATGAAGAAGCCCCGTTCCTGCTTCTCACTGCGACTACATTTTTGGCACTCTTCTCCGTCAGCTTCCTAGCGATGAAGTTTCAGATTGAAGTGTGGGCAGTTCAAGCCCCCGAGAGAAGGGACGCCGATCGATCATCATCTACCCGAGGTGGCGCAGCCGGGCCACAACAATCACTTCCAGTTTCAGCAACAACCAGTCGCCCAGTGGATACAGGTGCCACACCCATCATCATCCTACCACCAGACCAGGATGAGTCCCCAGAAGCAACTGCGGATCCTCCCACAACCCAAACAACCAGTGACTCAGCTGCTAACGATACGGGAGCCATGTACTCACGATTCTATTTCCTCCTCTTTGTCCTCCTCTTCTTCTCATCGTGGGCATTATTCTGGCCAACACGCTTGAGTCGCATGTACGGCCAGCTCATATCCTTCCTCTACCTTTCCTTCTGGATCCCACAGATCCACCGTAACGTAATGCGAAACTGCCGTAAGGCACTTACCTATGAATTCGTCGTTGGCCAAAGCGTCATCCGACTATTCCCCTTCCTCTATTTCTACGCCATCCCCGGCAACGTTCTATTCATCAAACCAGATCCCCTATTCATCCTCTCCATAACAGCATGGGTGTGGCTGCAAACAATCACCCTCGCAGCACAGGACCTGCTTGGCCCGCGCTTTTTCGTCCCCCACGGCTGGGCGCCGCCAGCGTACGACTACCACCCGATTCTCCGAGACACCTCTTCTTCTGGGTCTAGCGAAGATATCGAAGCCGGAGGCACATTGCCAATCGGCTACCTGCGTGGTGACGAGGGTAATGCAGCAGTTCCCAGCAGCGTCACTAGGGACGATGGCAAGCAGGGTAGCGCGAACGACAGCAGCGGCAAGGATAAGGATAAGGATCGCAAGAACAGGCTTTTCGACTGTGCCATATGCATGCAGGATATTAGCGTGCCTGTCCTCACTGCTCCCAGCGGTGTTGGGGCGGGCGTTGCGCCCTCCAGTGTTGCGGAGGGTGCAGCGAATCTGCTTAGTCGACGTGCTTATATGGTTACGCCGTGCCGACATATATTTCATAGTACGTGCTTGGAGAGCTGGATGCGGTTGAGGCTGCAGTGCCCTATTTGTCGGGAGAATTTGCCGCCGATTTAGAATCTATATAGTTTTGGAAACGCTTGTCGAGTAAGCTGTCCGTCTTTTGGGTTTGGGTTTGGGTTGTTATGGGTGTACTGCTACGTATATGTTTTTTTGTTCTGTTCTATTTGGTTGGATGCATGTTGTAAATATTCGGTTGGGATTGATATTGGTGTTCATTGCATTGAACTTTGTACAGGTAGTTTCATGAGATAGACATATTTTTAATTCGTAAGGTTATATGCTTGCTTCAGAACAGCATCTGCTGTTGTGGTATCTATCCATGCGAAATTCAATACAGTCCTCTGACAACCCATATAGGATCGATGTATAACCCCCTCGCCTTTCAAAGCTTTAATACAACAACACGTGCAAATATTAACAATGAATAAAGAGTTCTTATATCACAACACCTTTGACATGTTGAAACGTCAGCAAATAAGCAGGCATACATTCATACATATCTAGAAGAACAATAGGTCAAATATTAACAGTCACCCCAAACAACTGCTTCAGATCCCAATTCCTCAACCAAACCACTTCAACCCCCCGCAACCCCTTCTACCCATCAACCTTCTGCTCCTCCAACTTAGCCTGATATTTCTTCTTATCCATCAACTTCTCCAACTCCGTCTCATCCACAACCTTAATCTTCGCAAACCACCCCTGCTCCTCGGGACTCTTATTGATGATCTTAGGCGACTCTTCCAGCTTCGTGTTGACCTCTATGACCGTTCCCGACAAGGGGGACATGATATCCGACGCGGACTTGACAGACTCGACGGCACCGATGGTCTCGCCAGCGTCGACCTCCAAGTCGACGGCTGGTAGCTCTGCATAAATGACTTCACCTAGGGCGTTGGCGGCATATTCCGTTATACCGATTGTGGCTGGGTAATTTTTTTTGTTGGGATTAGTAATTTGCGATGTTGTTTGCGGGGAGGGAAGAATTGGGGGTGTAAGAGGGCAATTGAATTGGGGTATTTAAAATTGTATTTCAAGCAGTTAAATATCCAAATTGTTCAACAAAGTCCGGAATGCAAATCCAAGAAACACATATATGAAAAGAAAATATTGTGTCTAACCTGTTGTTCCATCCTCAGATAGCTCTACCCATTCATGCTGCTCAGTATACTTCTTCGCTTGCCCTGATAAAACCGGACAGAGTCAGCCACCGACCCACGTCCCAATGGTACCTCTATATAAGCCTGATACGTTTTAACCTACACAGGGAGCTCCGCGAGAATGCCCTTCTGGAATCCCGGAATGCCGGGCGAAAATTATATGCGTAGGAAGCAGTGCGCAGAGCTGGGGAGGAGACTCTCGGAAAAGAGGCACGTAGCCCACATCGGAGGGGATTCAGGATGCGAATGGTGGCAGCAGACATTATGGGCAGGAATTAACCAGCTATTACCGTAGACCGGCTGATATGGGAGTGCAGCAAGCAACTGGTCAATGTGTGAACAGGAGAGTCCAGGCTGATATAAAGAACGTCGCAGTATCTCCTCCGTATAGTCGTCTAGTCAATGTCAAATATCGAAGTCGGCGTCGAGTGTCAGTTGCTGGCAATTTGTGGGCGGAGAGATGTAAGTAATGTATGATACAGTGGTACCTGTGAATTCCCTTGATAACAGCGGGAAAACGCGCCGGTTTTTGTATCGTGTTGTACCGGAGGCATATCCTATTAACCGCTAGTCCTGAAAAAGACTAGACGCTTGGCATTATCAAACACTCCGAAAAAAAGCTTCGACACCAAGAAAAAAGACACAGCTATTTTCAGCCATATATACCGATATACAAATATACGACAATTGAACTCATTAGAAATACCTTCACCACAAGTTAAAGCCCCCAGCCAAACCTTCTCTTATCTCCTGCTTTGTGGCGGGACAGCTAGAGGGGATGTTGTACGAGTTGATTGCTGTGGTATGCTCTATATTTTCCGCCCTCTCCCTTCTTCCTACGCAATCCTCTATATCAGGCAATTCTTTATATCAAACTAACCTACATTGCAACAGGTCCGGCCGGGCAGCCTCCAGGAGGTTCGAGAGTATGTATATATGGATTCCGCCTTACCCCAGCAGCCAATGTCTTCTTGATAATTCTCCCATCCGAACAACTGTCATCTCTATATGACGAGGGGCCCGACTTGGGATATTCGACCCCCTAAAAATCAGAGACCCGAAACCCAAGATCAATCTCTTGCTTTGTACAGAAAAGAAAAAGCAAACAAACTATTCTAACTGACCCAAACCCCTTTCCTCCATCAGAATCGCCCGCGTAACCGGCCTCCAAATCCTCTACGGCGGTGGCGTAATCCGCGGCCTGACAAACTGGGGCCCCTTCCGCCTCCCCCGCCCCACCACAAAACATCAAACAAAATACGCAACTGGCTACCACTTCATAATGCGCTTTGACTCGTCGTCGGCTGTGCAGAAATCCGTGCGCAGAACGCTGGGTCTCGATCCGCGCATGATTCGCTTCTCCGTGGTGAAGTTGGGTGAGAAGTTGGAGGATATTAAGGATGTCGGGGGCACTGTGGAGTGGAATCAGAGTAGGCAGTTGATTGGGGATGAGTTGGGGGTTAAGGTACCTCTGTCGAGTGTGCGGAGGTTGGAGTGAGTGGAGGGAGCGGATGATGGGGGTTGTGGTGGGTTTACGCGCTTGGTTCTGGCGTATGCATATGGGAAGGGAGGGCGTTTTTTGATTTTGTACTGATATATTAACAAACTGAGCTGTTTATGGGATTATTTTTATAAGGATTTTCTGTATTATTAGATAAATTGGACGTTTTTTCATTAGTTTTCGCTCTGTTTTTATTAAAGTTCATAACTGAACCCTCTTGGTGTGATGATAACTAGACTGTAAATAGAATCGAAAGGACTGGCAATTTGCATCATAAACACAAGAAAAAGAATCTACAACATGTATTTAAACTGAAGGTGACTTTTCAGATGAGTACATACATCATCTGAAGTGAAGAGAAAAGTGAAAGTGGGAAATAAGAGGCATTTCATCTAGATGATACATAAAAGCAGGTGAAATAGGCACCATTCATTAGGTAGAACACAGTCATGATGGATGCACGATACAAGATGTGTACGAAGAGTTTTCAAAACATGACAAAGAAAAAAGTAAAACCCACATCAACATCCCTCCTAATTTCGACGCCAGTCCAATCTGAATATCCTGGTATATTATATAAAAGATAGAGAAGGAGGAGGAGGAGGGGGGAAGGTGAACAGGAAGGCCGGAAGCAGTGTAGTAAACGTAAAGAATAATGAGAAGAGGGTCAAACAAAAAACCGCGGGAAAAAAGAAATTTAATGAATCTCCATTAGAACAACCTCCATCCCTTCGACCTCTCCTTCCCCGGTCCCACCTGATGCACGGCCGCCTTACTCCGACCTTCCAACTGTCTCAAACTTTCAATCTTCTCAAGGACCAACTCAAGCATCTCCTTCTTCTGAATAACATCCAGATGCCTGCGGATGCGCGGGTCCTCTCGCGCGAAACGCTCGATTTCCGAAGCAGACAAGTGCCGGCCCAGTCGCAGATCGAGCTCGCGGGGGAAGTTGTAGTAGAATTCCGAGAGGAGCTCCACGTTTAGGAAGAGAACGGCAGTGGCGGTTAGTTTGTCGGCGACGACGTCGAGGAAGACTTCGGGACAGTAGTATTTGTTTCTTTTTGTGGAGCATTGTTTGGAGCGGATGGCCAGGAGGCGCATTTTTAGGAGATCGGCGCGGTCGCGGAGGAAGACGGCTTCGCGACCTGGTGGGGTTGGGGATTAGATGGATGTCTCGGGAACAAGATGACGAAACAAATTCGATGTCGAGGTTGAGGGAGGGGAAACTACTAACCTTTCTGCAGCAATGCAGCGCTGAATCCGCCCGCACCACCCGAACCATCTCCCTCGATCGTTGTATCTCCTTTCCGCACCTTGTCAATAAAACCCATAACATCCTTCAACTTCCGCTTTCCTATATCATCTTCCACATGCTTTAAGGCATGACCGCAAGCCTTCAACTCTTCTTTTAACACATTCCCAATATTTTCTCTCCCCTTAACCCATTCCAGATCATCAACTTCGATTTCGAATTTGTACGGCTTAATGCAATTCTCAACTTGATCGCTCGTGCTGAAAAACCGGTCATTGAGGATACTGGATGTAGCATCTGCTATTTCCTTCTGCGCATATGGGTGAGCGGCAAACGTCGAGGAAGCGATGAGGTCATCAACATGGTTTTGTAGCGCATTTGCTACAGTTGTCGTTGCTAGACGGCCGATGCCTAGTTTTGTCAGGGCGGATGAGGACGCGTCTAGTTTCCGATGCCAATATAGAGATTCAGGATCTGCTCTTGGGAGATCAGAGAGAGGATCTGGTTCGGGGACCGGTGGGGAAAGGTCATCAACAGGTTTATTCCAATATCTCTGCGCGAGGATATCTAGCACACGCTGGTCGAGTTCGTTCTTCAGTAACTCGCGAACCTGAGGACGGCCAAAATTTTCACTAAACTCTTTAAATGAGTGCTTGAAACTGTCCAAGCTCTCTGCGAGATAGGACTCAGCGCTCAATGGGCGGTCGTTGTACTGGACTTTGAACTCGTAAGTGGCTTCTTCGAGCTCCTGGATGATAGCATCGCGAGTTCCGGCGAGGCTTGCTGCCATGGATTGCTCCAAAGTATGCATCAGCTTCTTTCGCAGAGTGGTAGTTCCAACGGAGAGTTCAGACTCCGCACCAAACTCCTTGGGATGACTGTTGAAAAAAGCGTTTTCATTTTTGATAATCGCGTTCGTAAGGTTTCCACTTCCTCGGGAGAATAGCCCGGCTGTATGAGGGATTCTAGAAACAACGCCTACATAACCTAGTCGGAGAGGATATTTCCTATCAGCAAGAATACTTGCTCCTCTCTCTGGATCAACCAGGTCCATCTTGGTGATGACGCCAATAGTTCGTTCTCCACGGGGATCAACTCGTCGTGAAGCTCTGAGAGCAGTGGAATTGGCCAAGTCCACATCCGCTGCAGAAATAGCGAGGATGATATTAGGAGCCTGGATGTACTTGTCGCACAGATCGGAAATCTTTTGTTTCAGCTCTGGAGGCTGGTCACGGCCAGCAACCTGGATATAGCCGGGAAGATCGATGAGGGAAAGATCGGGGATGTGGGGAGAGGAAATAGATAACTGAATCGGATCATCCGAGATGCAATCCTTTTCCGAAACCGCAAGATTGAGATCCGTCAACGTGCGTTGAATCTGACTGAAATCGGTAATCTTCCCAAGTCCAAGAGCCGGGAACTCACCATACTCATCCTGAGAATTTGGCGTATTCACCAGAGTCAGTTCAATAGGCCGTCTTGTTACCATGTTCGATCCCTTGGGCAGGAACTCGTGGCCAACAATCGCCTCTAAAACAGAACTTTTCCCAGACGACTGGGATCCTATCACCACAATCGATGGCAAAGTCAACGCGTTAGACTGGCCAACTCGCTGTAACATATTTCTAATCTCGATCATTTTCCTCGTCAATATCATCATCTGGTCGTCGATCGCATTCTTCCTTTCGGTAGCCAAGCTATCGTCGGAGTCATGGTCCAGTGCGGCGCCCGCTGCGACGCCAGCCACGGCAGCCGCACCGGCCTTGCTCTCCTTCGGGGAGCCACCTCCGCCTCCCGAGGAACCTCCACCCCCGGATTCCGCCTGTTCGTTTAACCAGAGGATCTTCTGCGCCCACTCTGGCAATTCAACGCCGGCTTTTGTCCGTTGCCACCCCCGATTCGTCTGTTCAGCGACATCCTGGATATTGTGGAAGATGCCTAGTGCCACTCCGCTCGCAGTTTCGCCCGCTTGTTTAACAATATCTAGGGCATAATTCCCGGCCTCTGTAAACAAGCAAAGAGTTTCCGTAGTCAGCATCCAACAGCCTAACATCTCAACAATAGAGCCGGATAAACCAGGGAACAAACATACGGGCGGCCTGGTACTGTATATAGGCCAGACCAGCAACCATGGCACCGCCAAACATCGCCGGTATCCTCGCAAACTTCAGAGCCAACTTGGGGAGCACACGGGCGAAGGAGATGGTTCGCGCGACGGGGACATTGTGAATCCAATTGGCGCGGAGTTGCCACAGCATGCCGCGGAGACCCACCGCGCCCTGCGAGCGTAGCAGACCGCCGGTCCTCGTTCCGACATTGTGCAGTTGGCGAGCCAGAAGGCTTCTCCTGGCCAGCACGGCGGCGCCGTGGGAGAAGAGTCTCCCGCTCATCGTGCTTTCGTCATGTACTTGTTGTACCTAGTGGTGGAAATCGACACATCGGTTGGGTTTGGTTGCGCAATACCTGGATCGACAGCAAGGAAACGTCCGTCGGATAGGTTCCAGTAACGTCTGCAGATGAGAGGATGGGGCTGAAACAACAGATCTTTTACTTCGTGGAATGGATGGCGCAAGAGTCTTTGATTTCTGACGAGGTCAGCCGCAGGAACCACGCTAGTTCGGCAGATGTTTACGCTTTACTTAATCGGACCCACAGACACAAACTCTCAACATGCAGATAGTCATCAACCATTTGTCTTTTTTTTTTTTTTTTTTTTTAAAAAAAAATTTATTTATTTATTTTTATTTTTTGGTTTTTAATTTTTAAATTTCTCTCTTCAAACTGCGCAACAGCACGCACAATACGGAGTACATCGCACGTCGATCCATTTCCAGTTCACGTGCTAGTTGAATCGCCGTGTCGACCTGCTAATCACGTGACATCGCGACATTGGTCACGTGGGATCTAGCGATCAACAGCGAAATCTGACTCGAAACAACAAACCCCCGGAAAGAAAAAAAAAGCCCAGAAGTATATAACATGCGTCGTTCGACATGAGTTTGCTTCGTCCTTCCTTTACTTTATTTCTCTTTGCTCCTTTTGCTTTGCTCTGCTTGTTCTGCCTGTGATACCCCTTTCCGCTTCTTGAGATTCCCTCCAAGCTCCCTCCAAGCTTGCTCCAAGCTAATTATCCCTAAAATATCTCTTAAATATCTCCTCACCTCTCTGCATATCTATAACTTGGAAAGCTCTCTCGCTTCAGCCGGAAATCAATTATCACCTTTTGGTTAGGAATATACCTACCACGGCTGCGACCACCTTACACCCCTAAGACCGGCCTTTCTTTTTCGCAGACCGCCCTTACGCCCATCTAGACGGCTCCTCCCGCTTGCCACCAGCTTCCGCTCGCGAGAGCTCCCAATATGTGTCGATTTCTTGTACGCATGCCCCCTTTATTAGATACCTATCTTCTCCTCTTTGCTGCAGAAGATATATGCACACATTCCAATTCAAGGCCTGATCTTGAATTCCCCGCCTGCTTCATATCTGGTCTCGAACCAGAGGCTAACCTCATCTACCCTACACCCAGGTATACAAAGGAAGAAACGATATCCTCCTCAGCAAGCTCATAACAGAACCAAGCCATTCCATCCTAACCCAATCCTATGACTCCCGCCTGAGACTAGTAAGTCACCCATCTTCTGCAGTCTCTCAAAACACCCACCAAAAGAAGAACAACAAGTCGGGAAGCCAATATATCTCCTTATCTTAACACTTTCCCCCTCCCACAGGACACCCGCCGCCCCGTGAACGGTGACGGCTTCGGCGTAGGCTTCTACACCGCCCCTGCCCTGGGCCCAGACCCATGCATCTTCACCTCCACCCTCCCCGCCTGGAATTGCGAGAACCTCGAACGCCTCGCCTCTAAAACAACCTCGTCCCTCGTCTTCGCGCACGTGCGCGCCACAACCGAAGGCGCCCTGGCCGACAACAACTGCCACCCCTTCCAGCACAACACGCTCATGTGGATGCACAATGGCAATCTGGGCGGGTGGAAGCATATCAAGCGGCAGCTGGCTGATTCGCTGGCTGACAAGTGGTATCTGGGCGTCAAAGGAGGGACAGATAGCGAGTGGGCATTCGCCCTGTTTTTGGATCTGATGGAGAAGGAAGGGCGGGTTGATCCCAGCTCGGCGCCCGAGGGGGGCTTTGGGCACGCGCTGCTCAGGGAAGTTATGGGCAAGACGATTCGGAGGATTAACGAGTTTATTGCGGCGATTCCGGAGGGGTGTGGGGTTATGGATGTTGAGAGGAGGAGTTTGCTGAATTTTGCGGTTACGGATGGGCATACTGTTGTGTGTACGAGGTATGTTAGTAGTAAGACCGATGAGGCGGCGAGTTTGTATTTTTCGTCTGGGACAAAGTGGAAGGAGGGTCGGACCAAGGGGCATTTCAAGATGGAGAGGCATGATAAGGGGGCCGATATTGTGTTGGTGGCTAGTGAGCCATTGACATTTGAGAGACGTGAGTATTCTTCCTCCACAGCACCCCTCCCCCCCTCCTCCTATTAAATCTCTATATTATTTCCTATGTCTTTTATTATCATTACACAAAGTGAATACGCTAACCTTCCATTTTCCACCAATCTATACAGATAACTGGGTCACCGTTCCCACCAACTCAATGCTCACAATCCACAAGCAAAACGTCCTTATCCACCCGATCATTGACGAATTCTACGACGATGACCCAAACCATGACCGCTCCGCCGGATTCGCCGTCTCCAAGGGCCTCGTCAGCAAAGCACCGGGTACCACGGTGGTTCCGGACAGTAACCTCTCCAAGAGTCCGCCTATATCAGCAGCTTTTACTCCTGCTGATACGCCCGGTTTGATCCCGAGAAGGGGCACGCAGGGCCCTAATAATAATGACGGTCCCATGTTGGATGAATTGGACCAGAAGATCAGACCGGTTCAGCTTCGAGCTTGATTTGGAAGGGTTTTTTTTTTTTGGTGTCAGCTGGATCTTCCTTTTTCGCAGGTGCTCTGCGACTTGGTAGCTTTATTGGTGGTGTTCTTTTCGGGTCATAAATCATTATGGTAGCGATGGTGACAAGTGAGAGGAAAAAATTGATTATTGGAAAGTGTGGTCGTCAGGCAGGGTAGCGTAAGGAATCATCTTGGGATTATTCCACAGCTTGGTCTTTATTTCTTTTTCTTTTTCTTTTTTCTTTTTCTTTTTTTTTCTTTTTTTTTTTTTTTTTGATTATGGCTTTTGGGCATTGCTTGTCGCTTCTTTGCCTTTTCGGTTCTTTTTTCGGACTGCAGAAGTTAGTATCCCTTAGAATAGCCCTTCCGCAATAGCGGGTTCGGTGCAACTTCGCACAGACACATCCTCTCCGTAGTTGTTGGATGGCGGGCAAGTTCTCCACACAAGAGGCCAATAAACCACAAACCCAACAACAGCCAACAAGCTCAAAAAAACCCCCCAGTAGAAAAATGCAACGAAGAGAAATAGAGTAGAACCTAATCCTCCCCGGAAATATTCGCATGCCGAAAATACTTCATCCCCACCCACGCCACAACCACCCACACCCACGCCATAACGGCCGTCAAAATGATAAGTGCCGGATAATATCCCACAATCGGCAGCGTGGCATCATCCTCCAGCTCTGGCGGCGCATACGGCGTCTCCCCGACATCCCACGCCCAGCTCCAGACACCGAGACAACTGCCCATCCCCACCACGAACACCAGCCACGTCACCAGCAGGATGATCCACCCCCACCACTCCGTCTCCGCGTAGTCCCACGACGTCGCCGTCTCCAGAGCAGAAGCGGCGGGGTAGTCCGGGGAGATGGCAGATACGGCAGCGGCTGTTGGGGATTTTTCTGAGGCCACGGGGCTGCTGATAGGGACGCCGGAGGTATCTGTGCATGAGAGGGGGGATTTGACGCGGTGGGAGACGATGCGGGAGCGGATGGTTGCGGTGGTTGCGGTGGTTGCGAGCATGTTTGCGGTGGAGGGGGGATTCATGAGGAGGAGTTTTGCGCTGGGGGTGGGGGGAAAGTAGGCGTTGGAGCTGGAGAAGGGGGTGGGAGTTTTGTGGAGATTACGACGTGGTCCTGGGGCTAGGTTGAAACTGCTGGACGCTGAGGTTGTGGTGGTTGTTGTGGCTGTGGTTGTGGTGGTTATGTTGGTCTCGGTGCTGACGTTGCTGGAGAGGCGGGTGAGAAGGGTTTCCGGAGGGCTTTGGCGTGGGGTGGAGCGGAAGTGGAGCTTGTTCCCGTTCTCGTTGTCGTTGCCGTTCTCGTCCGCGTCCACATCGGCGTCCGCGTCAGCTTCAGCGTCAGCGTCAGCTTCAGCGTCAGCATCAGCGCCAGCATCAGTGTCGACGTTGTCGTCCTCGTCGTCTCTGGTCGTGTCGGAGTGCGTGGCGCCGGAGTGCGGCTGCCGGGATTGTATCTGTAGATTGCTCTTGCTAACCCATGTTCGGGATGGCGGGGGCGGAACCGGCGGCGGAGAAGGAGCAGCAGCGCTGACACCGGGCGGTGAGCGCCCGTGCAAGGCCAAGGCCAAGCCGGAGCCGCTCGGCGGGTCGTGGCTCCTCTGCCGCGGGTTCGTGCCTGCCCGCCCGAGCTCACCGCCGTCACGGTCCAGCGTGGCAGGAGAGGGGGGCGGAAAGCGCAGTTGACCCGCCGGACTTTCCCTTCCACTTCCATCTCGCTGAGTCATTTCCCCGTCAGCAGCAAGTAAACCCGTATTGCTCCCCCCTTCCGCTTGTCCCCGACTATCCCCCAGAGCAGCAGCAGTAGAAGTAGCAGCAGAAGCAGCAGCAGCAGCAGCAGCAGCAGCAGCAGCAGTAGTAGTAGTAGTAGTAGCAGCAGTAGTAGTATCGACAACCCTCCCCGCCCCCGGAGAAACAGAGCCCCCCCGACCCCATCCTCCAATCGTCTCCTTCTCTCTCTTCTCCCTCTTCTCCCTCCCCTCCTTCCCCTCCATCCTCAACGCCGTCGTCCCCAACAACGTCGACTTCCTCAACGACCTTTTCCTCCTCTGCGATTTGCGCCGCTGCTGCTGCAGCGCGGTAGCCAGAGCTCCTCCACGTCCCGCTTCAATCCCAATCTCTCCTCCACCCCCACTTCCGAACCCGTCAACACCATTATTATACTCATTATTATTCCCATCACCCGTTCCAGACCTCCCATCGTGTCCTCCCTCCTCGTCGCCCTCGTCCGGGACTTTATTGTGGCTCTGGCTCTGGCTCTGGCTCTGGCTCTGGCTCTGGCTCACGTTCGCAGCGCCACCGCGCGAAAATGATAAACGCGAAAGGAGAGAGGTGGATATATCGCGCTTGAGGCTCGTGCTTGCGCTGCTGCTGCTGCTGCTTCTGCTGCTTCTGAGACTACCAGCGCTGCTGTGGTTGCGGCTGTGGCTGTTGCCGTTGCAGTTGCCGTTGCCGATGTTGGTAATGTCTGTGCCATCTGAACGGCTTCGCAGCAGGGGTACCGGGCGTTTTAGGGATTTCGAGGTGGACGGGGACGGGGACCGGGACCGGGACCGGCCGGTGGTCGCGGTCGCGGTCGCGGTCGCGGTCACAGTCGCAGTCGCAGTCGCATTTTCCATGAGGATGGTATGGGCAGAAGATGAGAGTTTGATTTCTGATGAATCTTCTTCCCTTTTGCGCGTGTGCACGCGCACGGGGGTTGTAAAAGTCCAACGCGGGATCACTGGTTGCGACGTTGGTTCTGCGATCGACGTAGGCAGTCCAGTGTATGCAGCAGCTAGGGTCAACGAGGCGGGTGGGTGGTATTAGATTATGGATACAGAATAGATGCGATAAACACAGATGTAATAAAATAAAATAAAGTGAATAGATCAAAAGGCCCCCGTGCCAGACGTGGCGGTGATTTGGGTGGGATGGATAGATAGATAGATATGCTTTGCAATGTGAAGTGTGCTGCTTGCTGTTGGGGAGGGAAAAGAACGGCGGAAGTCTGCTGTGGCTTCGGCAGTAGCTCAGGAAGCTCAATGCGGTGTGTATCCACAGCGGGGCTTCCCCCTGCGGCTCCCGAACGAAACCATTCCACTAAACAATTCAGTGTGGAGTAGCTAACAACCACAAAATGAAGGAATATCGACGTCCTTCATGATCTATCTTTGTGAATGCACTTCTAATTGCTGTAGCAGAAAGGGAAAGATTTTGGAAGGTTGAATTACAACCTCCCTTCGTATGAAGTATGGTCTACAAGAAACTGAAAGTGATTACACAAAGGACTCAGACCAAGAACCCTGAACAAAAGAAACTTTCTCCAGAGAAGAAATCGGACATCCGTAATACATACACTTCATAGTTAGAATTCATCATAATCACAACAAATCCTATTATTACGACAGGAACGAAGGAAGAAGAACATCATGCCGCAGTGGTATATGCAACCCGTCAAAGCAGATGGATGTGCTTTTACAAGAAGAGAAAGGCTGCCAAAATTGTTCAGGAAAACAACACTCAACTTCTCATGGATTGCATTCAATTAAAAATAAATAAATACAAATTTGACTGGTTAACTAAGGTATATATATATAAATGAAGATAATGAGAGAGGAAAAGAGGAAAATACCCCGGAAAAAAAAAATTAAATATCAGCAAGAACTGACTAGCCCCAAATGGGCATCAATGCTACGAAAAAAAATACGAAAGACGCTGATTCTCAAGAAGACAGCAATGGTAATGCAGGTATTGCGAAAGAGAGAGTAGGGGAATGCGCTGGTAGGCAGGACTGCATTGGCCGAAGAGGGATATCAGATCAGGTGCTGTGGGATGAGAACAAAAAGAGAATGACACAAGCACACAGACACAAAGAAGAGAGAGAGAGAGAGAGAGAGAGAGAGAGAGTTTCAGCAAGACTTTGAATGGATATTTGGTTAAAATTTATTTGAGAAATAAGAGAGCAAAAAAGAAAGTTCTCTTAGCAAAAACAGACAAGAGCATTGCAGAAAATATATTTATAAAAAAAGAGAGAGGGGGAAAAAAAAAAGGGAAAGAAGAAAACCGTGGGGTATTTAGTTTGACTTTCAATTTAGAGAAACAAGAAACGGAGAGGAGGAAATATCATAAAGGCTTCATTTAGAAGGGAACGGACGAGGTCGGAGGAAGTTAGAGGGGTCGAGGGAAGCGGGAGGAGGGAGATACGCTGTTGACTTTTAAGTTGACGAAGATGAAGCAAAACAAAAAAAACAGAAAGAAGGATATTAAAGAAAGAAAAAGATTAAAAGGAAAAAAAAGGAAAAAAAGACAAGACAAGGCAAGAAAAGACTTCGAAGGCCATTTTGGTTAATTTTTTAGGTAAAGTAAGGACAATTTTGGGGGGGTTGGAAATGGAGATGGCGTTAAAATAAATCAGAATTGCACAAGCACAGAGCACAGAGCAGAGAGTAGACGATTGAGAAACACAAATTCAAACACAGAACAAAAACAGACGATAGACCGTAAACCAGTAGATGAGAGACAAACAGATAAAGAGAAACAACAGGACAAGAAATATATGGGAGATCGTGGACGGAACGCGGTGGGGAATTGGAACGGGGAACGAGGTAGTAGATGAGGTAAATAGATAAAGCAGGCATGTAGGGTAGACGATGGAAACAAGGAACCTAGAAACTAGAAACTATTCACCGAATCCCGGGTGCGTGTTGCGCGTTGATTCCTTGGGACGATAGATTGGAACAGAAATCAAAGAGACACCTGTTTTGGAACCTTGAGCTTTGGGGAGTGGGGTGGAAAGGCAAGGGGGGAGGAGGGGGTTAGGTATGTATAACATCAAACGAAAAATGACACAGAGGGGTATCCAGGAACATCAACCTCCCTCACACCTCCCCCATCTTAACCCATTACCGTCACCTCTCATCCCTGATAACCCCCAAACCCATTCCCAAAGCCCCCACCCCCACCTACACCTACACCTACACCTCCACCCCCAACTACACCCCCATTAGGCCCGCCAGGCTGACCACCCCAACCAGCTTGCCCCTGCCCCCCTTGTCCACCACGACCATGGCCCCCATAACCACCCTGACCACCTACCCCGACACCCCCGCCAACATTAACACCGCCCGCCGGGAAGCTGCTGACCGTACGCTGCACCGGGCATACCAGGCCCACCGAAGGGGGCGGATTGTTGGTCCCAGCCGCGTGAGGAGGGGGAGGGGACGGCACCGCCTGGTGGTTGGGTGCGTTAGCTCGTGTGCTGGATTGTGGGTTGAGGCGGGAGAGGAGGGGCTGGGAAAGCAGGGAAGGGCTGTGGGGCAAGGGGAGATGGGGAGCACTAACTACCTACCTTGGGGAGTCATAGGACCGCTCGGCCCGCTATATTGCGGGAAATAAGGCGAGGTATTGGAGTTGAAGGTTGGCGTGCCGGCCTGCTGCTGCTGTTGCTGAGGCGAGTATCCTTCAAACTGCCCTGTTGGCGGGCGGTCCTTTCCCCACTGTTTTATATAAGATGAATGATTTGTTAAAATGTAGTTCGTTTTGATATTTGTGTTGTGTTGTGTTATTTTTTTATTTTTGGCATGATTAGCGTACAAGGGGAAAGGGGGGGTTTATAAACTTACGCTACACTTCAACGGGCGTCCATTAACGTTATACCCGCTCAACTGACAAATAGCCATCGCGGCATTCTCGTGCGTATCCATCTTCACAAAAGCAAACCCGCGATCAGCCTGGAAGCGCGTCTCAACAACGTAACCGAAATTCTGAAACAAAGGCACAAGGTCATTTTGCGTCGTGTACGGCGTAAGGTTGCCAACGTAGCAAGTGGTCTGCCACTGCGGCGTTTGCGCAACAACCATATCATAACTTTGCACTCCATGTGTGGGAAAATGATGGTGCCCGAAGGGAGTGGTGGGCGTCATACCCATCGCAGCCATAGCCTGCTGCTGCGAGATGGACGGTTGACCCTTTTGGTTGGCCCAGTTGCAGCGTATGGCGCGGGATCCCAGCCACTCGCCGTCCATGGAGCTGAGAGCTTTCTCTGCATCAGAACGTTCACGGAAGGCGACGAAGCCATAGCCACGCGAGCGGCCGGTTTTCATATCCCACATGACACGAGCCTCGGAAACGGAGCCAAACGCTGAGAAGGCTTGGAGAAGGACTTCATCGTTTACTTCGTTAGAGAGATCGCCTACGAAGATGTGGAAGTGGTTTGATGTGTCCTCTTTGTTGTTGCTGTTGGATTGGTAGGCCCAGTTGACGCGAATTTCCTGTTGGAGAGGGTGGGGTTTTAGAGAGCGAATGTCATAATTCTGTTTTGAAGGGAGAAAGATCGATTCGATCACTTACGGATTGGTGCACACGGCGTCCATTGAGGGTAGCCATAGCTCGTTCAGCGGCACCAGGATCGTCGTACTCAACGAAACCGTAGTTCAATCCCTTGCTCTGTAGAGAAGAATATTGTTAGTAAGTCCAGTTTCTGGTTTGTAAAAAAGAGAAGAAAAAAAAAAGGATAAATTGATGATGGTGATGGTGGTGGAATGGAAAGTAGAAGGGAAAGAAGGATAGAAAATGACGAGAGGGAAAACATTAGGAGACGACATTGAAAGCACAGGTGGAACACAAAAAGCGGAAATAGGCAATGTTAGCGAGAATCCAGTGAAAGGCACACGGGAGGCGAGAGAGAATCCAGTGACAGCCGTTTCGTTGTGTAGCTGCTTACATTCTTGTCGGGAATGATCTTGACACTCTGCACGTGCCCGGTGGTCTCAAAGATCTGTCTCAAGATGTCTTCGGTGACGCGAGGGTCAAGACCACCCACGTACAGGGCGCGCTTGTTTGGTTCCGGAGCCGCACGACGCACAAAGCCACCTGCGGAAGTAGGTGACATCATATTGCCTGACATTGGGGGAGGTGATCGCAGTGGGAATCGGGTTGGTGTTCTGAGGGATGACGACTGGAGCAAGAGGTGGAGGAGGCATGTGGGAGGGATTGCCACCCTGACTGTTGTTGCTGCCCTGGGACCCATCGAATTGCTGTTGTTGCTGCTGCTGTTGACCTGGGGCACCTGCAGAGGGTTGGGGAGGGGGAGGGAGAGTGGAAGAAGTGGTGGGTGGGGCGTTTTCAGCCATTGCGTAGAAGGCAGGAAAAGAGAAGTGGGATGGATGGATGAATGGATATATTTCGCGCAAGAGAAGATATCGAATGGAAAGGCTGCTAACTCTGACAACAAAGATTATACAAGCAGGCTCGACGACACGATTGCGAAGGATGAAAGGCGGATGAAAGATGTAGTGGGCTTGACTGTTTTTGTTTCTTTGGTCAGTTCATAGAGCAAAGCTGTGATAGATGGAGGAGCGGTGTGAATAAGTGTGAACAATGTGAATGAAAGAAGGAGGATTGTCACTTAAGAAGCTTGAAGGGGGAAAAGGGTGTGATCCAATGGAACCCGATGTGTCAGGACAGGCGGACGTGGGGAGAGAGATACGTACAGGAGAATTGAAACTGAACCAGGTTTGAATCAAGGGAAGACAGATAGTCGAAACTGTAGAATGTTGAAAACGGTGGGTATTCTTGAAGAAGGATCGAAAAAAGTTGAAGTAGATTATTCTCGATTGTGTACCTGGTGCAAGCAATTCAAGGTGACAGTAAAAAGAAGAAAAGAAAAAGGAGGAGGGTATAATTATTCTTCTTTCCTTTTTTCCTTTTTTTTTTCTTTTTCTTGAGTGGTGGTGGTTGTTGCTGCTGCTGTGTGATAAAAACTTTCTCTTCTTCTGCCCTTTTTCTTATGATCCCTGATGCACTCACACGGACTCGTTACCGGCTAAACACGCAAGGAGACACTTCCTAAGAAATAGTAGGGACAAGAGGGGAAAAAACGAAGAGAGGTTGGGAATCGGAAGACGAGAGACACGAGATGAAAAGTACTCAAAAATGCCGACGCCTTTGATATTCCGATGAGATTGATGAATGGAGGGAAGGAGAGGTTGGCAAGGTTGGGGTGGAGATGAGGGACAGATGGAGGGATCGAAAGTGAGGAGTGGGTGTGGGAGTGGGAATAGAGGAGAAAGGGAAAAAAAGAAGCAAAAAAGCTCTGACGTACGAGGGGACACAAGAACAGAGAACAGACAGGATAGAAGAGAGAGGAGAGAGAGAAGAGAGAAAAGGAAGAGAGAAGAAAGAGAAAGAGAGAGAGTGAGAGAGTGAGAGAGAGAGAGTGAGTGAGAGAGAGATAGAGATGAGAGAGAGAGATGAGAGAGAGATGAGTGAGAGAGAGAGAGAGAGAGAGAGAGAGAGAGAGAAAGAGAGAGAGAGAGAAGAAAACACGAACAGGAACAGGAACAGGAACAGGAACAAGGAACAGAAGAAGAAGAAGAAGAAGATGAAGTGAAAAACGAGATAGAGAACAAAGAAGAGAACCAGCAGGAAAACGGAAGATGAGGATGAGGAGAATGAGGAGGAGGAGATTGAGGAAAAGGCGGAGAGAAGAGAGACGAGAGACGAGACAAGAAGGGGGCGAGGCGAGGGGAGCACGAGCACTTGCCTACAGCTACACACTACACACTACACACTGCACACTACACACTACACACTACACACTACACACTACACTACACACACTACACTATGCACTACACTACACACGCACACACACACACACACACACACTACACACTACACACTACACACTGCACTATGCACTACGCACTACGCACACTACACACACCCACACAACCACACAGCCCTCCACACAGTCGTGGACACACAGTGAACACACAGTGGACACACAGTTGGACACACCACAGACTCCCTCCATCCACACACCTCCACACAGCAAGCAACCTGGCAGATGTGACGGGTCTAAGCCTCATCAGGCTAGCCCCCTGCCGCTTTGGGGGCCCAGTTTTTGCGGGTTGCGCCTTGGCATTTTCTGGGCATTCCCCGGCCGGGGACCAGCGCTTGACCACATCCGGTCTAGCGCCTCAGCTGCAAGGCTGGAGGTTACTTTCTTCAGCTTCGTACCTTCAATCTCTTTCTGCCACGCTCGAGCTGGAGTCGGTATGAGGACACCACCGCGGAAAGGGGGCAGCGTCAGCAAATTAGATATATGGGTGATGGAGGAACCTGTGAACGGCAGAAGGGCAAGAAGGGCACTTGGGTAGGGTACATATTTCTACTACAATAATATCAACTCTACTCCGATACCAACCTGTCCCAAGCTTAGAATCTCGCCAAGTCTGCTGACATAATGGATTCCCTTGGCTTAACTAGTCCATACTCTCGCGGTACAGCTTCTTCCCATGTACAATATACACTACTCCAAGAGAGAGTCAATCTGATATCTTACCTCTCTCTTCACCTTACCCAAAAGAACCTCTTGGAAACCCGGCCAGGGTGCAATCCTCAATTCTCACGCCTTGCTGATTCCTCTCTGACCCATCCCTGAGCTCTTCTTGTGCTGGAGGCAGAAAGCTCCAATCACCCCAAATAGCCCAACCATCATCACATACAGGGTCCCGTCTCCAACTCCCTCTACCTCAACTCCTACCTAAGAACTGCCCAAACCAGTCAATCCCTTTCCAAAACCCGCCCATCATGTCGACAATATCCCCCTCCCAGTCCCGTGAGGAGTCCCTGGACACCTTAACAGCCACGGTGAACCAGATGGTATGTCTGAGTCTGTCTCTTCTTCTTTTTCTTCTTCTTTTTCTTCTTCTTCTTCTCCTCATATTTTCACTCAGCGTACACGCACGGTAAGAGACCCAAAACTAACAACAAATCCCCAGCTAATCGAAACTGCCCGCTTCTTCCGCGCATCCGGCTCCACACGCGCCCGCGTGTACCTGAAACATAACCTCCCGGTAACCTACGACCAGTTCCAGAAGGCATTGGATAATCTGTCTGAACAGATTGTACGTATGGCATTTCTGCCTTCTTATGAATATAGTTCATTTTTGCGGATTACGGAAGAAAAGCTAACCGTGCAAAATCACATTTATCCAGTTCATCGCCAAAGCCTTCCTGGAACGGGACTACGATGCAGCTGTGCAGCGGAAGGAAGCGGCCCGGAGTTCGAAGAATGCTATTTCTGGAGAGGATGGGGCAAAGGATGGGGCGGTGAAGAATAGCAATGGCCGCGGTAATGGGCAAGGAGCAACGGAGGCTGTGGGCTCGTCTCAGGCACATGCAGGGCCATCTGGACAGTTTACTACGGATACACAACAACAACAACAACTCCAACAACCATTGTCGAACGGATCGAATACGGGGAATGATAATCTATCACTAGATGCATCTGCGCCTGCATCTACGCCGACGCAAGCTGCGCATACTGTTAATTTCGACTCCCTGTTTCCCGCTTCGGACTCTAATAATAACAACGCCAATGATGATGATGACGATAATCTTAATAACAATAATAACATCACCTCTACTTCGACTGCGAATCCCAACGCCAACGCCTTCGACATCTCCCATACTGCCCCTGATACCATCAATACAAATACAAATACAAATACGACAGGCAGGGACATAAACACACTCACCTCCCTTCTGCCCGGACTGGAAAGCTACGCCAGTGCCGCGGGCGATGAGTTTGGGTTTGAGATGGGCGGGGTCCAGAATGAGGGGGATGGTAGCAGTGGGAATGGTGCTGGTGGGAATGCGGATGGGAACGGTAGCGCGAACGCTAACGCTAATGCCAATGCCAACGCCAATGCTAACGCTAAAGTATCTGGACCTGGCACTGAGACAGCGAATGTGAGGATGGGAATGGGAATGAATGCGGGTATGAATATGGATATGGATATGGGTATGAATATGATGAATATGGGGGTGGGGATGAATGGTGGGAATTTGCATATGGATGAGCAGCATCAGCAAGGGATGGGGATGGGAATGGGCATGGGAATGGGGATGGGCATGGGCATGGGGGAGTCGAGTTTTGAGGATTTATTTGTTGGGGCTGGCGCTGATGGAGGTGGTGGGGTGGGCGAGGGTCATGGGCATGGTGGGCATGGGGAGCATGGGGAGGATTTGTTGGGGGATATGGAGATTGGGGAGTTGGATGATTCGTGGTTTAAGTGAGATTTTATTTATTTATTTATTTACTTTTTTTTTTGCATAATAAGATGCTGCTACATGAGGGGATGAGTTTTAGACTTTAGAATTTTAAGAGCTGTGGGATGGAAGTTAAGATTGGATGGTCTTCCTTTGTATGTGTGTGTGATAACTGGGTTTATAGGATATGAAACTCAAATCTGCATCTAATATTATATCAATGAATAACTTAAACAAGCCATCTCAACACATATAGCCCCTTTACCGGCTGATAAGGAAACCAGAATTGGGGAGCGAGAATTTTTAAGCCATTTTTTTTTTTTAAAAAAAAAAAAATAAAAAGTATTCCATTCCAAAAATGCAGCCAAAGTCTCTTGACAAGATGTTGAACATAATTAGTTGTAGTGGTAACTAGCGCCCAAAGAAACAATCCAAAAATGCAAAATGCTAATGCTAAAACAAATGCTTAGACAGATCCCATCTATATTTATCCACTCAATAGCCAACCCAAAGATCAAAAAAATAAATATAAAAATAATAATTAAAAAAACAAAAAACATAATAGTATTAATAATAATACACCACACCCTCCGCTTCCCCTCTGCACAAAACTACCCCTTTACCCACTCCCTTCCCTCCCGTCCACCTCTCCACCATCCCCAACTCTAACCCACTCCCTCGGCACATCCATACTGCGATGCACCCTCCCTCCAGGCGTCAATGGCACATTCATCAACGACCTCCCCCGCATGCCCTCCTCATACTCCCGCTCCGCAACCTGCAGCCGCTCAAAGTAATCATCCAGCCCTGCACGCGGGTCATCGTCGGGGACTATGGAGGTATAATCTGGCGGCGGGGTAGGGAGGGGTGGAGGTGGTGGGGGCAGTTCTTCGAAGGAGGGCGGGCCGAAGGACGGGGCGCGGAGGAGGTGGATGGGACGTGGTGGTTCAGGGGAGATGTGCGCTGCTGGTGGGCGGGTGGGTATGATGAAGGAGGAGGAGGGGGTGGAGGTGCTGGTGCTGGTGCTGGTGCTGGTGCTGGTGCTGGTGCTGGCGCAGTCGATGTCAGAAACGTGAGGGACGTTTCGCGTTGAGGGGGGCATGTTGCTGGTGTTGTTTCGGGTGCTGTCGTAATCCCTCGTGGCGAGTTTGCAGCCGCAGTACATGTTTTGGGATTGGGGTTGGCATAAATACTGAGCTGTGGGTTCGCATGGGGAGGAATAGGCTGGTAGGTAGAGATTTGATTGTGCAGCGAGGCAGGACATGATGTGAAGTGGGGAGTCGATGGAGATTTCGAAATGGCGCCGTTTGGAAGGGTCCTTTTCGTCTGGGCGGGAGAGGCGGAGGACGATCTGTGGATTTCCCTGTTGGCTGAATTTTCTGGGATGCTTGAGGTATGTACATATATAGGTAATTAAACTTACTTTGATCCAATGGTTTATTTGTAGTTGCTCATGTGTAGTGTCAAAATGTAACGCGCGGCTGGTGTCCTTCTTCTTCAACTCGCCACAGGTAGGAAGCTGCACGCTGAACTCCATCTCTGTCGGGCCCACCCCAAAGTCCGTTTCCAGATCCCCCAGCAGATTCGAACTCCGGGGATTTACATACTCTATCCCCTCAGCTGCCTGTCTTCGAGCATCGTGCGCAACACCTCCACCAGCAGTTACTCTGCAAACACTGCCAGGGAATGTACTTGAGCTTCGCGCAGCCGCACGCTTCTCGAAAAGTAGAACCTTCTTGCTCGCCTCAAGTCTATGATACTCCTTGTTATTGGTCACAACCTGTGTGCTTTCCGTTATATAAACCTTGATGCGATGGCACGACACCTTCGCCAGGGGTGTAAATTTAAAGGCAATTGGCACCTGTGAGCCAAGCGGGAAAGATTTGCCAGAAATGATGATATCATAGTGTAATTGGTCATCCCATGTCCGCGAAATGGCGATGGGCTCGACATGCTCCAGGGAGCCTTCGGCAGGCGTACGAATAAAAGGGACCTCCCTGTGCCCAAGGAGATTGGGGCGGAATGCTCCCGATCGTTCAACGCTTGCCTCTAATGCGTACCTTACCCAGCCCGCGCTCGAATTGATAGTTTCGGAATACCGCGAGGAGATCGGAAGCTCAAAATTGTACCAGTAGTCACCGGGATGGAAGAGCTTGTAGCCTCTCGATGCTACACTTGGTCCACCGTGAGAGGTTTCGCCTTTGCCAAAACTCCGTGAATAATTCGCTCGGAGAGATAAACGTTTGACATCCTTTGGAGAGCTCGCTAGAGATGTCTGACTGCATTTTGGAAGCAAATCGATTGCAAACGACAACTCCTTCGTCGACACCGCTGCCGTCTTCAACTGCGCATAGTCCGCCCCATTGCTGTATTCCGCATCAGGGAGTTGCGCATTGAATAACATCCATGTATGATTTATTATTACATGTTGCTCGTGGAACTGGTTTTTCTTGTATGGTAAGCCTAGGATAAGAGAATTAGCCTCGATCTCCAAGAGGTGTTTTTCAAGATATGGCAAATGATATGTACCCTCGGGCCAGTATGTCTGCCCCAATCCCTTAAAATTCAAAGATATCTTTTTAATCTTTGCGGACTTTGATAAACTTAAACGTAATGTCCCTCTAAGAATCGAAGTCTTCCTGGTGTCCGTATCATTACGGTCAAATCCCTCAAGGAACAGTACCGGTTCAGCCAGAGATATCGAAACGGTAATTCCGTTTGACGATGCGACTACTTTCTCATGTCGTGGTAGTGTAGAGTTAGGCAGCTGTGCATCGTGAATACATGGTGTATTGCTCCTGTCCACTGGCGATACCGGACGGCTCCGTGAGGTTCGGTACGATGAGGATTCCGATCTCCGTGACTCCGAAACATCTGCCACTGGCACCCGATGTAACAACATATCCCATGCCCTGCGGGAATGGATATTAAAGATGGTCTGCTACCGTGAGACTTCCGGTTTATAGTAAGAGGGTCTTGAAGGGTTTCTTGAGATAGAGGCGGTCGTATGCGGGAAGAGTCAAAAGAAACGTTTCGTATTATCACGAGGTCGCGCCAGAGTAGCTATTTACAGCAATAAACCTTTAATGTACACATGGAATGGTGGCGATGACGCCGGCTGGTATTATCGCGGTTGAAACTACCCGTGGAATACACCTGATAGAGAAATATCTCCAAGAAACGAGCGTGGCTTTAACGAAAGGAGAAAAGCTACAGAAAACGTCAGATATAATAACTAACAACCGTATAGACAATCCAACGTTTTGCCAAAAGAGCCAATCAGCATCGAAAAGGGCCGTGTCGAATGATGTGAGAGCAGAGTTGCATATAAGATTCGGGCAGAATTGCTGCCCCGTGGTAATATAAACCGACTGAATAAGAAGGATTATCAATCAATAATTTGGAAAGGAAAGGGGATTTTTATCTACCCTTGTGTATCTGGAGAAAAATTCTTGCTGTCTGTTTTCCAACGTCTCTCGGTCGACTGGAAACTCTGCTGCAAATGCGCCACAGGGGAATAAGGCGCAGTATTATCACAAGTCTGGGTAGTCGAACGGGAACCTGCCACCAGCGAAAATTCACGGCGGAGACGTGAAGCTTTAAAGAAAAAATGAGATTGTGTTTTGGGCGAAGGAGATTATACGATGGTGATGGAGGTGAACAGGTAAAAGTCATTATTGTTGTTGCCCACGTTTAACTGCAGTGAGCGGGCTTCTCTGCTTATGATGACTCGGGAGCCACGGGTACGGAGATCCTGCAGGTGGATGCCAACCGAGTGGCTGGTTTACACATGAACCTTGTTTAAATAGTTTGACTGGGAACTTACTCACTCATCAGTAAGTGAAGCGCTGTGGCTAAGTCCAATGTTCGACGGGGCAATCAGGGCTAAGACGGCTGATCTAGGCCCTTTCATCTTGAGTTTACCAGCAAATCTACGCCTCAGTTGGCTTTTATCCCACGGCATTGACACTTCGGACGTTCCAAGGTTTCTCCTCTCTTTCTTATCCTATAATTGACTCAAACCGGTAATAGAGAAAAGTAAGGTAGGTCGTTAACAAACCGGGACGGGAGTTTGAACAATTCCTGCTTGGTTATGCGTTCTCTGATTCCGTTTGAATCCATGGTTCGGTAGCCTTGTACTGTGTACATGCACACACATACGCTGGCATCTGGCAAGCTAATAGCTCATTTCCCATCTCTTTTGCAGCAAGCTAGTCGCCAGGCAGTGTCAAGCTGTCCGCAGGTTCCCACGCGGATCTGTTGCAATGACCGCATTTTTTACGTCCAATACCTGTGGCTGTTTCACAATACATGCATCTGTGGCTCGGGACTTCTCTTGGGTGTTTTTTTCTGTGCCGTGATTCTCATCAACAAGTTGATCAATCATTGCTTGAACAGGTTAAGATCTGCGGTAAGCTTTTTCATAGCTATTGCCCATCACCGCTTTAAACCAAGACCAGCCAGCGAGTTGGATCAGATAACTAATCGTCATCCCTCTGCGCATCAGTTCGTTGTTATTGATCGGCCAACGCTTTGATGTCGTTGGTTCTCAGGAACAGGCTAAAGAAAATGTGATTGCAAATAGTTACTGTCGGGCTTGACAACTCCAGTGTGAAAACAGGGCCTGGCAGCCATTTCGTCCCGCAAGTGGGGCTCATTGTCGTCCTCAATAACGTGAGATATTTTAAACAACCAGGCGGATTATCAGGCGTCTGAAAGAATACGAATAGAAGTGGGTCGGTCAGATTGCTACACTGTTCATAGCTAACATAATCTAAATCTAACAACTAACTAGTTAACTAAACTGTGAATAAACAAGAACTATTTATCTGTCTAACATTTACTGAAAATATGACTATTTCATATTTTTAAAATTAAAATTATCTTAATTATAAGCTTATTAAATTAGTATTTATATATATTTTAAATTAAATTATTAAATATAGAAATGAAAACTTATATATATTATAATTAATACTTTAAAAAATATTAATACTTTAAATATAAATATAATATAAAACTGAAAT